TCCCTTGGCAATGTATTCCAGAGCCTCGCTGTTCGTTGGATGAACGAGTCTTTGGAAAGAGATGTTCTGCGCAGGTCTCCAAAGTGACCACGAAGAAGTGCAAAGCCTCAACTCGACGGCTTAATCTCACGGGGACTGCCAAGGGAGGAACAATTGTTGATATTTCAGAAGAGCATCGTCCATGAAAATATCTATGGAATAGATCGCCAACTTTTCTACGGTGTTCCAGAGAAGTGAGTGAGTTTGTGAGCGAGGCATCACCCACGAGACGAATTGCCCTTTTTTGGACAGAATCCAACAGTTTCAGTGTATGTTTGGGTGCTGCACTCCAAATATGGAAACAGAGTATTCCAGGAAAGGTCGGGTCTGTGCCTTATATAGATCATAAGCAGCTGACTGGAAGTGAAATAGCTCCTGGCCCGAAACAGAAAACCATGTTATTGGGAAGCCCTTTTAGCAATTGATCTCACGTGATTTTCACAAGAAAAGTTATTGCTTATAGTAATACCAAGCATCGAAATGGATGTCTTCAAAGGTATGGTTACTTCTGGGAAGCTTGTGTAGAGCACAGTGAGATCGGCTTTTCTAGAGAAAAGGCATGCTTAATTAGGTTCCGCAAATGCTTCCTAAGGAAGCTACGCTCCTTTGATTATAGGACACTTCAAAGACAATTTTTTCTCTATAACTTTAAAATCCTTCACAATAAATCTTCGAAAATCGGTGTACGGCATAAACATTTGATGGTAAATGTATAAAACTCTGAATTCAAAATTGCAAAATTTCATTCAGGGGCGTCACATGCGGGGGAGGGTTAGTGTGAAAACATCCGTTCTTCTTTTGATATTCAGGTTATTGTGATTTCGTTTGAAAATCGAGGAATTCTAGAGTTTTTCACGTGAAAAAGGTTCATTTCGATAGAGCTTACCATTTAGGAGAAAATCGACTTTGAGAACTTTCTGATTTGCGTAAATCACAATATCTTGAATATCAAAGGAAGAAGAATAATTTTGGTGGAGTTTCATAATGCCAAGTTTGCTGATTGATGGTGGTTATCATATTGTTTGTTGATATCGAAAAGTGATGTACCTCTTTTGAAAGCATTACTATGGCGTTCGAGAGAAAATGATAGTTTCAACTGTATTCCCTGATATTAGATGGAATAACTTCGCTGTATTCCCTGATATTAGATGGAATAACTTATATAATATTCAATTCATATTTAATTTTAACTTATCTTGAGTTCAAGCAGTCCTTTCAATCGGATACGTTCATAGAATGTCATTCAACTTATGTTTAATTAGTCCATCTCTCATGGAAAATAGAGCTGTTAAATTAAATTAAATATAAATGAGATTCTATGAACAGACAATAAAAATGCCACTTCAGTCCCTCAAATGAGGGATTAAAAGCACCCTTTTATTCCCTGAAGTGCATAAACTATAACGGTTTTCATGCCAACCGTTAAACACTCGCACTCTTATAAGTCGTTGAACTTTTCAATATTTCCATTGAAATTCCATTTGTCCCGATTTTCAATTAATTGTCCTGCATTTTCAACTACTTTGCCCTGAAAATCAGAAAATTAATGGTGGCAATCCTAGTTGACAATAACTGTCATTTGATGTTGTCAAATTAATTATTTCGAATCTCGATAGATTGTGTGAATAAAACCGTATTGTGGAGTATGGATATAAATAAATAAAACTAAATAAATTCCAAATGCCATCGGCGAAAAACGGTCTATTGTCTCGCCTACCTCGGCTATCAATTTTCAGGCTTGACCATAATAGGCAGTTTCTCGTCCTTGGTATATAATAGTGTATTATGTAACAAGTGTTATAAATAACGTCTTTTTAGTTACGAGTATTTTAAGCACGAGCGGAGCAGAGCGGAGCGAGTGTTTAATAAACGAATGTCTAGAAGAGTTTATAAACGCAATATACATACTATACTTTTTCTACGAACTCCGAAAATTACATAAACATACCTGCAATTCCTGCTAACCTAAAAAATAATTCGAAAGGAATGGGAATTGAGAACATAATACATGCAAATGCATACAACCAGCGAGACACGTAATAAGTGATATTGGTTGTAGATGTGTCCAGTCCATTGTTTCACATTTATTGTCATGCTTAGCGCAGAATGAATAAATTGTTACCAAAGATGGATGCTTCATTTTTACACTTCTTGGAGATATGCAAGATACCAGAAAATTCTCTTCGATTTATTCACTCTCGTCTATTTTTCGCATATATTTTTAATGAACGAATATTGTTTGAATTATTCTGATAAAAAATTCGAAAATAACAGTTGACAGTTAATACAATTGACAGGCCAGACATGTCTCAAATTACACTGAAGCTGTGTTTAATGAACTGTGTTGCCATGGTAATGTGTTTAAGAAATAAAGAAATCGTGATGCTATGGCAGTAACGAGTTTAATATTTTGAATAAATCACAGATTGTCAATCCGTGATTAATCCATCATTTAGCGTGGTACATATCCGTACGGTAAATGCCATTTTAGGTATGTGAGTAGAAAAATAAATATTTTGCATCAAGCAATCATTAATTAACTATCTTGAATGAACTACATGCCTTCATTTTCATATTTTGGCGGATGAGCCATGTCCTCTTCGGATTAGGGTTCTTTCGCCAAAATATACCTCTGCACACTAGTACTATACAGAGTGAGCTTTCGAAAACGAAACAGAGGCTCTGTAGGTCGCCAATACCGGATTATGAGGAAAATCTGAAACACGTCAACTACATATTCGAGAGGGACATCGTTCTAAAATATTTTCAGCCCTGCGGCGTTGCCGCTTCTAACGAAAAGAAGCAACAACTTTGTTATTTCAAAAGGAACACCTTGTATTTTCTTGCATTTTTAGATTCTCCCCGAAGAGCTGATTTCATCAATGCATCACACTTATTGGGGTCTAGCTGTAATGGTTTCAGGGATATAAAGTGTTCAAAATCGAGATTTTTCAACTTTAGCATCTTTTTGTGTCAAAACGGCTTTCATGTCCCTATCTCAACTTGTGACCCATATAGCACTCGACGTCCTGAGGACGTCCAGTTTAGGCCCGATTCAGGTCTGAACGTCCGGGACCTTTACAAGACGTACTCAAAACGTCCGTTTCTGGGCGCACTGGGTACGTACGATTACGATGTACTGGGTACATCCAACTCTGGACTTTATCGACTTTCAAGGGACGAGATTGAATAAAACTGTATATATAATGATAATTGAAATCATTGCACATAATTTATTCTACCCTCGATCTCTGATATCTATTCATTTAGGAACCTTGCAAACATGAACATAATACAATTCTCACAATTCTTTTTTACTAGCCGTACCTGATCACAAAACATCTATTCAGGTATTCTCTGCCATGATCATCTAATTCTATGCAAGTATTGATGTGAATAAGGATCAATCAACATTCACACATAATATATTGTTGTATACTCTGACATATTATAATCAAGTCTTCTGTAGAGTAATAGGTAGAGCATCTGCACGGTAATCTGAAGGTCGTGGGATCGATCCCCGGTAGTAGCACATTATTTTTTTTTGGTCAAAATAATATTTTTTAACCTATCTAGGTCTCTATATTAACTATTTGAGTAGAAAAAAGGTGGATCAACGTTGATCCAGGTATTAATGGTCCCGTTCAGACCTGAACAGGACCTTCATCGTACGTCCTAGGGACCTCTGGTTGTGTAACATCGTATGTCCCCAAAACGTCCTGAAAACGTACGCCGTACCTAAAATGGACGTTCTGGGGACGTTTCCAATGCCCGAGGTGTACGACTTGAGGACGTTTTCGGGACGGTTCTGTGCTATCTGGGGATTTACTATCTACTAACATTTAATTGGAACAGATACAGGGTGATCAGAATTCTGAATCTTGAACCACCCTGTATTTGTTTCAAATAAATGTCAGTAGATAGTAAATCACAAGTTGAGATAGGGACATATGAGCCGTTTTGACCAATAATGAATAGTTTCGACACAAAATAATGCTGAAGTTGAAAAATCTCGATTTTGAACACTTTATATCCCTGAAACCATTACAGCTAGACCCCAAGTGTGATGCATTGATGAAATCAGCTCTTCGGGGAGAATCTGAAAATGCAATAAAATACAAGGTGTTCCATTTGAAATAAAAAAGTTGTTGCTTCTTTTCGTTAGCAACGCCGCAGGGCTGAAAATATTTTTATCATAACCCGTTTTTGGTGACCTACAGAGCCTCTGTTTCGTTTTCAAAGGCCCACTATCTGTATTTAGGCAATGGCAATGCGCATCAATAGCAAAACGGACATCATTTGGATATTATTCTCTACAAATGAATCATCGATTCTACCAACCTTGGGACATTGGACATTAGATCAGCAGGTCGGCAGCTTACTTGATATCCTCTTGATATTTAGCCGTTATTGAAGGATAATAATACAGTGGACATTATCAAGGTTGGTAGAGCTGATGATAATTTCAAGGTTGATAATTTGTCTCGTCGCTCCATCTAATAGTCAACTATAAAAGTAAACTTCAAGCATCCGTAAACTATATGCCGTAAACATCATTCCGTAAACCAACGACGGCTAAATATTTAGAAATAACTTCAGTAATGACATTTGGTTGTTCCTATGGTTCTGTGAGCGTAGTCGTCCGTCAGTGTCAGTAGTCACTCACTACTGTCACTGTCAATACCAAAAATATTTTGTTGATTTTAATTTGTAATTCATTCCATTTTTATTATTATTATCCATATAGGATTTTGATTTGAAATGTTCATAATTTGAAAATTTCAGTTCGTATACGTGTATTTTCTCTATAGGAACTTTAGGGTATGTGAATTCCTCTATGAGCCCATTTTGTGTTCCATCAAGTAAACTAGAGAGTGGTAAATATAAACATTCAAATAATCTGAACTTCTTTCAACTTTACCTGTAGTTTCAGATAACTAGGCTTACCAGTATCAGTAATCACTAGTAATCAGTATTATGGACAAGCTGAAAAGAGTACTGAGTGGTAATGATTCTCCTGATGAAGAGAGTGGTATAATGTCTCAAGTAAAAAATTTGCACTATTTTATCACTGGATTAGCATCTAATAATATATAGGTGGATTCATGCAATGCAACATTATCTAACTGGGATTTCCAAAAAATAGATGAAAATGCCATGAACTTTGTGAACATGGGATAATAGTTACCAATCTGGAAATTAAATCATGTGCATGAATCCATCTTATAATATTCATCTACACTTTTGTTGACTGCCAAATACAAGTCAATTTGTATGTGGTCCAGGACTCCATTGTGTTATGATTTAATCCAAAGATTGTTTTGATATGTGCAGACCTTGATGAAGACTATGGAATTATACTGGAAAGTAACCTACCTACCTCTTCAGAATTTGCTAATATGCAAGGTGTCCCAGGACAAAGTATCATAAATTCTATACAGGCTGAACTAAAAACCATAAGAGACTGATTGAGATCAACTTACCTCTATACAAAAATGAGAGGGCCATCAAGAATGATTTTATTTACAGATTTTCCTGAATATTTCAAAATCCTTTAAAGGTAGGGCTCTAAAATTTGTAGGACTATTTACTATCAAGAATGCATGAAAACCATGTCATACCAATTTAATTAACATACAAATGGAAAAATCTTTCACATATTCTTTGATGAAAATTGATGTGACTTTTTCTGGATTATGCCACTGACCATATTTCAATATTTTCAATGAAGGGCAAAATCAATTATCTACCCCTGCAGTTATTGTTAGTTTTCAAGACATCTAACAAAATTCATTTTGGTGTTTCTCCATACTTGTATAATGTCATTACCAATCATTTTACAAATTTCTACTTCATTTGTGTTGAGTTATTGACTATAATATCTATGTTCACCATTTTGCAAGCTCATCATCATATTATTTTCTCCAAAAAAACTGCTAAAGTACTTGAGTCATGAACATAATTATTGTGGCACAAATGAGGTAGAAGCTTGCAAAATATGATATTCCTGACACATCATAAACAAGTGTAGAGAAGTAACCGTTAGATATCTTGAAAACCAAGAACAAATAATATAAAAAAAATGCAGTTAGAAAAATGTTAGATGATTGATTTTGTCATTCATTAATATATCAAATTGTGGTCAGCTGCATACTCCATATCAATTTTCATCAAAGAGAATGAGAAATACCTATCTCTCTGAGTATATTGATTGAATTGATATGATATGTTTTTCATGCACATTCTGGATAGTAAATTGTCCTACAAATTTTAGTTCAGTACCTTCAGAGGATTTTGAAATATTCAAGACAATCTGGAAACAAAATTATTCTTCAAAGCCCTCTCATGGCTCAATAGTGCATTTTTCTATAGAATTTATGGTTCCTTGTTCTGGGACACCATGTATAATAATCCATGAAAACATAATTCCTGATAATTCAATTTGTTTTCAAGTTTTAACTGACAGAGTAAAACTTTTAATATATAAAAATGGTAATGGTGATAAAACAAAGGCTATAAGTATCCTGGAAATAATAAAGAAAAAAGTAGATTTGGTCCTTACTTCATCACAAAAATATTCCATGGGAAACCCACCATAAACATTTTTCCTTTAGATAGATACCCATATGAATAATCATATCACCAATTATCAATATCAGAGTTGTGAAAAATCACCATTGTTCTTTAAATAAGAAAAAAACCTGTTTTATTCATTAAAATCCTGCTTTTTTTTTTAAACCGTGATTTTTTTTATTTATACTGGTTTTTCTCCTTAATCATGAAAATAATTAACCTTAAAATCACTTATTTTTATTATTTTTTCTATCTGCCCAGAAATTTTTCTTGTCTAGATTAACAGTTACAAAATTTCCTCAATGACATACAAAAAAAACTTGTGTTGAAATTAACATATTTGGCAGCATGCTGCAGTTTTTCCATGGGGACAAGAACATTTACATAACTTATGTAAACACTTGGTTTTTGAATTATCTAATGAGTTATCTGCTTGGGCAACTTGTTTCTACATCAATTTATAATATTTTATTCAAATCAATCTTATAATTGAAAAAATCAGTTGATTCAAATTATTGCAACCATGCTGCTAGGAACTCTGGTGGTAGGAATCAAGCTTTCTTGTCATTTCCAATTTTCATCTCACAAACTCTACATATCTTTTATATTTGAGGTTCATCAATTGTGAATTGTTAATTAAATATATCCAAATAGTCCCCTAACAATGGTATACCTAACTTGATACATTTGACTTATTTAAAATTGACAAATACATCTATGAGATTTACACTCACAATATCACCTTCAACTTTTGTAGTGTTGCTATGCCATAGATCTGTCCTTTGCTAACATCACATTTAATGAATTTGTGATTGATCTAATTGAAGAAACAGTAGATCATGAGTCATTCTATGATTAAAACATAAATTTGGAATGAATCTCTGAAGAATGAATTTTACAACAATGTACTATACAGGGTGTTTCCTAACTACGGTTCCTAACTGCAGGTGGTGATTCGTTAGGTCATTATAGGAATAAAAGTTCTTCTTAACATATGTCCGGAGTTGCTTCGTTTCTGAGATACAGGGCGTTGAAATTAAAGAAAAAAAAACGGTAATTATAAAATATCATGAATATCCTAGAACCGATTTGGTTGAAATTCGGTACTTTCATTTGAACTAATAAGCCCTATTTAGATTGAAATTATTGGGGCCAGTTGCGTCTCAATGGGCACCACAGCCATCAATATTGTGAAAAAAAAAGTACGCCACTGTCTTTTTTTGGTGAATTTTCATTTTGTTTAGATTGAGCAACTCAAAATACAACTTTTTGGTCTCGTGCATTTCCTTCATATCCAGCTTCGTTTTCGAGAAAAAAAATCAAAGCCATAGTATTGCATATCATGAACACCTGCATTGGAGAATTGAGTTTTTCATTATCTCCGCCAAAAATTCAATTGACACTCAATGTGCTGAAATTTTAGAAAATTTTATGAATAAAAGTACCAAATTTCAACCAAATCGGTTCCAGGATATTCATGATATTTTATAATTATCGTTTGTTTTCTTTAATTTCAACGCCCTGTATCTCAGAAACGAAGCAACTCCGGACATATGTTCATAGAAACTTTTCTTCTTAAAATGACCTAACAAATCACCCCCTGCAGTAAGGAACCGTAGTTAGGAAACACCCTGTATAATATAATGCCAGAAAATACAGTCTGACATCCTGTTTGACCTAACAAATCCTGTCTCAATCTGTTTATAAATTGAAGAGATATAGATCTGGTCCTAGTTTAATTGTCATACAGTTAATTGAAAAACATGGACAGTAGTTATATCATCTGCCTTTTTAGATTTTGTACACATATCAATTTAGATTTAGACTGCATTTCACTGATTTATTATTTTCGATTTTGTTTATTTTCAGTTTGATGATGGTGCAACTTTTAGTTGGTCCACACGAATTAAAGGCTTTCTGGCATGCTTCATAGTAGGAATATTATTATCGTTTTTGGGTTCTTTTGCCTTATTTTTGCACAGAGGCTTACCTGTTTTTGCCGTATTTTATACCCTAGGCAATATAACTTCCATAGCTAGCACATGTTTTCTGATGGGTCCTTTCAATCAGATAAAGAAAATGTTTGCACCTACTAGATATATAGCAACCATATTAGTGCTAGTATCATTCATTTTAACATTAGTTTCAGCATTAGCGGTGAGTATAGCTGAATTGATAAGTACATTGATGATTTCAGTAAATACCCATTAATGACATCATATTATTTTTCACAAATTCACCATCTATTGCAAACAAAAATTGAGCTATAGCGGGCATCTGTCTTCAATGTCAATTATGGCACAGTAGAGAACTTGATAACTTTTTGTCACTGTTTAAAAGGGAAAGTAATAAAGATCTCCATGGAAATGTTTCCTTTTGATGAAATTTCTTCAAATCATTGTTACAGTGCAAATAACTCAGAGACAAATATAATAATAATAATAATAGGGGCATTATTTTTAATATCCTCGGCAAGTCCAGCAAAGCTGTTCTACTTAATCAAGTACCATATTACATTTGAATTAAATAACTACCTACATAGTAGCTTAAATATAAAACTAACTTATCTACTAAATATAAGTATAACATCATTATCTATTCTAAAATACGGTTTATTAGCAAAAGAAAAATAACTCAGTTGACTTTTTGAAGTGAAACATTGATTTATTCTCAAGCTCTTGTGGGGAATTGTATATTTTAACTGCATTATAGGAGAAGCATCTCTCATATAAAGCTGTTCTATGCATAGGCATCACGAAAAGACCTGTATTTCTAGTGAAACGATTATGAATTTCCGAAGTGAATGTTCATCGGTGATGAATGTAATAGTATATTACATAACAAGAGTTGTAAAACGCATATTACGCACGAAGTGGAGAGAGTTACACACGATGCCGCATAGCGGCGAGTGTGTAACTCCACAAGTGCGTAATTGCTTTACAACTCGAGAATTGTACTATACTTTTTCTACGACTACACTATATTTTCTTCCGGATAGTGCAGATATTGTATTAAGGCACAAATAACGAATACCAATATAAAACGTCTCCCGTCACTAAGCCAGCTGCATGAAAAGTTACAAATCACAATCCTTGTGTTTGTTTATTGATACATTGCATACCGAGATATTTTCCTCAATTCGAACTGAAATGGAACCGTTTTTCATATCTAAACAGCTTTATTAATAGGTAGCCAAAAACACATTGTATAAAAATATAAAATCAACATTCATAATGATTATTTATTTGTAACAGTGCAGCACGAGTGATTCTGTATTCGTTATTGAAAAAAATAAAAAAAAGTTCTCCAGCTGCGCCCTGAACCACCGACCCTTTGGCTCGGAGCCAGCGCTTCTAACAACTGAGCTATCACCATTTCTGCGTATTAGTAGATATTTTATAAATATAATTTCAAAGTTGGATCTTTCTTAATTATTCCTGTTATTTAAAGAAAAAGGAATTCATCAATTCAATGTTGAGTATGTATGTTATTTGAAAAATTACCTTCAACAGGAGCATTCTGCAGAAAGTAATTGATCTGTTCAGCATTAAGTATTTTTGATTTTTTTACTTCGGGATCCATCCTTCCCTTTTGAGGAAATGGGATATGTTGCTATATTAATATTGTGATTGATATTTAGTGTTGATCGTAACATGGAATATATCGACCAGAATGATGATGATTTCATGAAATTTGGTAATTCTTGAAAATATTCTAAAAGGATATTTTCCGAAAATGACACGCTATAATTTCTAATTCTTCAGTCCAGGAATTTTTTATGTCCTATTTCGTATCATTTACGAGACTTAGCGGGTGGCAACTCATTTTTTACCATTCTAGCTTTTTCCAACATTTCTGGTGGTGTAGAAATAATCTGCTCATCGTCATCGCTTGACATCATTTTTTTGAACTGAAATTGTGGATTCTCAATAGAAAATGATCATATTTTCAAAAAATATAACTCTCCTGATGCTTTCGGTTTCGGTGGATTGCTGAATTGATTGATAAAAAGATAAGTATACCTACGTACCTACCCACCTAGCTAGTGACATTAAAGAAATTGTTAATTGTTATTGACACATCGCCTAACGCCTAAGCAACAAAACAAAGTCATCTATCAACATACCTATGAAAACCGTGCGATCGCTCTCTTTACGCACACGTGTGTAAGGAGAAGCTTACTGCCATTGTTTTGTGTACAATATCCATCACTTACAGTAGTAGTCGTAGGAAAATAGGATTTTCATCTTGCAATACTTTGTGAACCAAGCAGGCAATATGCAATTTACGCCTATTGAACATATAGAGCCATCCCAATTCTCTAAGTTTATGAGCAATGTGGTCTCTGGTTCTGAGTGAGTAAACGAATCTGATACAGGAATTCTGAATTCTTTGAATTCTCGCTGATGAAACTGCATCCAAGCATGGACCATATACTAAATCAGCATAATTAATATGACTCAATACTAGTGATTCACATAGTTGCTTTTTCAAGGGTACATTGATGAAAGACCTACTGCGATATAGATTCTTCAATGAAGAGTAACACTTACTAACAATAGATTTTACCTGTGCCTTGAATCTCAGCTTACTATCAATAAGAATTCCTAGACTTTTCACTACATCACAGGGCTCTACTATAACAGTGGCAATTTCAATTTTCAAATCAGATTTGAGCTCTACTGATACATTACCAAAACATATAGCTTGGGTCTTCTTTGGGTTAATCTTCAGTCCATGCTTATTAGAGTATGCAACTATGTTCTCCAAAGTTTGATTTATATCTAAACATGCAGTAATAAACTCATCAGTAAGAAAACTTTTATAAACTGATCAATTGTACAATTTACAAAATTCCTATTGAGATCCATGGTATATATTAAAAATAAAAGAGGTCCGAGTATTGAGTCCTGCGGTACACCTTTATCAACTAATCTAGAGCTGGACTGCACATTGCCAATTAACACATATTGGCTTCTATGAGAAAGATAGCTCCGTAATAGTATGACTACCGTATTAGAAATGCCATAATAGTTAATTTTAGCCAAAAGAAGTTCTCTGCCTAAACTGTCAAACGCCTTACTATAGTCTAATAGAACTAGTGTAATTTTTCCCTCATCTATTGCTCGTATGATATCATCCAACATTAAAATCAGATATCGAATCGCGGTTTGCAATAGTCGGTAAACGATGCCCTCTATAAGACGCGGTATGAACTGACGACAGTTAACGAAGTCAGTTTTTGAATATGTGTTAAATTATCTTTCAAACAAGCCCAAGTTGATTGAATTTGGATAAAGGGTATGGAAGGTACAGCAATTTGATAAAATATCATTCACATGCCCCCGCCATTATTATTCAAGATACGAAACAAAGTCTGGAGACCAACACAACGATGAATTGATCTTTTCATTTCCGATATCAAAGAATTACCTTACACAGCGATTTTCTGAGTTGATTCGAATTTCTTTTTAGACCCCTACATCAGTTCTCAAGTAAGATACTGGGGTGCTTCCGTAAAATGTGAGACAGAATTTATCATTTCAGAACTGAACATTTTTCATGAGGAATATGAGTAGTTATTGTAATAGACGAACGACCTGTTTTCTGTGGAATCCGAAGTGATTTTCAACCTATATTGTCTGCTAATATGGTTTTCCGGACATGTAGGTGATTCCATGGCTGCTAGCGAGCAGTGTAAATCACTGATGGTAATTTCAATTGGTCATTGACTGTATCTCAGGAATATTTCTTGCTTCTGGAAATGTAACAATCCTAATGGGGGAGACCACTGATTTTTCAAAACGACATTATCGTGAACTCTATACTGCAAAACTACCAGCGAATTAATTTTGAATTTTGTCATTCATGCTAAGAAGATGAAAAACATGCCCATTTCAAAACACACAATTCCTGTGCCATTTGAGATTTTGTCAACTCATTGGTGTGACTGGTGCGACGTCTTAGTCCCAACACGCCTATTGTCCTTGAACTGACCAATCACACTGCAACACTGCAGAATGACGAGGTATCAGAGAGAGATAGCTACAGCTCGGGACTAATACGTCACGGATCCACCATCATATTTGGCTGTTTGAAATATCCAGAGAAATATGCTGATTTCAAAACCATATAGATTCGATTCCCTTCAACTTCAACTCATAATATTGATTGTACATCAAACGTGAATCATGATTCGTCGATTGAAAGAGGTTTGCACGGATTTCTTCTCTCAGTAGTCTTCCCCATTCGATAATTACATAAGATACGGGGGTGTTGTCAATAGTTTTCATAAAAAGTGAGACAATAATGAAATTTTCAGAACTGGAATTTTTTTCAAGAAAAATATGAATAGTCAATGAATTGGCCATTCTGATTCCGAATCCGAAGTGATTTTCAACCTATTTTGCCTCCTAATATAATTTTCTGGAAATTGGGGTGGTTCCGTGGCTGTTGGCGAGCAGTGTATATCACTGAAGATGACCGTACTTGGTCATAGAGTACATTTTTCGTATATCTTTCGCTTCAACAAATTTCAGAATCCTACAGGAGTGTGTCCGGGAAAGAAGTACTCTGAGCTTATGGAGTATGGAATATGTGATAAGATGTCCTATAGACCTTGTAGGGACACCCTGTATTCCAGAAAAAATTCCACCTTGTATCTCGCAAACGAAACTCCAAAACATACAAGATTACATAAACTGTTTCTTTCATTTTTACGACTTGTGTCGCCCATTAAATTTTCCTGATTACAAGTTGAAACACCCTGTATATGACATGCATTGACCCATGTCACTTGGTGTTTCGAAACATGAGTAAGAGTAAGATATAACGAGTCCTAATTGCTCATGAAAGGAAATTCCTATGATGTTCGATCTTTTGTCTTATGGCAACAGCAGACTAGTTAGTTCTGTGGTCTAGATTGTGAGTTATGTTATGTATGTGGATGTTTCATGACATGAAGCCACAAAGCTTTTTGCCGAAATTTACTGTCGATAGCCTTTAAGATGACGTTATAAAATTATTTTTATTTGACATTTTGTTTTTGAACAATAACCATCATCGAATCATCATTCAATAATTTCAATTAATTAAAGGGTATTTACTGATATTAATTCGATTTCTCATTGTAGTAGAGTGCCAGAAACGGTAAGAGGTTCAGATTTCAACAGGTGACAAGTTTGACTTTGATATGCGCATGCGATTTGTTGTCCTGTGTTGTTTGTTTGAAGGTTATGTGTAATAAATTTGAAATATTTTCGAGCAAATATTTGTGCACATTTGAATTCACCTAATATTTTTTGTATTTTTCTCCATTTGAAATGAAAAATACTTCATTTGAGCATTACAAGTACTTTCAATAATGTTTTTCAAATGGATTTTCATTACCTTCAAACCTAGATCCTGCATCTCTTACTGTTTACAGGACCTCGAAAGGAAATACCTGATTTTGACTGATGTTATAATTCTATAAAAATCATTTTTTCAGTTGGGGAAGCCAGTACTTGCACTCATATTTATAATAATACAGTCATTAGCAATGACTTGGTATTCCCTGTCATATATTCCATACGCCAGAGATGCTGTGAAGAAAACTGTATTGACTTGCATAGTTTAGGGAATAATGTACTTAAGATTTTTTGTATATACACCTGTATTAATTTTAATTTATCATTGTTGTACCCCTTGTCATGAATAATCATAGATCTCTTACAATTATTATTAAATAAATATTTTTGCAGACTGACAAGTTTCTTTTGAATCTTTCATCCCTGCATAATCGATTAATTATACTGTAATGATATGAACGGGGTTAAAACGAGTTTTTGGTTGCCGACCGGTTGCGACCACTTGGACCACACTTCGACCGCAGATAACTGAGCTAAAATGAACAGTTATCGAGATATTTGACCCAAAATAAGTTTACATAGTAATTTTTCATCTTCTTCAGTAGTAGAAGATTACAACATTTCTTTTTTCTTTATGCGTGAAATAACTATTCCTGTTCAGCTACAGAATGAGATCTGAATAGTATCTAATTAATACTTAATATAATTATAATTAATAATAATACTCAACACCAGATCCATCATTTTCAACTACGGAAAATGATGGAATATTACTATGCAATCTTCTATTTTGGGTCAAATATCTCGAAAACTGTTCATTTCAGCTCAGTTGAAGGTGATGCATTTTTTGAACAAAGTTGAACAATGAATTCGAGGAATTGAAAATAATTGAAGTTTAATCAGTGGCGTAGAAAATATGGGAGGAAAAGTTGCCACACCCCCTTGTAGGGCACCACTAGATAAAATGTCCGGAATGGCTTCCTAGTCAAAAAATGACCCATTCAAAGATAAAACCATATATCGAAGTTGTCATTATTAACATTATTATTAAATTTGAACAAGGGCAGAGGCAAGGCCTATTGTGCCCAAAAATATATAGACAGATAATCAAATTGAATATTGAAGTGTACAGGATATTGTATGGAATGAATGGATATAAATGATATAATGATCGAAGCATTTATTGAGTAAGTAAGCGCGACTGTTTGCCTTACTAACAACAGCTGCAACTTGGTTCGACACTGACAGTTTTTGTATGGTATGGTCTTGTTATCCAAGTAATAATCGAAGTCGGGGTTATTATTGCCAACGTGCAAAACAGAACACTTGTCTATATTCAAAGGTATATCCCATGTGATGCACCAGTTTTGCACGGACCTCAGGTCAGATTGAAGATCATCATGACTGGATAATGGATTTCCAAAAAACTTGCTATCGTCAGCAAAAAATGCATGATCAGATTTCAAAACTTCGTGTAGATCCGATGCATAGGCAAGGAATAATGTTGGCCCCAAAACTGATCCCTGAGGCACTCCAGATAGAACTTGGTGAGAGTTTGAGTGACTCGAACCAACCCTCACTCTGAAGACCCTATTGGAGAGGAATGCGGCTATCCATTTGTGGAGTTTTCCTCTTACACCAAAGTGTTTGAGTTTATGTAACAGCTTGTCTCGAGGAACCTTATCGAAGGCCTTGGAAAAATCGAGGTATACTATATCAATAGGTGATGAGGTGTCAAGATATTGAGTTCATTTATCCACGCAGTAGAGGAGGTTTGTTGTGGTTGATCTTCCAGGTATGAAGCCATGCTGGTTGGATGGAATCACCTTGTTGTCGAGCAAAAATGGCAGAAGGGCATCGACAATGACTTTTTCTATGATTTGCGCACAAAGGGATGCCAGGCTAATAGGCCTATAGTTCCTGGGGTCAAGTTTATCCCCTTTTTTGTATATTGGAGTAACTGATGCAATTCGCCAGGCCGAGAAAATGAGAAATCAAAGATATGACTCAAACGGCGTGAGAGGACTGATGAGTATTTCTTCAGTATGAAGGCTGGTATATTGTCTGGGCCGGGAGATACATCATCTTTGATATTCTTCAGCTTTTCTACTACGATCTCTGGAGGAAAACAGATATGGTTCAGAGAGTTAAGACATCGCGGTGAAACAATGGGAGGTAGAGCTGACATGTCGCTTATGGAAAAACATTCTTCAAAATTTCTAGCCAGTACTTCGGCAGCTATGTCGTTAGAATCGCAAACGATTCCATCGCGATCACGGATAATGGGGGTTGAAATTTTTGATGCAAGTTCACTTCTTGTGTACTTGTAAATAGATTTTGATCCTTTATTTGCAAGATTCGATTCAAATTTTCTCTTAGCATTACGTAGATCTCGAGAAAGGTCACAAGAGAAAGAGCGATATGCTTCAAAATGGACATGACTTCTTGTAGCTTTATAAGTTGAATGCATTATATTCAATTTTTCTTGAGATATTGCAAAACAACTACTTTTATGCCTTAACTTTAACGCCCTGTATTTCGAGAACTGAACACTTTGAGACCGTATGTCCCTATCTCAGTGATTATGAAATCACGAGGGCCATCACCTGTCAAGCGTTGTCGGTCGAATTTCGCAACACTATATATAATTTACTAGAAATTAATTTTATTTTCTGCAAGTTTCTCGTTCTCTACCTACAATCAATTTAGGCGGATTTTGATGAATCTTAGATCATGATTCGTTTGGTGAAACCGTGGGCCTAGTCAGCTCTCTAACTTTCAACAAATAATATAAGGTAAGAGGAAGAGACAATAAGTAATAAGGTAATTGAATATGGAAATAACAAAATATAATTTTCCTAAATAAATATACATATATATATATCTTATCATCAATAATACATCCCACAAAGCAAAGGACCCCGCACTAAACTATAGGAAAAATGGCTCTCGATGAAAATCGCTGAATTTTTGATATGTTGCAAACTTTTATATACTGAACAGATCTTCCATTGAACTAACCTCAAAAAATGGACAGTTTTTCCGATATTGACCTCCAAATGTCATTGTTTCGAGAAGAAAAAGAGTATCTTGAAATGGTTGAATTTTTGGCATGTTGTAGAAAGGAATGAACTGATGAAAAAATCCATTTGACACCTAACCTCTAAAAATTGACAGTTTTCTCGATATTGACCTCCAAATGCAATTTTTTCAAGAAAAAAATATCTCTGAAAATGGATGAACTTCTAGTATATGTTGTAGAAAGGAATGAAAGGCCAAATACTAATTCGAAAACAGCAACTTCGTCTATTGATTATTGTTCCATTCATCTTATTTTCCATGCGTACACTTGGAAGTCAATATCGAAGAACTGTCAATTTTTTGAGGTTAGGGCAATTGGATTTTTTTATCAGTTCATTCCTATCTACAACATACCAGAAATTCAGTCATTCTCAGAGATTTTTTTACTTGAAAAAATTACACTTAGAGGTCAATATCGAGAATACTGTCAATTTTTGGAGGTTAGGTCAATTGGATTTTTTCATCAGTTCATTCCTATCTACAACATGCCAAAAATTCAACCATTTTCAGATACTTTTTGTTGCCAAAAAAATGACATTTGGAGGTATGTATCGGAAAAACTGTCCATTTTTTGAGGTTCGTTCAATGGAATATCTGTTTCGTATATCAAAGTCTGCAATATACCAAAAATTCAGCGATTTTCATCGAGAGCCATTTTCCTTATAGTTTAGTGCGCACTAAACTATAGGGAAAATGGCTCTCGATGAAAATCGCTGAATTTTTGGTATGTTGCAGACTTTTATATACTGAACAGATATTCCATTGAACGAACCTCAAAAAATGGACAATTTTTCCGATATTGACCTCCAAATGTCAGTTTTTCGGGGAGAAAAAGTATCTGAAAATGGTTGCACTTTTGGCATGTTGTAGATAGGAATGAACTGATGAAAAAATCCAATTGACATAACCTCCAAAAATTGACATTTTTCTCGAAATTGACCTCCAAATCGAATTTTTTCAAGTAAAAAAATCTCTGGAAATGGCTGAATTTCTGGTATGTTGTGGATAGGAATGAACTGATGAAAAAATCCAATTGACCTAACCTCAAAAAATTGACAGTGTTTCGATATTGACCTCCAAGTGTACGTATGGAAAATAAGATGAATGGAACAATAATCAATAGACAAAGTTGCTGTTTTCGAATTAGTATTTGGCATTTCATTCTTCTAAAAACAAATCTTCATATGATACATCCACAGGTGAAGAAAACCGAAGAGAGGATGTAATGAAATAAATATTATTTAAAAGATGGTTATATAGTCTTTCCGAAATCAATGGAGGTAGGTATACACGCTAGTCGAATTTATGCCATATATCTATTTTATTTTGATCATTCCATCTATTATAAAAGTATTCGATACACTCATTCATTCATAATCACCTCTCAGAAACACTATATAGCCGCCGATGACGTGACATTGACATACCGATACCGATAAACACTTCAAGATTTTTATTGCTCAACAACCAATGAGAATATTTCCAAATTCATGCATTCATAGAATTGAGGTTTTATTTCCACAGTAGGAGTGGAGTGTTGTGTACTGAAGTATTCACAATACATAAATCGTATCGTATAGTATAATTGCAATAGATTGATCGTGGTATATGATGTCATCACGCGTTGTTCCGCAATTTTCATGTCATGAAATATCGTGAATTTCAATAAATATTTACAATATGTAAAGAGAGCTGAAGAGAAAACGGTTTGCGACAATGAACAAAAACTTTCAATTTTTTGAGGTTAGGTCAATTGGATTTTTTCATCAGTTCATTTCCTATCCAGAACATACCAGAAATTCAGCCAGTTTTAGAATTTTTTTTTCTTGAAAAAAATGCATTTGGAGGTCAATATCGAGAAAACTGTCAATTTTTGGAGGTAGGTCAATTGGATTTTTTCATCAGTTCATTCCTATCTACAACATGCCAAAAATGCGACCATTTTCAGATACTTTTTTCCCGAAAAACTGACATTTGGAGGTCAATATCGGAAAAACTGTCCATTTTTTGAGGTTAGTTCAATGGAAGATCTGTTCAGTATATCAAAGTCTGAAACATTCCAAAAATTCAGCGATTTTCATCGAGAGCCATTTTCCCTATAGTTTAGTGCGGGGTCCTTTGTAAATGTAACGATCCAGTAATGTCGCAGCAACATGTTATATTGCTGCAACGCTACATTATCGAATATCACCTTTGCAATATTGCTGAACGTTCGTTTCAGTGATTGCTTCAACATATCTTTCAACTTTGCTTAGTGGGATCTTTCTGAATATATCAAAAATATTGTCGAAACTACGTAAATATTCTACTATCATATTGATATTGCATAGTTGAATCATAGTCATACATAATTATATTATTACCTAACCGTCAGGGTATGTGTACAGGGTTATCTATATTCAAGGTACTTTTCGCCTAGAAAAAAAAGTGGATGTTAAATGCTGTAATAAGGCTTGTTCAGAGGTTATACTGGACTATTCCGAAAATAACTTACTACAATATGTTATCTTCTACTTTCACTTTTTCAGCACTACTTTCGTGCCTTAGACAAACAATTTTTGTCTGATGAATTGGTGTGATCAATCAATTCGGGAATGTAGGTAGATATTTGATATAATGATAATACAAGATACAAACATTGTTTTTCTGGGGTTAAAATAGTTGTAGGTATTGAAGAAGAGAAAATAGAAGTCAACAAACTGTATGTATGTTTTTCATCATCATCAATAATGGATTTCGAAAAAAAAATCAACTAACGGTACCCCTATTTGAGAAAAGTGAATTTGTGGTTTGTCATGCTGCTAGGCATCACCCGGTAAAACGTTTGATAAGGGCCGTGGAAAGGTTTCATTGCGTCATTCAACTTCCGCATATCGTTTTTTTTTTCACGATACAAAATAACGTGAATATTGGATGGATAACCCTGTACAAAGTCGATTAATTTATTAGCACTATTCGAATTTCTCAGAACCCAAAAGAGCCAGATATAAGATGTTCATTGAATTTGTTCTACTTGGATACTAATAATTCTTCTACACCCATTCGTCCTCTATGTCGCCAGACTCGATAACGAGCTAAATCTTTTCTAGTAACCATACCAATCACCTAAAAACAAATGTAAGTTCAGTTATTTAACATTAAGTCTTAATATTTGGATCTTGATGAATTTTTCATGTAAGATGGGTATTTAAAATTGTATTCAACAAGTGGGTGACTGGCCACTTTCAATGCGCACAACTTGCAAAAATTCAGAATTATAGGATCAATCAAAACACAACCAATACTAATTTTCATCATTCGTGTGTTTGGAAAATGCATTTTTTTAGGGAGAACATACCGTAGAAGGATTTATGAAGCTGCCGGGGTTATATGATATATTATAATTTTTTTTATTTTGCGCTAGAATTTCGTGTTGGTAACATTGGTGATAGAAATCATCATAAAATTGCAGGTGACATTTCATATTTCTAAGCTGTAGATTTTGTTGTGTAAAAAAATGAAGTTGTTTGTAGAAAAATTATATGAAATTCCGCAAAAATAACATTTCTTGACAGACTGACAAAAACCTCTGTGGAACAAGAAAAATATATGTCGTAGGTAGGTATTTCAATGGAATTAATACCTTCAAATATCCTTGACAGCCTTTTCAAGAGAGTTGGTAGAACTGATAAATATACTTCTTTTCGGCCTCTTCCTATGATATCTTCTTCTTGGTCAATGTAAGATAACTTGAAGTTATCTATTTGTTCAATACAAAATACACAGTTTCCCCAGAAATGAAAAATAACCTCCAATGGATTTTTTCCAGGTCTATATGAAATGCCAAGACACTATACTTTGTTAACTATGTCATTTATTATTTGTACCCTTTGTTATTGTACAATATTTTTTATCTTCAAACTCTACATGATACGAACACAACACACAATTTTGGTCTGTCTTATGCTCGCCAATAATATGATGGCCAGAATTGGCCAGAACGGCAAATTCCTGTGAACATTGATAGGCCAGTAGCAATAGGAGACTTTGGCCGTCATTTAGGACCAGTACATGTCTGCCGATACCTATATTCAATTTAAAAAAAGACGACCGCCACGGGATTCGAACCCCGGTCCTCCGCAATCACTTAGTACAAATCGAACTTATATTATAACTGAGCAACATTGAAATGATATGTGTGTACGGTGTACGGAATTTATTTGCGGAAGATCGTTTGAAGATGCCAAAAGACACTGAAATAAGAAGTATGTTTATCAGTTCTGCCAACCCTGACTTCATTTTCAGTGGCGCCTCTTGGTGGACAATAAATAATGTTTCACAAATCCCCGTTTTACGGTATCGCATTGATATAAATTCTCTCGGGGAACCCATATTTTCGATTCAGAAACAAATTCTGAAAATTATAATCCCATCAGGTGAACGAAATGGTGTATGTTTCAAGTGCCTATACCATAATCGTTCGTTGATAAAGAAATTGATCGTTAATCAGGGTCATTATAACGATCAATATGGTGTACATTAATTTCAACCTGTTGATATGAAGTCGACGGAGAAAATAATGTTCACCTCACTTGTTGAATCTGGAATTAAAATACCTATCTGACGAATAACAAAAACTACTCGGCAAGATTTTGTACTCATTTACAGTAGGTTCCTACCTAAAATCAGATAAAAAATGTTTGATGTCAGAATAAACATTATTTTATCAAATTTCATTGAAAATTCGGTTGTTTTGAATCTATACTATGAATAATATAAATGACAAATTGGTGGTTACGAAAAAAATAATGAATATATTTACCTCATTACTATCATTGACAATTGGCAAGTGTCTCAATCCAAGGGCTCTGAATAATCGGAACGTCCTAGGCAGAGATGACGACTGAAAAAAAAGTGCCAAACCAATTAGGGCTTTGAAGTTTTGATTGGCCAACAGACTATACATGCGGTATACTTCTTTTTTTATTTACATCGGCTTCACACAATACAAGTTACGTTAGGTGTGATTAGGTATTCTTTGCTAATCAAGAATATTGAAATTGCCCTTGAAGTAAGTAAGTAAGGAAGCATAATATAAGTATGAACTGTACCCGAAGTTTTCTATCTTGAAAAAGAGAAAGGACCATCGGTGTGGCTAATAAAGACAAATATAGTTTAATTGAATCATCAGCTGGTAGCTACTCGTTGCCTCTCTCTCGTTTGTCGAATTTAATGGTTGGTTCTCTACATCTTTCTTTCCTCTATCTCTCGCTGTCTCCCTCTCTCTTTCTCTCGCTCTCACTCTCGCTCTCCCTCTCACTCTTGATTTGAAATATCTACGAGTTCAATGTTCAATATTAGATCATTGCTTGATTCGTATCAATATGCATTAGTTCCATTGAGAAATCGAGAAAACTAAAATCAGTTTTATGGGTTTCCTAGACGAATTTTGGAATTGAGAGTTTTCGATTAGACCTAAATGATGTCCATAAAGGATTTCAACCACCTCGCCAAAAAAAAAGCAATTTCCGAATAAATTGGAATTCAAATTGGACTGACGCAGAGCTAACATACGAATTGAAATACCGCGTCTCAATGTAACTTACGTGTAATACTGTATATGGAGATGGATTCATAAACGGCCGCAGGTCAACGAAATACGTTTTTTCTTCCTCGCTTATGGAAATTTTCTGAAATACAATCAACTCATTATTATTTCGAGGTGGGAAAGCTTGTACGTACGTCGATGGTAGGATACCTAGGATAGTCGTTTCTGAATGTGGAAGAAGTCACGTTGTCCCAGTAATCCGATATTTCGTTGAACATTTTTTTCTTCAGCATCACGATGAGCTGGGATCGTAAAATCAGGCCTCGGATTCGACCGTACGTCGTTACTTCCGCCTAGAAATTAGATTATCAGCATAACTTTATTTTATAGAAACGACGAGAGAAAATCCCTAAAAATTAGTAAAATGAATGTACCACCTCCTCGATTAACCTACAGACAATATTGAATGATAATTTATTCGCATCACACCAATTTTTTACTTCCAATATGTCCTCAGCGACATAGTTACTCAGTTCCTCATTATTGTTGCTATGCCACAGTATTGTGATGTCATCTGCGAACACAGTAAACTTCCGTTTAATTTTTATATGTGCTAGGTCATTGATATATATTAAAATTAAGAGTGGTCCGAGCACAGATCGTTGTGGGACCCCACACTTCACTAATTGAGACTTGGAGTTTTCTTTGTTAAGCGAGACTATTTGGGTACGATCTGATAGGTATGATTGGAACCACCTTAGTGTTACATCTCTGCTGGACAATGATGTATGGATGGTATTGAACTCAAATCAAACAAAACCACATAGATACAAGTTTTCAAAAAACTAATGCAGAGGTTTGATTCTTGACTCACCATTTGTAACATTTTCAGCTACAAAGTGCTTTACAAACATGCACGTAGGTACTGCCATATGAGTTTTTCAATGTTATACAACTCAGCCGACTTTCACACAATCTGTATCTCCAAAAGGCGATTTGTGAAACAGAACAATGTCCGTACACTATGAAAAGTACAAAGAAACTGAAGAATACTTCCTGGATTCAACTTTCATTGGTTTGTTAATTTGATAGATGGTTGGAAAAAATCATTTTGGTTATAGGTACAAAATAAGTCAAAAAAACTAACGAATGAGAATCAGAATCTGCTTGAAACAATAAGTATAAAATATGCAAAATTTGGTTTGTTGACCACCTTCGGAAAGGTTTTAAACCCAAATAACATTATCAGTTTTATTGTTAGCTACAGGCGGTTGTTACAGCCTATTTTAAAATGCCTTTTCAAAACTATTATACCTACTTCAATAATATCATTGAAACAACAAAACAACCTTCTCAAAACATAAAGGGCCCACCTTTATAAAAGCTGTCACAGCTTCTCTTAAAGCTTGTCATGAAACTAAAAGGAATTTCACAGGAAGGAAGGAATGCTCAAAGTCCTTCCTTGCTGTGAAATATTTCACTCCACTTTGAGCAATATGGACTTCTACCAAAGATTTGAAGGAATTTATTGTAGTATGCCTCAAAGCAATAATAAAACCTATCAACACACATTGGCTAGAATTAAAACCTTATCAGTTGCAGTAAGCATTTGTTAAGATAATATAGTCCGTAACGTTTTTAATGAGAGTCTTTTTTCAGAACAAATTATAATATAATGTCAAAATGAAGTAAAAACAATGAATAGTTATAAAAGAGAGTAAACATGGCGATGTGATATGATAGTTCCCTACTGTATCAAATAGTCCATTTTGTGAAGATTGAGGCTGTAAAATGAAAACGATGACGACTTTCTTGACAAAAACATACCAGATATGCCTCAAAAAAAGCAGCGCCCTAGAAATAATGTGTTTTTATCAGTTAGAATTGGATGTTGATTTCAATACCTTTTCAAAAAAGTTGACAAAACTGTATGGATGTTTGCTGAATATGGGTGAGTCGTTTGAAAAATGTGGAAAAACAACATTTTCGCCGGCAGTATCAATGAATCTTTTTTATTTTCCGCATGAAATTTTCATTTATATCAATGGCCGACATCTGTTTGTAGTAAATATTGCGCAAATGATTTTTAAAACCAATTTTTCTCTAATGCTCAATTGAAACCTCAAGGTAATGGTAATGCATTTTATGAGACGATTTCCTCCTGTTGAAGTACTCATTACTATTTGTTCCTGGGTATGACAACAAAGCTTCAAGAATGATAAAATTGATAGAAGGATATAAAATAATGCCTTCATAAAACTATAAAGCTTTAAGAATATCCTGGCTAGTGCTCATTGGGCAGAGTGGCAAAAAGTAGAAGAATGTCATCAACATGACCTACTTTTGTTATTTACAGTGTTCAGTTTGTGTATTTTGTGATTGGTTTCAAGTAGGAAACATAGACAAACTACACTCAGGAAAATGCACGAATTTTTTGGATTCTGAAATAACAGTTTGCAAGATATTGTGTTGAATGATCCATTCTCTTAAATTCTTGCAAAACTCGCCATCTGACATAATTTGTGCAAAACTATTGTCATCTTCCTCGCTCCCTAGTTCCCATTCAGAGATATCAGAAGTATTTTCCATTACGTTCTGACTCCTTGATGGTACTTCATGAACATTAGGTCCTAATGAATTCTTACTATTTGGTGGTTTCAGTTGGGATGAATTGAAAGACGCATTATTTGGAATTGCTTGGGCTTGAGAATTCCGATTTACTGTTGCTCTGACGACTTGATTTCTGATTCTCAAGTAATTTTTTTTATTTTTTCGCTTGAAAATGCCATTTGACTTGAATCTACACCATTTATTTTCTTGTGAGTTCATTTCAACGTGGCTTCGTTGTAGGCAAAAAATACGAACATTTATATTATGGGATTTGGGTTTAACACGAGTCCTGAAGAAAACTTGATAAATTCTATAGATTTTATGATTGACTTCGATGAATTCATTGTGGCTTATAGGTTTCAATAATTACTTCCACATAGCTAGAATTACGCCATTAGGTTTCATTATTGCCTCAGTCAAATCCTAATTGGCCTAGCGTGACTTTGGTTTTATGTTTGCTTTATGGGGTATTTTCATCGGATTAGTTCAAAACCTCTTCGTCAAATTCGAGACACTAATGAAACTCAAGTGTTTTAAGAGGGGTGGTTAAGAGTAAATAATGTTGATAAAGAATTTCAATGACTTTTACAGAGCTCTCTTAAAACCGAAGTGAGCTGAATGCCAAATTGTTTCATGCCATAGTTCTATCATAGTATCTCAATACCTTTCAATAGGATTATATGGACATGAAGGTCAATTTATTTTTTCCAAGGTATTCATAGAACAGAGATGTATAGAAATTTAACTGGTGGGCTCACTCTTCAATTGTTTCGTCAGACTAACTCTCGATATGGAACAATTGCAAGCGAGTTTTGGACGTGGGGTTCAGGTATTTGCGATAGAGGCGCCATAATCGGAAAATCGTTCAAAACCTTGGTTCTGTGAGGGATGAATGAATCTATTTCCATCATTGTTCTGTGGTCGAATAAATACTGTGCTTAACATTTTCATTCAAATTTCAATTTGAAATAGAAACAAGAAATCTTTTTTGTAGCCGAATTTGATAAGCTTCACTTCTTTCATGACATGAACCTATTTAAAACATGAAATCTGATGAATTTCCTCATTGAAGAACCAGAACAAAGAATGTATCAACTATTGAAATAGACCAATATCGAAAATCATAATAGGCAGATACTTACCTTAGAATTTATTCACACCAGTTCACGCTAATATTTCAAATCACTGAAATACTACTGTTGTAGAACAGATATTTTCTTTTTTCTATGGTGGATTAGGTATCATACACAAAATTTAGAAACTACGGAACACGTCCCTAACGAACACTTGACCCAAATCTCAGAAATAACAATTTTTTCAGCTCAAGAATATTTTTGACATATTGACGTTTCGATCCTTTGATCAGGAATCAGTTCACTGCTCTGATCCAAATCATATACGTATCCAAATATTTATCGGTCAGTAATATGTTTCCTGTAAATATGGATTGTAACCAGGATGAGCTTAGCGAGATTTACCCACGTCAAGTATGTTTATCAAAGGTTTATCAGAGTAGGCGCCATCGAGAAACTTGCAAACGACCTTCAATAGGGAGCAAGCGCACCAGTTCTCTCATAGAACGATAGATCGAATTAGACCTATCATTTGCGCTCACATAACCTCTCTAAAGTCTCATCGAAGCTATTAGGCATTCGAAATGTTACTTGGGAAGTGCGACACCAGAGGCGGCCCACTTTGTGATTTTCGAGCAAAACTGTCTTACCTGATCTGTCAAAGGCGGGTCTACGACGGGAAAGCCGTTGTAACTCGTCAGCTTCAGCAGCTCGACGATGTGGCCGACATTTTCGACGCACTTCAAAGTGACCACCGGATGCGACATCACTTCGCTAGCGTAAATATTGTTGACTAACGGTGGGGGTTCCCAGGGCAGCAGAGGAACGCCGCTCAATTGGATGAGCGTATCATATATTCCCTGGAAAACCGAAGATTTAGGTATAAATGCTCAGTAAAACTGCATTTATCATGCGATGGTTTTTTTTCGAGAATTTTTTTTTGGTACTTACGTATTTTTGTCTGGAAAACACGGATTTGATAATGAAAATGTGAACAAATCAATATTTATCAAGATATTTCACTATAAAGTTACAAATTTCACCATTTCCGCCTGTCTTCTGGGTCGCATCTAGAACAATTTGCCCTTCTTTTTCCATCATTGGACAATTTATACAGTATGATGCAAATGTATGGAATAAATTCATTATTTCAGAAATGGGCGACATTTGAAGAAATTCCAAAAACACGTGAGTTTTAATTTTTGAAACCTCATCTCATGACATTCATATGAGAGATGTTACGTCACCGGTGTTGGAGTAATGACGTAATGGACGGTTTTTTTAAATACAAACAGGGGTCACGTGACACCTCGTTTGAAAGGTCTACTGATTGTCTATCCAATAGCCAAAATTTTGCAAAAGAAGATTGAAATCAAAATGGATTATCATTTGGTTAACTGAATCTTCTACTGAGAATTGAACATCGAAGGGTCGTCTAGTTGAAAAAATACATCGATAAAAAAGTTCTGAACTCTACTTTTTGGATTTTTTTCGGAAGTCGTCTTGTTTTGAAATGAATTTATTCCATACATTTGCATTATACTGTATATATCACAATCACAATAAACAGAGTGATTCACCATAAATGTCCCCCTCTCCCTAGCTCAGTTATTTTCCAACCGATTTAAAAATTTCAAAAATCATCTGAAATGATTTTTCAGAAAATGTTTCCCGTTGCATCAGAAAATACAGGGTGCTCGGAACAAACGATCTATTGAGTACTACTTGATTTTTTCAAATGGAACACCCTGTATTTCATTGTATTTTTAGATTCTCCCTGAAGAGCTGATCTCATCAATACATCACACTTGGGGTCAAGCGGGAATGATTACAGAGATATAGGGTGTTCAAAATCGACATTTTTCAACTTTAGTATTTTTTTGTGTCGAAACTATTCATTATTGGTCAAAACGGCTTCAATGTCCTTATATAAACTTTTGATTCACAATCTACTAACATTTGATTGAAACATATACAGTGTGGTTCAAGATTCAGAATTCTGATCACCCTGTATCTGTTCCAATTAGTAAATGTCAGTAGATATTAGTAAATTAAAAGTTGAGATACGGACATGAAAGCCGTAAAAATCCCAAAGTTGAAAAATCTCGATTTTGAACACCCTATATCTCTGTAATCAATTTCGCTAGACCTCAAGTGTGATGCATTGATGAAATCAGCTCCTTAGGGAGAATCTAAAAATACAATGAAAAATAGGGTGTTCCATTCAAAAAAATCAAATAGTACCCTGTAAATCGTCTGTTCCGAGCACCTTGTATTTTCTGATGTAGCGGAAAAAAACTCTCTCGAAAATCATTATCATTTAAGATGATTTAAAATTTTGCAATAGGTTCAAAAATAACTGAGCTAGGGGGGGGGGGGGACAATTATGGTGAATCACCAAACATTTTTTTCTATTATATGAGTCAACAAGAAATATGATCTTCTTGTGATTTTTCCATATTTAGTGAAAAGAAGGAAGAATATCATTTGAAATAATGGCGTGTGTAATGTCATTCAAAAGTTCAAAAGCAATCTGTTGACATTTTACATCTCGTATATATATGTATTGACTATTGATTAAATGGCCGTCATCTGGTATAATTTTTCACCAAATATGAAAAACTCGCCATAAATAGTTATTTAACCAACTAGTGTATTGATGAGGGCGATTAATGATCGAGATACTTTAATGTGCAAGCGAAGCGAGCGCGTTAATGTTCGAGATTATTAATCGCCTTTTAATATACGAGCTGGTTACGAAATTTTTCCGTCGACTATATTTCTCATTTCTCCCAAAATTTCATTAAGATATGTTTAGTCATGAGAAAGTAACTAGGTGCCATCAGCTTTTCTTGGAAACTAAAATTCAGGCAAACATTCCGAAACGTGAATCTACGATTTGGTCGAAATTTCACCAGAATCGGACGAAAATTAAAAAAGTTACAGGATGATTCACCATAAATGCCCCCCCCCTCTAGCTCAGTTACTTTTGAACCGATTTCAAGATTTGAAATATCATCTAAAATGATTTTTGGTGAAGTTTTTTTTCGCTACATCAGAAAATACAGGGTGCTCGGAACAAACGATCTACAGGGTACTATTTGATTTTTTTATATGGAACACCCTATTTTTTATTGTGTTTTTAGATTCTCCCTGAAGAGCTGATTTGATCAATGTATCACACTTGGGGTCTAGCGGGAATGATCACAGAGATATAGCGTGTTCAAAATCGAGATTTTTCAACTTTAGGATTTTTTTGAGACGAAACTATTCATTGTCGGTCAAAACGGCCTTCATGTTTGTATCCCAAGTTTTGATTTACCATCTACTGACATTTAATAATTGGAACAGATACAGGGTGATCAGAATTCTGAATCTTGAACCACCCTGTAAATGTTCCAATTAAATGTCAGTAGACAGTAAATCAAAAGTTAAGATGGGGACATAGAAGCCGTTTCGACCAATAATAAATAGTTTCGGCACAAAAAAATCCTAAAGTTGAAAAATCTCGATTTTGAACACCCTATATCTCTGTAATCGTTCCCGCTAGACCCCAAATGTGATACATTGATGGAATCAGCTCTTCAGGAAGAATATAAAGATACAATGAAACACAAGGTCTTCCATTTGAAAAAATCAAGTAGTACTCTGTAGATCGTTTGTTCCGAGCACCCTGTATTTTCTGATGCAACGGAAGAAACATTTCTGAAAAATCATATTAGATTATTCTTCAAATTTTCAAATCTGTTCAAAAATAAGTGAGCTAGAGGGGAGGACATTTATGGTGAATCACCCTGTACAGGCCGGCGAGTGTGCATTTGAAACAACTATTTTCAGATTTTTTTTAATCGACAAAAATGTATACCTCATTGAAGAAATCTCCTGTCCATTTGGCGGCAATCAACGTAATGATGAGAGGCAGAGCGAAGGCAATGTTGCCCGTCGTCTCCATAATTATCACAGTCAGGCTGATCGTCATTCTGACTACGCCTCCCAATTGGGCCGCAGCGCCGATAAGGGCGTACCTTCCGGGGTGGCCCAAAGTCTGGAAAAAACGCCGCAAGTCAAGATCAATGCAGTTGAATATACGTATCAAATATAGGCGACTGAGATTAAGATCGTAGCGCCAGAACGGCTAATGTCGGTACTACTCTATGGGCCATTGGCAGATTGTTTACATTGTTCAGTAATGGTGTTTATGTTCATTTCGTTTTGATATTTCAAACGTTTAGCTTCATTATTTGTTAATTTTTGAACTTCGTGTTTTCCAGTGGTTTATTATGTTTTGATTGAGGACAAGATTATATCTGTTCAACAGTAGATAACCTACCTACCTCTAGTTGACAATTATACAGTATGATGCAAATGTATGGAATAAATTCATTTCAAAACAAGACGACTTCCGAAAAAAATCCAAAAACTAGAGTTCAGAACTTTTTTTATTGTGTATTTTTTCAACTAGACGACCCTTCGATGTTCAATTCTCAGTAGCAGACCTCTGCAAGATTCAGTTAACCAAATGATAATCTATTTTAATTGCAATATTCTTATGCAAAATTTTGACTGTTGGATAGACGATCAGTAGACCTTTCAAACGAGGTGTCACATGACCCCTGCTTGTATTTGAAAAAATCGTCCATTACGTCATTACTTCTACACCAGTGACGTAACATCTCTCATATGAATGTCATGAGATGAGGCTTCAAAAATTAAAACTCACGTGTTTTTGGAATTTCTTCAAATGTCGCCCATTTCTGAAATAATGAATTTATTCCATACATTTGCATCATACTGTATGTACCATCATACAGCTTAAGTAAGATCTCATCATTATTGAACAAGAATTCTCATGATTTAAGCTGTATGTGATGGTGATTTCCAATTCAAATAGATGGCTGGGATATTTACCTGATATTTTTGGAAGGAAGTACCTACCTTTTGGGAATGAAATGTTCTTTCGTAGGTAAAGTTATATGTATACCTCTTTTTTACTTACTTTTTACAACACATAATAATCAAATACCTCTATTTACATTCTTGATACAAAAACGGAATGTTAAAAATCATTTTACAGGTACATAGTAGGAAGACTATCATAGAAGCTCTCGAAAAAAATACTTATATGTAGTTCAAGGAAATGGTGAATTAATATAGTTGAAGAAGCTACATAATTATTATGGGCAGATACAATTGGGGATGCCATTAATTTTAATCTTAACAATACATTTTTAATTATAGATTCATCTTTGTATTTTATTTTGCAAAGCACTCTTGATATCCATCATAATAATTCGAACACATCACTGATGGCATACTATTTTGTTATTATATGCAGAAACAGCTTTTTTCGACGTTTCGTCGAAAATGGGCGAGTGAACTCGTAATGAATTATTGGCATTCAATTACTCCATTGTGTCGTTAGGGACTTGAATTAATTTTTGCAACACTTTCTTTATGTGAATAATGAGTGTATTCGTTGTTCGAAATTGTTTGAATTTCAGAGCTCATTTCAAACGTTCCGTCTTGGCCACCATTTGGCGATACGTCGAATAAATGGTGACGTCAGCTTTTATGCTGTTTCGTTATTGGTCCGATAATCTTCCATTCCCACTCAGGAAGCAAGGTTGTCAAGTCACCAATTATAACTAAGTTATCAAAAAGATGTAAGAGTCATATCATTGAATTGAACATAATAGGAGGAACCCATGGTATTATAGTTCATTCTTGACTCTTTCGAGCAACCAGCATGTCCAAATATTTCTAGTACTCCATAACAAAATTTCATGTAAATGATGGAGACTTGGCAACATTGTGCTGAATGCTCAGAAGGGACAAGACCACGCCCACAAGTGTTGTCACGTTCACCGCTTCAAATGTCCTCTAGTGCGAATCAATATAATTACTATTTACACTAATGTATTATAAGTGTAAGAGAGTATCGTATCCAGGAGCTACGTACCTATACGCCCTGTATAGTGCTTCTAGATTAATGAGTGTCGATCTATAGGTCGCGTGCACGATGACCGACACTGGAGGCAAAATATTGAAACACAACCTCATTCTTCTGTAAATTATTGAAACACAACCTCACTTTTTTATTTGGTTACAGAGGAATCAAAGGATTGAAATAGTTTTTCACAATATTTTGGCATACGAATCGTGTTTTTTGCGCTATTCATTAATTCAAGCATGCCTTCGCATTGTGCTGTTGTACAATGCACAAAAAATGCAGCAAAAGACAAGGAATATGATTTTTCAGGTAAATAGTAATCTCACATAGTTATCATTATGAAATGTTGTCATTCCTTATTAAAATTCCTTCTGCCTTCTGCCACTCTTGCAATACAAGCTAATACTGCTAATAGATTGAAAATGTCTACAACACACACAATCGTCAGCATGTCAGACCAGTCCTCCCGATTGATTGCATGAATCCAATCTTCTTGCATTATTTTAGAAATTTCAGGTGTATTTCTATTAGCTCCTATCAGAGAAGGAATTCCGATGAGAAATCAGAGAAATCACCAAATTTCAAAAATGAAAACTATAGGTGTATAGTGACTATAATAGGTACTTACTTTTAAATCATTATTATGTACCATCCGGATTCCTTCATCTTCCGCTGCAGTTTTTGTGCATTTTACAACAGCACAATGTGATGATGGCATGAGCGAATTGATGAATAGCGGAAAAATACGATTCGTATGCCAAAATAATTGTGAAAAACTATTTCGATCACTTGTAAATAAATAAGAAAAGTGACATTGTGTTTCAATGTTTTGCCTCCAGTGTTGGTCATCTGACAGTTCTTGCACGCAACCCATTGATGACACACGGGGTTATGTAAAAGGTGACGGGTATTTTGGGTAGAATTTATCGCCGCATGAGTAATATTAGGAAGTTAAGAAGTAGCCGTGATACGGCTAGGTTGTATCTAATACCTATTGTGAATATAGTGGAAATCGTGGAGTACCCAGAGTGTTTTATTCTAATAACCGTCTACCAAGCTAACATAAGCAATGAGCCACAAATCATAAGAGAACATTTTGAGACAATTGATTTTGTATTGCTAAATAGGAATATTACCAATACATTATTGAGAATTTATTAATGTATGAATAACTAATATTTCTGAAGTTCCTTATCGTATTTCATCACATGGCAACTGTGCTGGTCTGCCCTACTTACGAAATCGTGACATCAGTTTTTACTCGCGGTAAATTTCTATCCGTTTGAAAATTACCGTGGCATTATTGATGATTTAAGCACCTAAAATTCGACCAAAAATTCTTAAAAAATATGAAATCGAAATGTATTTGAGTGATGATTCTATTTGAGGTATAAAAAAAAATTAGTCCACTCGCCAATTCAGGACAGTGCATGCGCCAAATAATAACTAGCCGCGCTGGAAAAAGATTAAACAGCTGATGAAAGGTTATTGCATGAACACCCATATATTTTTAATTCAAAATTTGTTCAAATCTAAAATTCATTATAATTTAAATAGTTGATGTTGCATGGATCCACTAGGAGTCATTATATTTTATCGGACGATAGAGTGTTGTTTTCACGAACATTTAACGCTGTCTGGCGATATAATTCTACCACTCAATGAGTGTGGCATAATTTTTTTTATGGCATTGTGGACATGGACTCATCAGCCAGCATAATTTTTATTGAAAAGCAACGCTTCCTCAACACATTGCGTGCCAAGCCATTATTTGGGATTGAGTATGGAGGCCAAACCACAGTTTTCTATTATTTGTGAGTATTTTATGTTGAAATAGAGGTTTGTTTGATACTTACCTGTTTTTTTGAAGTTTTTGGTTATATTTTTTTGGTTTTGATGTGTCACTCATATATGAGAGACGTGGCCCTATTGCAGAAAAAAGGAAAATTTATCACTGGAGGCTACATGATTCAAATATGAGCGACGGTTTGTTCAGTATTTTCTCTTGTTTCCTGGGTTCTCTATAAGCAGGTCAAAAACAAAAAATCTGGATACGAGCATTTCAAGATATATCAGCCGCAGACCTACTTGATTTGAAGAATTCTGGAAAACCACAAAGGACTGAAACGGCAAAAGCATCTACTTCATCGTATCATCCACACATTCGTTTGACATGTTTCAATGAGATATATTAGGTTAATTTTTAGTTCGATTTTTCACCTCATTTTGCACGGAAATATAATAGTTTTGACTTTTTGTACTACAAAGTCTTAATGTTTTCAATTTTGCTCAAGCCAAGATTCACATGACCACTCTCTACATTCCCCATTTAAAATTTACGGCAGCATGATACATTTGTGAGAGACACGCACTGATAGAGTATAATATCTGTCTCTCACATATGAGAGACGAAATACCCTGGGAAAGTTTAATGTCGCTCATATATGAGTGACATGGGACGCAATGTGTTAATCATACGTTGCATTTATTCACCATATACAGCCGCCTCCACCACTGAAAACCTGCCAGACATCCCGATGAGTTTCCAATGATGTTACGGCAGTACAACAAGGTGGGAGATATTGATATATAAATCGGTCAATGAAATTTGTTGTTAGCTCCTAAGACTAAGACCCCTCACCTTCGGCAAAATCGAATACATCCCGATGGACACCAGCCTGCCCCAAGCGGCTCCTGTCAAAAGAGTCGGAATGAACAGCCCGTTCGACGTGGACAATCCGAAGGTCCACACGGCCAGCAGGAAATACACCGAAACGAAAGAGGCTAGCGAGAGGGCGTTGTGAGTGTTGGGAGGGTCGTGGAAGAGCGATCTGACAGACGCTTCCGGGGTTTGGAACCAGATGCTCGCCAAGACGTTGTACTGCCCGTCCTGGCAGTAGAGCTATAATGAAGGATATTGCATTTTTTACATGCAAGAATTGCACTCTGTGTCGTTACAGACCTCATGAAATGTTGCTATTTTATTTCGTGAGAAGGAAAAGCACTTTATAACACGAACATCACAATATATTTTTTCTCCAAACACTCCAAAATATCAGGATCTCAAAAGCTTGTCGTCATTTTTCTAAAATGAGTCATTTCACTTAACTTCTAATGGGAAATTTCCAAAAAAATCTCCATTTACTGAAATATTTGATTAAAAAGATAACAATACGGTTAGAGAAGAAACAAGATATTAGCAAACAATATAAACTCATTGCTTTCTTGAAGCGAAAAGGAGAGAGTTGGAAGGATACCAGGCCAAAAAGTCCAAGATTTTGAGAAAACACCATATGGAGCAATTCCTGAGGAATGCACAGACGATAATTATTTAAGAAAAGGTTATCTGATAATTGCATTCTCGGTTTTAGGCCTTGCAGAACTTTCTATGAAGAATTACTTTTTTTTTCCTAAAATTTATAATGAAGACATACTGTATGTACTATATATATTTTTTATACCGTACCACAATTGACATCTCTGAAACTGTAAATAATACGAAGTTAGTTGAATTAAAAATCAAAGAACAGCACATCAAAGCAAATTCGAAACAGAGAAGAACAGTTCTTGAACACATTTCCATATTTTCAAACAAGGTGCCAAAAATTTCAGTTTTTCCCGTATATTTTTTTAAACGGCTCGTAACATTTCCGATTTGGTGACATCGTTTCAATGTTCATTAAAATTGGCAACTTAGTAACATTTACCGTTTTCCAGATGCTAATAGTACTATGACATTGAGCCTCTATTGCCGTGAAAAATACGGGCCATATAGTAAAGAATAACCTTATCAAGTAAATGACAAAATTACTGCACCTGTGTTGGATATTTCGTTGGGTCCTGGCCCAAGGGTTTGCAATCGTTCAACATGAACATCATCAAAAAACCGGCCGAAGCACTTACTGCTGCAACTATACACGCTTCAATGACCTTCAACCATCGAGGTCTGATATACCTAAGAAAATAATAAAAAACATATGTCAGATTCATGGATTTATTGTTTTACAGACAGTCAGTTTCGGCTAGCCACGCCTTATCAGTTGCACTAGTTCACTAATCACTCTGTCTTGCAACACCTGATGAACAATTCGAGAAATCTCCCTAGGGTTTCAGAACTTTAGGTTTGCTAAGTGAGACATCATAAACTACTTTGAGATATTCAAGGGTTGCGTTGGTCTGAAGAATTGTGATATCTTGTCTTTCTGTATTGCAAACGTACGTTAGGTCTGATTTTCAAGGAAAGCTCGTTATCTTATCCATTACCTAGCTCCTCTTCCTATCCTCCCTAGATACGCACGATGCTTTGAACATTATAGGGATTCTCTTTCGTGCACACCAAGCGATAAAAATAATAATCAAGGACATGTCTTAGAAAAGATCATCTTTAGCCTAATTGAAAGTTCAACAATTCGGAGAAAATATTGTTATGAAGGCAATAACAGTTTTTGGTTGAAAATATAATATTGTCAAGAAGTACAAATGCCTATGAAATAACATCACTCAAACTCTCGTTCATTTCAAGATTATTATTCAAAATTAACTCTCAAACTAAAACATCCAGTACTAGTTTCGATGAGGTCAGCGAAGTTGCAAAAGCCGCTTACCAAGCGATAATACCTAGAGGTAGCAATATCGAAAGGTAATGGCCATTCCCATTGCGGAAAATTGCAAACCTAGCATCGATTCCGAATATAGGCAACAAATGTTTGCTGTCTCCCCGACTTCAATTCTGCTGGTCAACCCCATGCTAGACGTTGTAATGTAAGCACTGTTTTTTCAAGTGTTGTTTTGCGTTGTGTTCCATTTGGAAAGTCTTTTTTCTTTGCTATCTCGCCATGTGGCAAGCATTCATCCACGACTTTTCCAATTAATCGATAAATAATGTCAAATTTTATATGAAAACTGTCTTGACTCTTTATTTGGGGATGAATGTGAATGGGTGGTGAAATGATCAAAACCTCTCGTCAAAAAGCCAAGCGATCAGCTAAGTTACGACCTATAGGAGGGACAACATCTGAGTTGCGACAATATTGCTAACTAGTCAATCGATGCCTGCCTCATTGAGCATTTTTTGAAGGATTTTCGGTGATACTATGTTCAAATCTTCTCATCTGAGCAGTTCACACTTGACAGACTCCAGCATAATCATTGAGACATAACGTTTAAACCATGAAACAAATCAGATCATCGAATCTTCAATATTTTGCGCAAGTGCTCACTCAACAGAAACTCACCTCCTCCAAAACACGATCATTTTGAAATTGATGTGATTCCATAGGGCGCCGAAAAGGTCTCCCATCGCTCCCATGATTATCAATATGGGCAACTCGAACAGTTCGTAGAAGAAGCTGTCGAATTTGTCCAACTTGAACAGCCTGGGGTAGTTGAGATCGCCCGACACCCCATGATCAGCAGAAAATAATATGTTGAGGGTGATGGTGTTTTGTTTTCCCTGAATAATGATCAAGCCATCAGCTTTCCTTGAGAAATAAAATGCAGACTAACATTCCAAAACATGATTCTACGATTTGGACGAATTTTCATGTTTTTTTTTTCGTTAAGTGTATATCCGATGAAGTGCTTCTTGAATTGAGTATCATTGAACTTAGAGGCGAAAACTACATTTTTGCGAAGAATATTGATTATTTTCGGCAATACTATGTTCAACATAAACTTAAGACAAAATCGTGAAACAAATCAGATCATTGAGTCTCAACATATTGCGCAATAGGCAGGAACACAAATGCGTGAACAGTATATTGAACATAACATGAATGAGAGGGTTAGAAAATACAAACTCATCTCCACAACGTTTAATAATCGAAAGATTATTTAAGGGAACATCTTTCGGACAGTCATGTGTCTAGCATCAGCCTTAATCCTTGCAAACCAATGGTCCTATAATATTATACAAGCAGCGTAAGTTAATCATGAAAAATATATGCAATAGAGAATTTTCTCACATGGGAATGAACAAAACATTATGAAAAAACTTCAAATGAAATTATTGGGCAAATTAGCACCGGTTAAGGGTCAGGTTAATTGAGGACGTACATATTCAAGATTTGATGGCAAAACCCATTTTTGGAAAAAAAAAACGAAAAAACGGTGGTCAAATAATTACTCAAAACAAACCTACATCATCAGATGATGGAGGACAAGTGGCTTTCTTAGCAATCCACAAAACGCAAGTTCTGTGATAACAAGACGACCAGAAGCACCACTCGACCTAAAACAATAAGAAGATACCCTGGTACCTACATAAATTTGAATGAACATAATGGCGGGTAGTAGAGATCAATGCAGGAAAAAGATTTCAAAACTGAAAGATAAAAATTATATTAATAAGTTGATTAATGAGAAACCAAAGAATTGAAAAATGTTTAGCAATCAGAGTGGGTTTGCTCATTGAGAAGAATTTACACTTGACTAATTCGAATAGTTTTTCACAATATTTTGCAATAGTTTTTCACAATATTTTGGCATACGAATCGTGTATTTTTCGCTATTCATTAATTCATGCATGCCTTATTCTCATTGTGCTGTTGTATAATACACAAAAAATGCAGCGAGAGACGAAGGAATGTGATTTTTCAGGTAAATAGTAATCCCACATAGTTTTCATTATGAAATTTTGACATCTCTTATTAAAACTCTTTCTGCCACTTCTGCAATAGAAGCTAATACTGCTAATATTTTGGAAATATCTACAACATATACGCTGCTATTTCGTCAGCATGTCAGACCAGTCCTCCCGTTTGATTGCATGAATCCAATCTTCTTGCATTCTTTTAGGAATTTCACGAGTATTTCTATTAGCTCCAATTGCAAAAGGAATTCCGATGAGAAATCAGGAAAATTACGAAATTTCAAAATGAAAACTATATGTCTAGGTACTTACTTTTAAATCATAATGTACCAACCGGATTACTTCGGCTCTCGCTGCATTTTTTGTGCATTGTACAACAGCACAATGTGGTGACATGCGCGAATTAATGAATAGCCGAAAAACACAATTCCTAGTCAAAAATAATTGTGGAAAACTATTTCAATCATTTTTTAACAAATAGGAAAAGTGAGGTTGTGTTTCAATGTTTCATCTCCAGGGTCGGTCATCTGACAGTTCATACACGCAACCCATTCTACGCAATAAGGGGCAGGAACACATATGCGTGAATTCAATTTAAATGTGTACATAACTGACAAATATAGTATAGTGAACATAACATGAATGCATGATTTTTTCATATGTAATACCAGAAGTGATGATATTTTGCCGGAAATATTCGGTGATTGTTACGACAGCTTGTTGCCTAGTAATTTCGCGAATGACATTGTTATCAAAACTACGAGCCGTAGGCGAAGTTTTGGATCAATGTCGTGAGCGAAATTAGAGCAGCAAGCTGGAGTATGTCAATCGACGAATATTTCCAGGAAAAATAGTATCACGAGTTGTATTCGTATGACTATTTCATGATTGAATGAGACAATATATATAAGAAATAAGAAACATATAATTTAAGTATATTCCAACTCAAACTGCGAAGAAGAACATAATGATAGTAATGAAATACAAAATTAAATTTTTTAGAAATTAACTACCTACTTATAGTCATTCACAGAGTGGAATGTACAATTTTGATCAACAGTATTTTTTTTATTATCTTGGAAATGGTTACTCTCAAAAGAGTGTATACAATTGCTATCCAATTCAAACAAAATGAATTGAATTTATATGACATGAAATAATTAAAAAAAAAAGATATCGTCGCCAAGGGAATCGAATCATCCTTCGTATCTACGCGCAACAACCCTATCAGTTGAGCTACATCATTTGGTAATTATATTAGTCACAATTGACTCATTGAATAAGATTAGTTTGAAAAATTGTTGTGTCAGACCGTCAACAGATATGCAAACTTTTTGAATTACACATGGAACGTCCAGCCAGAATAAAATTTTCTCGCCTTTCGTCCCACGAACGCGGATTATAAGTAAATAAAATAAAGTAGGAACTTAGGTTATTGTCTCAAATTTGAATCCCAAGCAATCTTGACCAGACACGATGTCAAAATTTAATCGCTGATAAACGAGGTTTGTTGGTCACGTGTGGGTCAATTCAACTTCTGTATTGGTAGAGCAAGTCTGATAAAATTTAATAAACAAAAAATATCGCTAGAATACAGAAGAAACCGTGAAAATCGTCGATTCTGATTGGTTCTCGAGATCAAGAGTGGAATAGTCAATAAAATATGCTGTAATACTTCAAAAAATACCATTTGAATACCCTACAATTTTATGGAACGTATGAACATAGCGTTAGATGGCAAACTCGTCTATCCAATAGTGACGTCATAATCCCGTTCCCTCTGTTGCAAGCTGTTTTATTTCGAGGAAATAATTAAAATATTTCTCAACAAAAACTCACCTCATCCGAAACACGGTGATTTTGAAGTTGATGTGATTCCAGAGGGCGCCGAAAAGCCCCCCCATCGCCCCCATAACCATGAATATAGGCAATTCGAACAGTTCGTAGGTGAAGCTGTCGAATTTGCCCAAATTCAACAGACCGGGGTAGTTGAGATCGCCCGGCACCCCGTGATAAGCGGAGAGCACTATGTTGAGGGTGAAAGTCGATACTACAGAGGCGAAAAAGGTGCGCCATGTTAGACCTTGGTTCCAGAAGCTCGTGCCTTCTTCCAAACTGAATAAGACGCCACCTGGAACGAATTTTATTTTTCTGTGACGGGAAAAAAGTTTGACATTTTATCTCTGTTGACAGGTTACAAAATGTAACTTCATAAATTACTTTTTATCCATGGAAAAAAAGTGAGTACTTTTATCCCGTATATTGTATAGATGGCCTCTTGATGGCTTTTGTTGTGCCAGTTCCGGAAAATAAGCCAATAACAGAGTCTCCAAGAAGAAAGTCCTTTTTATCTTCTATTCTACTTCGTGTTTACGTAAATTACTAAACAACCATCAAAATCGCAATTTCTCAAAATCAAAACACATTATTGAATTGACACATATTCGATCACTTGAAAAGGTTTCCATAGCAACAACAAAGATGCCTACCTATCGATATACCAATATATCAATATCTTCAATATAAATTTTTTTTCAAAGGTTTGTTCAGGCATGAAAAAATATTTCGTAGGTAGGAAGGTATAGGTAGGTAGTTTTCATGCTGATTTAATTAGTTTGGTTGAAGATTTCATAACCCTTGGTTTGGATAAAAAATATGATTATTTTGAGTTAGGAGTAGGAAAAAATCGATATATCGATATACAGGGTGATTCATTGGGAAATACGCATACATTAAGGGTAGATGGAGGACACCAAGGTGCTTCTAAATAATCCATATTTCATAGATCATTCAATTCAATGTGACAAAATTGTCAAATTGATTTTCGTTCAGGTTCAAACACTGTGTGTACTGTAATCTTAGATCATGGAACACATTGATCTGGATAGAGACTCGCGAGGCAATTTAAAGAACGACACTCTCGCAAAAACAGGGTGTCCGTTGTTCGAGCTCCACCATTAGGATCTCAGTTTTTATCAGAGATACGAGGTCGGTTAAATTAAGGCAAAGTTGCGCATTTTCATGCTGAACAATTATCTGCAAGAAAATTTGATGTGTCATTTTTAGAATTATTCGAAGAAAACGAAAATTCGTAATTTTCATTTTTAGTTTTTCAAGCAAAAACCAGAAGACGTTTCTGCCTAGGACAATCTTGAGGCACTTTTTTACAAGGAATCTGAATCTGTCATTGTATCTTCCATGACGTTCTTGAATCCAAAGTTACAACACAAAACTCTGTTTTTTCTTATGGGCTCCATATTGGCTTTTAACATTTTTGAAAGGTCATTTTTTTTATTACAATGATGTATCACACGATATGATCGAATCTTTCCTGTTGATCAAACTTCGGAAAAACCATAACTGCGAAGAGTGCTTTGGAAAGATTGTCAACAGTTTTGTTTAGCAAGCTGAATTTCGACAGTTTATTTGAATTTGGATCTGGAACGTTCACATTTTTGTCAAGCTCATCTACTTGAAAACTATGGTTTCGAATTACGAACGACGTAATGAGCTAGAAGTTTATTCTTCGCAAAACAAAACAAAGTCTAAACACAATTCTACGCAATCATGTTTTTTTGCCAATTCAGATCAACAGGAAATCTTCGATCATATCGTCGCGCATCAAACTTCACAAACGGGAGGAAATGGATACCTTTACTCCCTTGATATATAAAAAGCTATCCTTTATTCTCTTATTGCTTTCTCTTACATGATTTTTTTTCTTTTCAGGTAAATCGCGATCACTGCAAAAATGTAAGTATCATTTACTTAACCGAAGAATTGTGAAAAAATACTCGAAGCAGAATAAGCATGCAAAGAAGTCACAACTTTTGAATGAATAAGAATATGATAAACCTAGAATCTCAAGACTAAGAGATTCTAGGGAAATTTCGTGAATCGATTGTCAGCTGATGCAAGACAGACTGTTTCGACTTGCCATAAGCCTCATCAGTTGCACTGGCCAGCTGACAATCGATTCACGAAGGGTACCTCCATACAGTGTGGTCCAACGAAAACTTAACACCTCGATTTTCCGGCGTTAACATGAAAATGTGGAAAATCGCTCGAACCCGTCAATTTCTGATTCGAGGGGGAACAACTTTTCCGCTGTTTTCATCCCCGTGACTTCAACCCCCTAACGGGGGTGAGCACAACCCCTTGATTTTGAATAGGGATGAGGGGTGTTGAGATACCTCATTTTGAAGATCTTATCGTGTACTATCTGACCGTAAAATTTCGCTCCAAAATATCCATCGATAACGAAATGACAGGTAAAATAGTGGAAGAGTACGTACTTTTGTGATTACTTTATTAAATGTTCGAAATGGGCACCATCCACTTCCATGCAGTAATATAAGTTTTGCTGAAAACGTTCACGTACATTACTAAAGATTTCTGGTGTAATTTGACGGCATTCATTAATGATCCGAGTTCGCAAATCATCCAGTGACTCAGGCTGGGTAGCGTAAATCTTGGATTTCAGGTGACCCCATAGAAAAAAGTCCAGTGGAGCCAGATCAGGTGATCTGGGTGGCCACTCAATATGTCCCCTTCTTCCAATCCAGGCGTGAGGAAAATTGTCATCTAAAAACTGACGCACCGGTTGAAACAAGTGAGGTGGTGCGCCATCTTGTTGGAAAATGATCGTTTGATGGTCTTCTGCATTCTCCAATACTTGCACGAGGGCTGGATAAATAGCGTTCTCCAATAGATCAAGATAAATTTGGCCTGTGAGATTAACGGGTAGAAAAAAAGGGCCGATTATGTGATTTTCATAAATACCCGCCCAAACATTTAATTTTTGGGGGCGCTGTGTATACACCTCACGAAATAATCGTGGATTTTCATCTGACCAATACCGACAGTTATGCCGGTTTAAAATGCCGTTAAGGTAAAATGAACACTCGTCCGAAAAACAGATATCGAACATGTAGTTTTGATTGCCGTTAATTATTTCACTGATCACTTCACAGAACTGGAGTCGGCGATCGGGATCATCCTCATATTCAGTTCCTGAACCAATCGTATCTTATACGGATGGAATTTATGTTGTTTCAGGATTCTCATGATTGTTGTGCGTGAAACACCAGATACATCGGACAATTTCCTAGTACTAACGGTCGGATCCATTGCTATATGACCTAAGACAGCCACGTCCCTCGCTTCGTCTCTTTCATGCACCCTCTTTTTGTTTCCAACTGAACCAGTAGCGTCAAATTTGGCAACCAGTTGCACAACGTAAGCAGCGGATACATTTTTTCCAGGATGTCGTTCGTTAAATAAAGCCGCTGTTGTGCGCGCAGAGTCGTTATTTCGGAAAAATAATTTTATCATTTCCACCCTTTCTTCTACGGAATACACCATTTTAATTCCACTACAAATTTACAATCGCTTGGACACACTTGTACCGTTCTTAACAATTCACGATAGACTAAGGTACAAAAACAAGGTCCGTCTACTTTTTTGGACAAAGAATTAACCACTCAATACCTTTGAAATGCGTCGGATACGAATAATATTCTCGAGATAAATTCCATATTGCCTCTTTCACTATTTTCGCTGTTATTTCATTATCGATGGATATTTTGAAGTGAAATTTTACGGTCAGATAGTACACGATAAGATCTTCAAAATGAGGTATCTCAACACCCCTCATCCCTATTCAAAATCAAGGGGTTGTGCTCACCCCCGTTAGGGGGTTGAAGTTACGGGGATGAAAACAGCGGAAAAGTTGTTCCCCCTCGTATTATAAATTGACGGGTCCGAGCGATTTTCCACATTTTCATTTTAAAGCCGGAAAATAGAGGTGTTAAGTTTTCGTTGGACCACACTGTATATCAAACAAGTCGAACTCCTGAGGGGCCCTAGAATCTCTTAGTCTTGAGATTCTAGGTTTATCACCATCTGTTAGTGGAACATTAAACCACTTTGAGAATTCCAGGTGTTGCGATAGTCTACAGAATCTAACATGGATGTCTTTTCTGTAAGCATATAGACAAAGGGGTCTATATGCACGACTTAGTCGCAAGGTATGATCGATGAATCTACCTATACACCTTGCACTTAAGCCACTAGATGGCTATGAAGGCTAGATCGTCCTTCTGCCCCCTCAGGGCTTCGACTTGTTTGATATATGGAGGTACCCTTCGTGAATCGATTGTCAGCTGGCCAGTGCAACTGATGAGACTTATGGCAAGTCGAAACAGTCTGTCTTGCATCAGCTGACAATCGATTCACGAAATTTCCCTAGAATCTCTTAGTCTTGAGATTCTAGGTTTATCACCATCTGTTAGTGGAACATTAAACCACTTTGAAAATTACAGGTGTTGCGATAGTCTACAGAATCTGAAATGGGTGTCTTTTCTGTAAGCATATAGACGTAGGGGTATATGCACGACTTAGTCGCAAGGTATGATTGATTAATCTACCTATACACCTTGCACTTCAGCCACTAGATGGCTATGAAGGCTGGATCGTCCTTCTGCCCCCTCAGGGCTTCGAATAAGAATATCTCATCAATGCAAAAAAAGGATCGTGTGATGATGACATTCAGTAAAACTATGTTTTGTTACAGTCGTATTCAATAAAAAAGCGTACAAGTATTAAAAAGAGAGGATTTCGGGATCCTAGTTCTGTTGTGTAAAACTGGCTCAGCCAATGCTTTGTGTTTTCGAGAACCTATGACAACTTCACTGTCAACATTTGGTGAATAATCATTCCCGATAGTCCGTTTTATGCAGAATAGAATGACGTTAATTTCTCTCTGTAATATACTTGTACGCTTTTTTTTTAATGCGACTGTACATACACCTACACGGTAAAAAATATTTGCTGCACAAACAATGCTAGTTTGTATGGTAAGTTTTTTGTCAAACTGAAAAAAAAAATGGCAAAATCAACATGTGTTCATTTCAAAACTCAACTTTATTTATTTAAAAAATACGAAACATTTTAATCAAAATGAGTACTTGTTTACTTGAACAAAATTTCATTCATTCAATAAAATTTATAGTTATATTTTGTAGATCCAACTATCAATTCAAATATGTAAGGAAGGAAAACATTATATGATGTTATATCAACAATCATTTTAATGTTCAATCAGTTAAGTATATGCATCTTGTCAATTTTACAAATTTGAGTCGAATTTGAAAATAAACTATATTCTAGGATATTATATTCTGATGAATAAACAGGCAGGTGAGAAGACTGATAAACCATTTTGCATTCGCTTTTTTTCATAGCAAACTACTAATTAGGTCCATATCTTTAATAGTCTATAAAAAGTGCTGAATATTTGTAAATGTTGAATGTTGGTGAAATTGAAACAAGTGTGTGACAAAGGAACAAGGTAAATACGAAAATTTGTGATATGGAAGATGTTGCCACATATTCACAGTGATATTCAATGAAAAAGCGCAGTATTAAAAAGAGAGGTTTATGTCATCCTAGTTCTGTGATAGTAGATTGTTTTATTAGGATCAAAAGTGACACTTTGTTTGACAAGCGAATTTTGCATTTGCGAGGCGGAGCGTTTAGCGAAGCCGAGCGAAAGCAAAATTTGCGAGTCGAACAAAGTCACTTTTGATCCAAATGAAACATGCTATTTTTTTCTGCAACCGAAACATTTAACTCAAATAAACGTGTGAAGTAACCACCAATGCCGTGCCATATGTATGCAATGCAACAAATATTGACAAATAATTCATGTGGTGAGAATATTCTACCTGCATTAACAGCAGGTTAGGTTTTCTAGAATGTTCGAATTGTAGTTTCCGCGCCAGTGCCAGCTATAGGAACAAGACGTGGAAAATGTTAGGTTAGTGAGCATATCAACAATGATAATAGTGATTATTTATTCCTCTCCATAGTACACTGTGTTTGACTTGATAATCAAATGGAGCTAAACAATATCGTTGTTTGAGACAAAAAAACTTTTGCTTGCCGTGATTATTCAAAAACAAGTTATCCATCCCGAGAATAACGAATGAAATACAGATCAAGCAAGTATTTGAATCTTGAAGGCTTTCCTGATCAAAACAAAAATACTTAACTGAGATGTTTATAATTCCAATACTAAACTATAATAAGGTGTATTTATATTTCCAGCATGGGTATGAAATGCCAAATCTGCTGAAATCGGAAACAAATCAGGTATGCGTCTCATTCCAAATAACCAATCGTCACAATGTTGTTTATTCTTGATGACGTCCAGTACATCCTTTTTAGTTCCTAGGAGCTAAAGTTCAACTTTAGCTCCCAGGAACTAAAATTCAACTTTAGCTCCTAGGAACTAAATATGTTGCCTAGCAACATACCTATTTTTGTGTCAGTAATAGAAACGTCAATTTAAGAGCTAATTTTGGTATCAAAATGGACGACTTTTGTGTCGGTTGCAGAAAAAATTGGCTCAGCCAATGCTTTGTGTTTTTGAGAACCTATGACACTTTACTGTTCTGTCAACATTTTTACTCAAATAGGATGACACTAGTTTCTCTCTAATATACTTGCTTTTTTATTACAACTCTACAAAGACCATCAATAAGAAACAAAACAATGGAAATTATCTAAATAAGGCTGATACTCGAAATATCCTGAAAGGGTAACATTACGTTTCATCCATGGCCAAATATTTGAGTGATGATTCTATTTGAGGAATAAAAAATGAAATCAGTCCACTCGCGTATCCTCATTCGGGGACCGGTCAGTTGGACCACGAGTACCTGCATTAATCCTTTTTTGAAAAAGGTCGAGTTAAGCCCACCCTGCAGTTCGACCAGGTTAACATTTTATTTTCTAATCGATTTAATAGAATTATTTCAGTAACGTTCAAACGTTCTAGTAAGCATAATTATCCTTCAAGTATCTAGTTAATTTAGTTTTCATACAAACGTCAAAAAATGACAAGGTTCGCGCATTGATACCAAATTGCGATGTGACACTTTTTTGTACTAAATTTTTTCTACAATTATTTACTGTTCATGGTTTTAAAAATGGCTATTATATACCTGTTGCATTTTGCTTGTTACCAAACAAGAACAGCTCAAGTTATTCAAAATTATTTCAACTGTTAAATGAAAAATGTAAAACTTTGGATCTGATGTTTAAACCTTCAACAGTCATTGTTGATTTTGAACAGGCAATTCATAACGCTTGTTCAATAATGTGGCAGAATATAAAAATTATAGGATGTAGATTCCATTTGTGCCAATCGTGGTATCGTAAAATTCGAAATTTGGGCTTAGTCACAGAATATCGGAACAAAAACTCAGAGATAGGCAATTTTCTAAAATTATTTTTTTGGCTTCCATTTTTAGACCCTAATGAAGTAGGAAACAAACGCGTGTGAATCATTTCATTCTCATTATAATTCTAATTTTTATAGTTCCCACCCAAGTTAATTTAATTATGTAAATATCTTAATAAACTTTCAAGCACAAACATATATTAAAATAAATTCCGTAAAATGTTTCACCAAAAAAGTGCAACACAGAAAAAAAAATGATTTTATTAAAGCTAAGATATCAGAATATAGAAATGGCCTTTTATCACAAAAAGATTTTGTAAAAATTATGTCTTATTATAATTCACCTCAATAACAAATAATATACACACACTGGCACAATTAGGGGAACGGGCAAAATTTACACTAAGTTTGACATCAATTTTCTCTCGAACCGATCACTCGATTCAAATTTGTTTTCCACAAATTGTAGCTTCATTCTTCACGAATACATCTGAGAAATAACCACCTCCAAACGATTCGTCTTTATATCATATACAGGGGTGTAAAGAAAGTACGGATTTTTCGGTATTCTTTAAGACATCCTGTGGAGTGAACCACTGATAATTGAAACGATTATCCAACACGAAATTGGAGCCCAATCTATTCCGAATATTTTCGTTTTTAATTCATCTTGATATCCCAATTATCCAAGAAAATATAGAGTTTCAAAGAAGAGGTGGATATTGGTATTAATTTTACCACCTCGAAACTCGAACTGGGGAGAACGTGTCGTTTTTCAACTTGTTTCTGTGAGGATTTTTACTTCAAGATGAGAATTGTTCACAGTTTTACCTATCGGTTTACTGTTTGAAGACACATATACGAATACTCTCATGAATATGCAGGGGTGATAAAAGTTGCTCCAATGTTCTTTTGGTGAAATGATATTTTTGTTAATCAACGTTGGCTATTTTGTTAATGTCATTAATTATTGTCAAAGTCAAGCGATTCACAATAAATTCATAAATTTGATTATTGAAAATTCAACATGAGAGATTCGACTCCTACTGATGTGGCGAGGGCTGTAGCATTAATTGGAAATGACCAGTGGGCCAATGTTCTTTTAACATATGAGAGCCGCATCTGCACCAATTCAATAGATGGCAGGAAAAGACTATATCGCCAAGGTGAACAAAATGAACAATTTGATTTTACTGCTTCTGTCTCCTATGGCAGAGGTTTAGTCACGGTTAGGTTAGGTTAGTCGAGAAACGACACATTTTCAGATCCAATTTGAGTTTTGAGGTGTAAAATTGATACCAATATCCACCTTTCCTTTGAAACTCTGTATTTTCTTGAATAATTGAGATATCAAGATGAATGAAAAACGAAAATATTCGGAATAGATTGGGCTCCAATTTGGTGTTGAGAAATCGTTTCAATTATCAGTGGTTCAGTCCACAGGATGTCTGAAAAAATACCGAAAAATCCGTACTTTCTTTACACCCTTGTATATGATAGAAAGACTCATCGTTTGAAGGTAATTATTTCTCAGATGTATTCGTGAAGAATGAAGCTACATTTCGTGAAGAAAAAAATTTGAATCGAGCGATCGGTTCGAAAGAAAATTGATGTCAAACTTAGTGTAAATTTTGCCCGTTCCCCTAATTGTGCCAGTGTGTGTATGTTAGGAAAATAGTGATTGTTTTAATTCTTAGAATACAACCTTAATCCGCTCGAAGAGCGGTCGTGGTCCAACTGATCGGTGTACTTAAAACAGGTACCTGGCCCGTGGACGAACTGTCCGACTCCCCCTTATTCACCTACCTACTGGTGCTCCAAAGGCCGCAGAAACACCCGCAGCAGCTCCCCCTGATACAAAGTCCCGTTTTTCGTGGTCCTCTCGAAAGTACCGGAAAATGTTGAGATCCTTGTCGAAAGTGCTCGATTTTCCTTGCGATATGCCTGCTGCTACCACAGCTCCCGAATGGATCATGGGACCTTCCTAACAATAGCATGAAATAGTTATTTACCCAACAAGTGCGGAAAGTAGTACTTTTCCGCACGCGACAGCAGTTGCACGAACGACGCGGAGCGCAGTTCTGGCAAGCCGCCAAGGGTGAAAAATACATTTTTCGTGAGAGTAAGGTCGATGTTTTTCCTACGAGTGTTTTTGTCCATATTATTTATGAAAACAAAAAGTTTTTAATAAACAAGATTTTATAATGTTGCTACAAAATGACACATAAGACAGAATAGTTACGTAGATCATTCCACTCAGAAATGCAAGTGGATAAAAAAATCAGACAAATTTCGTTACCATAGCAACGATAAAATTTACTGTTCGTTTATCAAGTGTTGTGCGTTGCGTCAGTTTGACAATTGTAAATGTGAAAAACAGAATTAAACAGCAAATGTTATTCCAGTAAGTATGTGGAGATTCGGAAATATTTGCGAGGCAGAAATAGTGGAGTAAATTGAAAAATCAACTTCAGATAATACAAAAAGAAGTAATTCATCCATTTGGAACCAATTTAGCGATATTTGTGAACAACGAAACTTGGAAACCGAATATTCAGGAATATTGATGAACTGGGGCTTCAATATGGAAAAACAGGAAAGGAAAGATTAAAAAGAATACGTGGTGAAAACAATGTATACTCTCGTGATTTTTTCAGAACGACTCTCCTCAAATTGCCAATGAAAGTAAGTATTCGAATCAAAAACAACCACAAAAAATATCCGGCTAGATCTGAGCTCTCATGGTATTAACCCCGAGAAAATCGTGCGGAAGAGTAAAATCGTTCGGAAAAGTATAACTCTTAAACCAAAATATCGTGCGGAAAAGTTACTTTTGTTTATCACAACTCATGATTATACCGATAAAGGAGCTAAAAGAAAGATTTGGAAACTGCAACCAGATACGAAACATACAGATTGTTTTCCCGATCGTTACACATAGAGCATGTGAATAGCAACATAGCAAACGAGATTGATTCGGTCGGCTCTCGTACGTCTCCGCTAGTATTGCCAGGTTTAGCATGAGATAAGCAGACTTGACATTGAACACGGTAGATTTAAAAATAAACCGGTAGATATAGTTTGAAAATTGAGCTTTTCGACAACTTATAGGGGTTTACTAGTCATCAGTCTCGATTGAACTCACTTAAAATCATGAATCTTCAAAATAGATAACTCGAACAAACAATCAATGAAATAGTGTGGTTGCCACGAATCTTGGGTATTCACCGATATTTCCTGTAGGGGATTCACCGACCAAAGCCAATTATTCAAAATGTAATACCTATCCACAGTTAGCGATAAAGCGATGGAATGTAGTGTGGTTACTGCAATAGATATTAGATATGTTGCCGTAAGGAATCAATAAATATTAATATTCCCGTGGATATTATATCATAATTTTTATAATTTATTCAACTGAACAAAAAGTTGTTTTTCAAGTATAAATACATTCGAAAGAATGAATTTAAGTTTCAGCGGGATATATTGAATCTTTGCGGTAGAACGGTAGGTCTACACTATAAAAACGGAAGATCTACCGCAAAAACAGTACACCTAACAACACCACTGATACAATCGCTATTCTCAATACTCATATATATAACGATTCCATAAACAATCTGTATACATTCTTTCATATTTTCGACACCTGATAACATCCAAACAAAAATCATAGGCAATCAGGTTAAATGAATCACGAAACATGAACAAGACTGTAATGAACGCGGGGATTCAACCAAATTTATTACAAGGAATATACTTAGGAAGTAGGTCGTTTTGAATTAGGACATTGAACATTTGAGTACATGAACTAGAAATATCTTCATGAAGTGTTTAAGAAGCATGTATTGATTTCTATAATGGAGAAATATTATTACGTGAATGAACATGATCGGAATCTGAACTCTTTTATGAATCTAATCACAGCAAAAACATATAGGTTGATCATATAAGATACTTGTCAGTGTTAGTACTTCAACATACTGAAAGCAATTTTCCACTGAAACAGGCCCATTGTTTCAAAAACAACAACACTGTGCGGTGTCCGAGTTGACTGTGTTCAACACAGTATTTTGAAAGGCAAGCTTTATAAATACGGTATGAGGGGAAAAGCGTGCGAGCGGTTATCTTTGTACCTAGATCACAGGTTACAATCCCTCGAAATTCACTTATGTCTGATCTTATAGTAAATGCACAAGGAGTTCCACAGGGATCCATACTTGGGCCCCTGTTATTTATCCTTTACATAAATGAGTTACCTTCTGTTGAACCAGAGTCTATTACCACTCTTTATGCAGATGATTCAACATTTTTGTCTAATGAAAAGGACCCAAACATTTTAATGGCCAAAATTATGGATGCTTTGTTGAAATTTTCTGCCTGGTCTAGTGATCAATCCATGTTGTTTAATACAACTATAACGAATTTTATATCACTTCATCCTCGCCAGAAAACTTGTATCCCTAACTTTAATATATTAGTTAATAACTCAAACATAACAAGAAGAGAAAATAAGAAATTTCTGGGTGTATTATTTGATTCAGATTTGTCCTTCAAATGTTTTCAAATTAGAAATTTAAGAAAAATACTCAATATAAATCACATTCGTTCACTTTACTTTAGTGAAATACAGTCTAGGATTAGTTATGGGATTGGTATTTGGGAGAGCTCTCCTCATGCTAAAAGTATTTTTATGTCACAGAAAACAATTTAAAGATATATTCCAAACATCTCATTTGTAGATTCCTGTCGACTTGTTTTTATCAACTTGAGAATTTCAACTATATATGGCATTTATATATTGGATTTAATCACATCAGTTCATAGAAATGAAAACGATAATGAAAAAGTGATATTTATGCTCATACCAAGATATAAATCAGAATTCTCTCTACCTTACCAGCAAATAGAAATCTGTAAGAAATCAACTAGTGTAATAGGAATCAAACTATACAACAGTCTCCCACAATGTTTCAAAGATATAGCCTTGGTGCATAAATTTTGAGAGAAAACTAAAAATTATCTCATTGACATGTGTCCATACTCGGTTGAAGAATATTTTGAAAATAATCGTTGAATTATGTCGAAACTGCTAATACGTTGATCTGAATTTTTGATGTACCTGTATGTTTCTAGTTTTGTATTATGTTATGGTATATTGTATTCATTGACCTATATTATTGGCCAATTTTGGTATTTTAAGGTAAATGCTCTAGTTTCGGCTAGACTTTTCAATTTTAATTTGATCATTTTGACCTGTCTTATGTCATCATTTGATATTGAGAAATCAATAGTTTCTATTCTATTCTAAGCCCCGAAATTCGCTATATGCCAAGGTGCTGTCGGTTCTAAACCGGCACGAGTGAGCGTTTTTCTTAAAATTGTGTAGAAGTGGTTCAGAATACACTATAAGCTGTAAGAAGACGGGCTATGGGGTTTCTGGGCCAAGCCAATCAGAGACCAGCATCTAGTTGGAGGCCACACCCACGCCACGAAAATACCACGGATATGCCACGGAAGTGTCACGGAAACGTCACGGAACATGGAAATGTCATGGAAATGCCACGGAAACGTCAAGGAAATGCCACGGAAGTGTCACGAAAACGTCACGGAACATGGAAATGTCATGGAAATGCCACATAAATGCCACGGAAGTGTCACGGAAACGTTACGGAACATGGAAATGTCAGTGGGTGTGGCCTCCAACTAGATGCTGGTCTCTGATTGGCTTGGCCCAGAAACCCCATAGCCCCTCTACTGCTGTAGCTCCCGCTCTTCCTAACCCATCACAAGTTACGACTTTTGGAGAGTCGGTTTCCAAGTTCGAAGTAGCGATATACAAGAAAAAATAATTGAGGTTATACTCACCTTTCCGCCAGCCAGTCCTCCCACCACCGAGCAAATAACCCCGATGCTTTTGACAACCAGAGTCCTCACCCTCACAACTCTGGGGATCTTCACCCCGTTGAGGTAGCACTTGACCTGCGGTATACCGCTGCCCGCCGCTATTGGCTCGACGTAAGTGACCAATAGGGAGCCGATAAGAACAGGCACCGTGTTGTAGAGCGCCCACAGACCGAACGGGATGTACAGTTTGCCTTCCACGACGTATTTGTCGACGCCTGTTGCTTAATGTCAAGGAAAATGATGATTTTTGTCATTAAATTGAGAATTCTCAACAATCTTAACCTCAGATTCATGTGTGAAAATTCAAGAGATATCATTTTATTACATTGAAATTGTTGAAGTAATTATTTCACGGACTGGGGAGATTGTGATGAACACGGAGACTCAAGCAAAATTGTAAGGAGAACGAATAATGCACTTAGGAAGTAGAAGGTCGTTCAAATTAGGACAGTAACCATTTAGCAATAGGAAGCCATTGAAGTCGGGCAACTTTTTGCTTACTGTCAAGGAGAAGTGTACAAGGAACATCGTCAATTTCTCAAGAATTCAATATCTGTTGGAAGATTTTGTTGAAATCAATGTAATTATTTCACGGACTACGGAGATTGTGATGAGCACAGAGACTCAACCAACATTTTTACAAGAACAAATGCACTTGGGAAGTAGAAGATTGTTCAAATTAGGACAGTAAACATTCAAGAATGAAGATTCAATAAATATTATTTAATAATGTTGACATAACTCAGGGACTGTGAAGATTGTGATGAGAGCGAGGACTCAACCAGGATTATCATTTTGAGAGCGAATGCAGTTAGGAAGTAGAAGGTAAGTGACCAATAGGAAGCCGACAATAACAGGCACCGTGTTGTAAAGCGTTCACAAATCGAACGGGATGTACAGTCGTCTTTAGAGAACCTGTCGCGGTTAGACGGTCTGAGCGCTTTTATTGCAGCAGTGATCAAGGGAGCTGACACCGTCCATGTGCAACATGATCTTTGAAGACGACTATACAGTTTGCCTTTCACGGTGAAGTTGTCGATGCATGTTGCTTAGTGTCAAGGAAAATGATGATTGTTGTCATTTTCTCAAGAATTTTCGACATCAAATTTCTGTTTGAAGATTCAAGAAATAACAATTCATTACATCGACTGCTAGATCCAGGATGAACAGAGTTGCCCCAATTGTCAGCTAGTTATGAGATCTAGCAGTTGAATAGGTGGTGGAAATATCCACTCAAGTATGTCGTCAGGTAGTGCCATCTGTCAGCAGAGTGGTTTACTTGTAGTACCACTCTGTAGCGTATAGACTTAAGGGTCAGTACGTGTGACTATAGATGGCAGCGCCACACAGTGTGTGTCGCGATTTCTGGATCCTACCTCAGAGCTTTGCCACTAGATGGCTACAACATGACTTTATCTTCATGTTATACCCTGCGTCTTCGAAATGGGTGATATACCCGAAGCGTAGAGTTGTCCCAGTTGTCAGCAGACCGAGAGCGGCTGATGAGACCTGGTGGGTCGAAACAGTACTGTCTCGCTCCTGCTGACAATTGGGGCAACTCTGTTCATCCTGGGTCTCTTAGTTATGAAATCTAGCAGTTGAATAGGTGGTGGAAATATCCACTCAAGTATGTCAGGTAGTGCCATCTGTCAGCAGAGTGGTTCACTTGTAGTACCACTCTGTAGCGTATAGACGTAAGGGTATGTACGTGTGACTATAGATGGCAGCGCCACACAGTGTGTGTCGCGATTTCTGCATCCTGCCTCAGAGCTTTGCCACTAGATGCGTCATTACATCGACATTAATGTGTAATTATTCCACGGTGAATGTATTGAAGCAGGAACTTGACCAAAATTGTTACGAGAATGAATGCACTCAGGAAGTTGAAGGTCGTTCAAATTAGGGCAGTAACCATTCAGGTATCTCAGGTAACACTTCACCTGCGGTATGCCGCTACCTGTCGCTATTGGCTCCACGTAAGGAAAAATGATGATTGTTGACATTTTGTCAAGAAATCTCAACCTCAAATTTCTGTTCGTAGATTCAAGGAATATTATTTTATTACATTAAAACTAATGTAATCATTAGACAGACTATGGAGATTGTAAAGAACGTGGGGACTCAACCAAAATTGTTGAGAGAACGAATGAACTTAAAAAGTAGAGGGTCTTTCAAATTAGGACAGTAAAATAGGAAGCCTATAAGCACGGACGCCGTGTTGTAGAGCGGCCACAAACGTATTTGTCGCGACTTGTTACTTGTTAGGTCATCTTTCCAATTTCTTCAGCCCAGATGGAAAAAAATACGGTTATGGTCCTGAAGGACAACGAGAAAGAATTCGGTCTGATAAGAGTTCAACTAGCATTGATAGTCGCGATAACGTAGGGACGAGATTAGGTATTAGGGAGTTAAAGCAATGCAGAATGCGTAAACGTAGAATTTGACATCTAAGCATGCGCAGTATGCGAATTTCCTACGCCAGGAGATACGTCTGACGTATGTTTACGTCTTGCTACGCTGGCGCTGAACGCAAATCGTATTGAACCGAAGACGTTACCTATCTAAGCGAATACAAACGATAACTATTCGGTTTTTACTTTAACTTCACTTTTATCACATGAAATCACATTTGTTTTTTATTGCGCTTTGTTCTTGTGTTGTGCTTCGAAGAAATCATGGACAATCCAAATAAAAGAATTCTCTTTTCCTTGGAAGATGATTCGCATTTCGCAAGGGAAGTTGTAGGCCATAATCCCTACGAAGACACGGGCTGTTGGAACCTCATCCAAATGAATATAATGTAAATTACTGAAAAACTTATAGCTTCCTGGTATTCCTAAGGCTCTAGCTAATCTTTTAATGTAATTTTTCGCAAATCGAAATAGATTTTTACATTCTATTTCAAATAAATTGTTTAAATTGATATCTCTTTATAATTTCCTTCGATTACCTAAATTGTCGTTCTGATTCAGTACATGGAAGGATGAACATATCATCTAGGTCATCGTCACTACTAGCATCGCTATCATTATTGTAGCTTCGAATATCAAAATCTCTTCTATTTTGCAACAGGGTTTGCAGCAACAACACTGAAACAATATCCAAGCAAGCGAAGACTAACAAATCAAAACATTTGAATGGAAAAAAAGGTTAAAATGAGTCTGGTCTTGTATCTTGTATGTACGTAAAACATGTACGTACCATACGGTAGCTTTAACGCTACTTTTCATTGAATACGTACGTATTTCTATTCACGTTTACGTCCATACGTAATTGCAAGTTTTTGTATTGGCTTTAACTCCCTAGTATCTACTAGTTGCGGCTACGTTATAAATACGTAGTTAGGTACTACGTAGTTATGACCAAATTGGGAAACAAATCGCAAGTGATTACAGTTTGCCGACATAGCTGGAATTGACGGAATAGCGTAATGCTCACGTCCTCAACTTCATTGATAAATCGTTAGATATTTATATAGATTTATTACGTTCTAAAAAACATAAAAATGTCGTCTAGGAATACCTCTCTTACTATGAAAAGGATACTTTTGCTCAATGATGCATACTTTATAATTGATAATTCTTCTATGGAAATATCTATTATACAAGCTATCAGAGCGGTGATCATGCCTATCAAGAGGAAAACGAACCATCTAGCTATGCTCTTATGAACAATAAACTTGTAGCCTTTTTTTCTCACCTCGTCTAACAACAGATAATTTTCACATGTATCATAGTCCAAACTCTAAAAAAACAAGTCATTATAATCACCATGAGAACACCATCTTACACAAAATCATTTGCCTGATGAACAAAAGAGTGTGAGGTTAATTTTCCTGTGAAATGATCCTTTTCAATTTAATAAAAACGTACGACACGATTTTTTTAATGCTATAGCAAATTTGGTTGGTACCAGAGTGACCTAAAATGACGTCACATTTATGTTATTTTTATGTCATCTTTGGTCAACGTCGTCTCCGACCAAAACATGAACTAGTTTATTACCTCATATTGATAAATACATAAAATACTAGGGGCCATTACAAAGTCGTACATTCGACAACTCTCATTACATTGCAATCAAGGTGGATAGAATATGGTGTAATCACAAACAGTGTTTTGTTCCTCCAAAAATGCTTGACCGCAGATTCCGCAATAATGGCATATTAGTTCTCAGTTGTCCGCAAGATGGCGACACTTTTTACAGATTTCTTTTATGACAGAAATAATAATATCATAACATTCATAACATAACCTTTTGAGATTTGATAGGAGTTTCAAAGTGTGTCCGCATCATCGAATTCAGACATCACTGCAGTACCTTGTAGATACTGAGTGAAATTATACAGGACTCAAGTGCTCTGGGGTGTGTCAAACCGTTACCACCGATACAACAAGGCCTGCATGCTCCGTGGGTGACGTCACTTAGTGAGGCCAAACCAGAGGCTCGAAACGACAAGCGCTTATAGCGCTATAAGGCGACCGCGTATTTCGATTTTAGTTTTAGATCATCATTGAGCCGATTTTGCTGTTTTTCGAAGGGCTTCCGGTTAAAAAAGGATGCCAGACGTCAACTGAGCCCTTCTTCGCACCCCATTCGATTTTATTATGGAAAAACGAAGTTTTAAAGCAAAAACCAGGATAAAACACAAATATCCACCTACAGCAACCCATTCGAATTAAATATATTGGCAAGAATTGTGGTGAAGGTAAACTTCACACCTACTTATACAGGGCCCGCAGAACATAAACTTATCGTGAGATTGATCGAAAGAAAATTGTGGAAAATGTATTTTATTTTGATTGACATGCCGTTTGTTGCAATTACCTATATTTATCTTGGAGAATTTATATTACCTGGAAAAATAACCAGTGAGTGTTTTCAATTTTCTGTTGTTGGATTTTTCACCCAAGTGGATCGTTACACTTGAAACCGTAATTTTTAAGGGTAAAACTGCATTTATCATGCGATGGTTTTTTTTTTGAAAATTTGTTTCGGTACTCACGTATTTTTGTCTGATAAACCGAATTTTATAATGAAAATGTGAACAAGCTACTATTTATTGAGATATTTCAAGAAAAAGTTCGAAATTTCGCCTTCTTTCTCCCCTTGTGTTGGGGGCATTTGAAGCTACTTGCTCTTATTTTGTCATTGGACACTTTATATGAAAATGTGAACAAGCTACTATTTATTGAGATATTTCAAGAAAAAGCTCGAAATTTCGCCTTCTTTCTCCCCTTGTGTTGGGGGCATTTGAAGCTACTTGCTCTTATTTTGTCATTGGACACTTTATATACTCATGATGTACTTCGATGGCACTTTTTTATATAGAAAATTCTACAGGAAATATGATTTTTATGGCGAGTTTTTCATATTTAGTGAACAAGCATTCCAGATGACGACCATTTAATCAATAGTTAATCAAAATACGAGATGTCAAATGTCAATAGATTGCTTTCGAATGACATTACACACGCCATTATTTTGAATGATATTCTTCCTTCTTTTCACTAAATATGGATTAATCTCAAGGAAATCATATTTATAGTTGAATTATATATAAATTGTCCAATATGATGAAAAAAGAAGGGAAATTTGTTCTTAATGCCATCCAGAAGACAGGTGAAAAAGAAGGTGAAATTTGGAACTTTTTAGTCAAATATCTTCATGATAAATATCATGATAAATGCACTTTTACCTTTTTAAGTAGAGTGTTTGTAGTTCATGTTAATATGATAGTTGCAATTTGATCATTGGAATGAATTCTGCATTCATTGCCACGAGGCAAATGACCGTTTTCAGAAAGAAATTTGAGAATGAGAATTAAAAATGCCCGTTTATTATGAACATTCAGGAAAATTTCCTCGAATTCAGAGATGATTTTGTTGACTACGAATACAAAACTAACTGCACAATCTAAGCTTTTTTATTTTTCCTCTACTTATACTTTTTATGAGAGAGTAATTGTCTTCTATTATTAATTCATCATTATAAATTAAGCTCTGTTTACTACTGAACTTACATGGAGTAACGGGAAACTAAAAGCATGAACTTTTGAACCACCCACATAATTCCCCCGACAAAAGGGAACACAACACTTGAAAGGCATTGTTATTTCGCCGATCACAACACAAAATATTTCACAAAACAGTAATTTTTCCGCCAATTATTTTGATGAATAAACAACAAAAGAATTCGGGACCGTTTCAAAAACATACGTGAATCACCGATGAATTAACACGAACTGACGCGTTAGTCGACAAGCGATAAAATAAAACACTGGCCTCTCTTGGTGACGTCACGAGCTGTTTACGTCAGAGTCTGCTGGCCTTGTTGTATCGGTGGTAACGGTCAAACCCCACCTATGTACTGACGTTCGTTATTTTGACATAATAGGTAAGTTGTTATTTTGGACTATTTTGGATCCATTTTTTTTCTTTCTGTTGTTCAAGCTGCAATATTTTTTTTTGTATTTCATTATCATAAAATTTTAGTTTCAGAATGTTCATTCCGGGGTGAGATGTTCATTTAATCTCACATGATTTTTTTTGTCACGGTATGTTTTTTGCTACATGAGAAAAAAGCCATTTTTAATTTATATCAGATTTCTTGTAATAAAGCCTATTTGATTATTTCGTGCGTGTTTTAATTGTTGATAGATGATCCCCTGAGACGATGGAACAACAAAATATCAGAAAAAAAAAATGATTAAAAAAAATACAATTTTTCAGGTAATGGGGTTTGTCACACCCCAAGTATGTACTGATGCGACAATTATCCACGTATGTAATGCCGGGTTAATAATTTGAGATACGAATTTGAGTAGCCCATAGGTCATATTTATTTGGGTATAAATAAGAAAAAAGCTTATACAGGGTAACTCACGGTCGATGGTACGTTAGACGTTTATGGAGAACGGGACATAGGATCATTCTGAAATTTTGGTTACTCACGTAGTTGCTCTTGGTCTATCGATCTAAAATATTTTCAGCTCTGCGGCGTTGCCGTTTCTATCGAAAATTAGCAACAACTTTGTTATTTTAAATGGAACACCCTGTATTTTATTGCATTTTCAGATTCTCTCTGAATAGCTGATTTCATCGATGCATCACACTTGGGGTCTAGCGGAAATGATTACAGAGATATAGAGTGTGAAAAATCGTCATTTTTCAACTTTAGGAATTTTTTTGGTCGAAACTATTCATTATTGGTCAAAACGGCTTACATGTCCCTATCTCAACTTTTTATTGACTATCTTCTGATATTTAATTGGGACATATACCGGGTGATCAAGATTCTGAATTCTGCACGATCCTGTATTTGTTTCAATTAAATGTCAGTAGATAGTTGATCAAAAGTTGAGATAGGGACATGTGAGCTGTTTTGACCAATAATGAATAGTTTCGACAAAAAAAATTCCTAAAGTTGAAAAATGTCGATTTTTCACACCCTATATCTCTGTAATCTTTTCCGCTAGACCCCAAGCGTGATACATCGATGAAATCAGCTCTTCAGAGAGAATCTGAAAATGCAATGAAATACAGGGTGTTCCATTTAAAATAACAAAGTTGTTGCTACTTTTCGATAGAAGCGGCAACGCTGCAGAGCTGAAATATTTTAGATCGATAGACCAAGAGCAACTACGTGAGTAACCAAAATTTCAGAATGATCCTATGTCCCGTTCTCCATAAACGTCTAACGTACCATCGACCGTGAGTTACCCTGTATAAACATACATCCGAAAACAATTCGTTTCCGAGATACAGGGTGTTGAAGTTTCTTTGAAAAATCAATTTTTCATTAATTTCTGAAAAATGCCAGAACCGATAGTGATAACATTTACAATGTCTGTTGGTATCTCAATGAGGTATTTTTTGGACCTATTACATTTGATGAAGTATTACCAGCGGCGTGGCCACGGGGCAAGCCCAACAGTTTTTTTGCACATGAAAGAGCACCCCTATTTATAGATTTTGTGCAAATGTTTGTAATTTCTTTGATTGAAGCAACTCAAAATACATCTTTTTTGGTTCCTGACTTTTTTTGTATCGGTCTTCGTTTTAGAGGAAAAAATTCTACTATCAGACTATTCCCAGCGAGCACAAAAACATCTCAGAGATGTTAAAAGTACGAGATTTCGAGACATTGAACCTCCACTGCGATGTTCTGTTCACACATGAATAGAACTATTATAAAACAGCCAATGTCCGCCGCAGGCGGCATATATCGAGATGTCCTTGATATGTCACAAAACTACCTTCTCCCTAGTTCTTTTTAAAGCCTTTTCATGGACACAACAGAACATTTTCAACGCGTCTTGCGCACATTAAATCGCTGTAAAAAAACCATTTTCGAGGTACTTTTCTGAAGCCTTTTGTCAAAATGAACTTTTGCATTAGGATTCCATTTCCCTCGAATGAAAAATGCATTAAAAATAGATTGAACATAAAAATATTTTCTTGATATGAAATCACCTTCTTAATCGGTTTCTGAGTAGTGCTTACTACACACATACATATAATTAGAAATAGGTTTCCCAATTTTTGAAATATTCTCCACAATGCATAATTTTGCAACTTCGGAGAAGCTGTGTATTGATAAATTCGTACTTTTATATATTGATTACACTGAGGCACCGAACAACACATCTTGCATCTGATGGTCATTATTACAAATTAAATAAGTCTTCTAACACAATAAACTTCACCAAATTCCTTTGTGTTCGTTAGCAGCGTGATGTAAGTGTGACACGCTGCAAACGCGAATGCCAATTGCGAACAAGAAGAACAAAATCGAAAACAAATCAGAATTCATCGTATTGTGACGTAAGCATTAGACTTTCAATATCCTTCTAAGACCTCTTTTGGGAAGTGCATATTACGCCTCAAAAAAACATCCTCATGCCTACATTTCTAAAACATCCCAAGGATACCTCTCAGTAGGCACATAAAGAAATGCCACAGAAGAACAAAAACAATACTTCAATATCCTTCAAACACCTCTTTGGCCAGTGCATATTACGTCTCAAAATAACATCTTCATAACAACATTTTCAAAACATCCCAAAACATCCCAGGGATGTTTGTGCTCGCTGGGTTGGAAAAAGAACATTTTCAAAGTCCAATGTGTCAAAAAGGAACGACTATGAAGAAGTGTATGTGAGGAGAAATCAAAATATTTTCATTACCTCATATTTAGCGGATAGAACATTAAGTGATCCAGTTTCAACTTTTTCGTTACTTATCAAAAACCTTCTCCGAACTGATGCCAGCAAATTTTCTTCTTCATTATTGACGACTATCGAATTCATGTCTTCTTGGCTATCATTATTGATGGATACCATTTTCTGAAAAAAAAAAAACGTTGCATTTCTGATTAGTTGGCAAGTGCATAAAAGGAAACGTCGTCACGTGATCAAAAGTGTCACCAGGTCCGCCATATTGAAATGCTTGGATGAGACACAGTAATACATTTAATCAATTCAAAAAAGCCTCACCTTGTATTTTGTACCTCTTGCTGGTGAAATGTCATTTTGAACATTTTCCATTTTGGTGAATAATTTGTGATGCTATTCTGCCAGTTTCCCGCAGTGATTGTTCATCAATTATTCCAAGATTACACAAAAACATCCCTAGAAAAATAGATTTAAATACTTTTGTATAACTACCGGGTGCAAAAGATTCAACATTGATGATATTTTCTCAATTCCATACAGGAAGTTTCAGGGTTGGAAGGATTTGAATCAATTGATTCAAAATAAATGATTCAAACCAAGATTGAAATCACATGATTTTTTTCAATTTGAGGGTGAAAATCAGAAAATGATCCAAAAACAATTTGCACAATCTGGAGATATCGATGTGCATAAATGCGTCTACAAAAAATTCAAAAACCACCCATCTATGTTTGTCAGTAAATAGGTATTGTTTGCGATCAAGAACATAGCTTTTTAGGAACAAACGTATGAGGCGCCGTTTGGTTCATAATTATATTTTTCGATAAATAGACATTTTAACTCAAGATATAGAAAAAATCCTATATAATATACGAACTTATCAATATTATATGCAAAATTTCTTATATCGTCTGAAAATTGTTCTATATATTTAAGTGCGACGAAATTTCAATATATATTAGTATGCCTCGCGCCGTTTGGTTCATAATTATTATTTGTAATATATAAAATTTTTACTGAATTTATATAGAAAAAAGTCTATATCAAATGCACAAATTTTATATATGACGAAATCTTTATACACTCACCGGCAAAAAAAACCGGCCACCAAAAAATTTAGTCAAGTTGTTCGCCCTGTAACTTCTTCAGTTCTTGTCGGATTTTGGTGGAATTTCGATCAAATCGTAGATTCATGTTTCGGAATGTTAACCTGAATATGAATTCCCAAAAAAGCTGATAGCTTGGTCATTATACAGGGAAAAACAAGAGTTACTCATTTACCCATAACTTCTTAACGCCCTGTGGCTGAAGTGAGTGGTTGAACTCCTCTTCATTAGGTCTTAGATTGAAGAGTATTTTTTTCTCATCACAATAGTTTTTGATTCACGTCGATATCTCATTGTTTAGAAAAGATACGAGGGTTTCAAGAAAGTATGGAGTTATTCAAGTTTTATTAACAATAATCAGAACGTAGATACACCTACACAAAAAACCTTAATTACAAAAAACAAACGAAAAGTAGATCTCCTAGATGTATTCAATACCGAGTATGTCCTCCTCGAGCTTGAATTACAGCATTTAATCGCCGTGGCATCGAGTTGATCAGATTTCTCAAGCAGTCTTGAGGAATTGCCTAAAATTCATCTTGAAGGGCGAATCGTAGCTCTTGAAGAGTCTCTGGCAATGCCGGACGTAGACGAATGCGCCTCTGTAGTTCATCCCAAAGATGCTCTATAGGATTGAGATCCGGGCTACATGCTGGCCAGTCAAGCCTTAGAATTCCGACCTCATTCAAATACTCGGTTACAATTCGAACAACGTGTGGTCTGTCGTTGTCATGCATCAATACAAAGCCGTCTCCAATAAAATGAGAATATGGGACGACAGCTTCTTGTAAAATATCCTCCACATATCTATACTATAGGCGTTCAAAGCACCGTTTTCCCCAAATACGAGGTCGGTATGTCCTTCTGTAGAAATGCCTGCCCACGCCATAACTGAACCTCCGTTGAAAGATACCCGTTCAGAGATAGTGCAGTCCGCAAATCGCTCGTTTTGTCTTCTCCATACCCTTTCTCGACCATCAGGTGATCGCAAACAAAAACGTGACTCATCGGTGAAGAGAACCTCTTTCCATTGTCGAAGTTTCCAATTTGCATGTAACCGTGCAAACTGTAGTCATGTTCTACGATGCCTAGGTAGCAACTGCGGTCCTGTAGCAGGTCTCCTCGATGCCAAACCATATTCTCCAAGCCTCCGCCTGATGGTTCTTTCACTAACATCAACACCTCGAACAGCGTGTAATTCATGTTGAAGCTGAACAGCTGTTTTTCGGCGATAGATGCGGTTCAGATGATTGTTAATAAAACTTAAATAACTCCATACTTTCTTAAAACCCTCGTATTTTTTCTAAAAAATGAGATATCGACGTGAATCAAGAACTATTGTGATGAGAAAAGAATACTCTCCAATTCAAGACATGATGAAGAGGAGTTCAACCACTCACTTCAGCCACAGGGCGTTAAGAAGTTATGGGTAAATGAGTAACTCTTGTTTTTCCCTGTATACTGACCAAGCTATCAGCTTTTTTGGGAATTCATATTCAGGTTTACATTCCGGAACATGAATCTACGATTTTATCAAAATTTCACCAAAATCCGACAAGAAATAAAGAAGTTACAGGGCGAACAACTTGACTAAATTTTTTGGTGGCCGGTTTTATTTGCCGGTGAGTGTATATTTGCGTGTCAGGAAAGTCTATATTTGCGCGTCGCGAAAGTTTATATTTGGTTGTACCAGTGTGTGCAGAAATAGACTTTCGGGTTCCAGGGTTTACCGATAGGTGGCTGAACGCGGCTGGACGTCAGCACAGAATGAGGTTAGAGGATCTGGCAATTTTTTTTTCGAGTAAAAATGTCATTCCCAACGGTTTCAGTGGAAGAGTTTCACGATAATGTGGTGAATCTACTTTCTCAAGGAGATTCTTATCTCAAGCTCAGTGAAAAATTGAGGACTACTGTAGGTTGTTGAACATATTCATTGATAATATACTGGCCTGTGAAAGGTTGAAACAGTTATTATCATCAGTTTACATAATACTGTTTGATATTATTTATGGTCAAACTGAGCATGTTCTCAACACTATTTTACTTCACCAACTAGCAGTAACAGTGTTGGTCCCCCGAAGTATGATATTTCAAAGGAACAATTAAGGATTTTAAGAACATCAGGTCTGAGTTGGACCAGAATATCAGGATTACTTGGTGTTTCTGAAGCTACATTATATAGACACAGAATAGCAATGAATTTCTTAGAACCTCAGTGTTGCCAGATCCTCTAACCTCATTCTGTGCTGACGTCCAGCCGCGTTCAGCCACCTATCGGTAAACCCTGGAACCCGAAAGTCTATTTCTGCACACACTGGTACAACCAAATATAAACTTTCGCGACGCGCAAATATAGACTTTCCTGACACGCAAATATATAAAGATTTCGTCATATATGAAATTCGTGCATTTGATATAAACTTTTTTCTATATAAATTCAGTAAAAATTTTATATATTACAAATAATAATTATGAACCAAACGGCGCGAGGCATACTAATATATATTGAAATTTCGTCGCACTTAAATATATAGAACATTTTTCACACGATATAAGAAATTTTGCACATAATATTGATAATTTCGTATATATTATATAGGATTTTTTTTATATATCGCGTTAAAATTTCTATATATCGAAAAAATAATTATGAACCAAACGGCGCCCCATACAAACGCATCAATAAATGTCTGGTAGGTAACATTTATAATTTCCACTACTGCAAGTCTCACATTTTGAGATATACAGGGTGTTCCTTAAAGACATGCTAATATTCGAGGAGGTGATTCTTCAACTCATTTCAAGAAAATAACGTCCCATTAACGTATGTCCTAAAAGTCTCAACTTTTGAGATACAGGGTGATGAAGTTTTGAAAAAAAAAACAGTTTTTCAATAATAACTGGGATAATATTGTAGACATCTTTATGCAATTTGGTACATATCTTCTATGCATCAAGGTGCATTTTTTGATGTATACAAATTTTCCTTTTCTCTACCAGTGGCGCCGTTAGGAGGGTATGATTGATTATACTATACTTGAAAGTGAGCAACGAAGGAATATTTCCATATTTAATAAAATGCTATAAAAAGTCATTCAATTTTGTACAAAAACGATATTCTTGTTGATACCCGATAGGACGCAATGTTTTCGAGAGAAAACGGAAAAACGAGATCAAACTTCAAATTTTGATGTAAATGCTAAGCAGTTTGTAACATTTTGAAATGTTTGCACCGTTTCAGTCACACAGCAGAATAAATTTTGCCATCAGGAAAAGCTCTACAGGGTGGTCAAAAAATAATCTATGTAAATGTTCAACTTTGATACCCTGTATCTCAGAAGGAATTTTACGACATACGTATGAAGTTTTATTCTTGAGATGGGTCACTATACAGGGTGTTTCCTAATTGAATGTCAATATTTGAGGAGGCGATTCTTATGCCCATTTTAAGAAGAAAATTTCTATGTACCAAGAGGTATCAGTTGATGTATCACATTTTTTTGCCACCAGTGGTGTTCGTATGGAATTTCACAAACCTATTTTGGCAGACATTGATGGTACGCCACTGAATAATCTCGAAATTGTAATCTTTAATGACATTTTCAATCATTTCTATGCAAAGATCTCTACAATTTTTGCAATCTGATTTCACTCCTAACTCCATGATCATAACAATATCATTAATATAACTATTAATATGACTATATCACAATGTAGCGAAACAGATTTTATTTTTAGGTGAAAACCGTGATTCGGACTAGGATCATCTATGAATTGTACGAATTGTATTCCTGAAATTTGATCTAACAAATAAAATCTATTTCTCTGCATTGTGATATTGTCATACTAACGATATTAATATGGTCATGCAGTGAAAAGGATTTTATTTTTTCAAGCGGAAACCGTGCATCAGATTGAAACAATTGTCGAGATCAAATTTGCTTGGAAATGATTGGGAATTTCAGGAATGATTTCAATTTCGAGATTAATCAATGTGTCTGCCAGAATAAGTATGAGAAATTCCATACGAACGCCACTAGTGGGAACAACAAAAAATGTGGTACATTGTAGTAACTGTTGCCTCTCGATACATAGTATATGTATGCCAAATTTTATTAGAATATCTGAAGTAGTATTACAGATACTAATAAAAAACTATTCATTTTTGAGAACTTTACCACCCTGTATCTCGAAAGTTGAGACGTTTAGGTCATACGTTCATATAACATTTTTTTCTTGAAATGGGCCCAAGAATCGACTCCTCAAATATTGACATTCAGTTAGGAAACACCTTGTATATAGAATACAACTTCAACATATTCATGCAACCGTTCATTTTAGGATACTAAGATCGTTTTTTATGTACTTGAATGATCGTTTCATGAAAAGGAAAATATGAAACACAAAATTGAGAGTTTCGTCGATGTTTAGCAGACCTGGCAAACGTTGTTTTGCCATATACATTATATCTATAATATTTTTTTTAGTTCAATATTCATCAATAAGACACTATTATTATTTTATTTTCTACTTATTTTTAGTTTCGCTATCTATAAGAGCGTGTTTCTTTAGTTTTTCAAACTAGTATTTATTTCAATTTCTTTTTAGTTCACTTGAATTTCCCAATTTTGACGAAAGAATCATAATATCCGACTCCTAAAACCCCAGATGAAAATTTTTAATAGAATCGGAACATAATTACAAAACTCGTCCGCACTATTGGATCTACCATCTTGAATTCCCTAATTTTGATGAAGGAATCATAATTTTTAATCCCGAAAACGCCCACTCACAAATTTTGAAAAGAATCGGTATATAATTACAAATCCCGTCCGGTATATTGGTTCCACCGTCTTGAATTTCCAAATCCCGCCCTTTCCAACCGGAAGTGACAGAAAACAATTGAATACGTCAAATAATGCATATTTATTTACCATACTTACACGCCGAATTTTATTTGTTTATTTATCGAACCAAAAAAGTTATAGGGGTAAGCCCCTTTTGAGAAACACCCGGTATATGTGATATATATTCGGGTAAAAAGTACTAACTTTCTTCCTGTGGAAAAAAGTAATCTTATGAAAAGTGACATTTTGTAACCTGTCAACAGATATGGAATGTCAAACTTTTTTCCCCTCACAAAAGTAATATGACACCCTGTATGTAGATTCTATTTAGGTTATATCAAAATAATAACAGTTATTTCGAAAATCTGAGTATGCAACTGGATTGTACATAAAAAAATGTATTAGAGAGAGTTATTACTTTTTCTGTAAGTTGAAAAATAGATAGACGCGGAAGGAAGGGGGACGGCAAAATGCAACATTTCCAATTTCGCCTAACTAAGGGAGCTATGCAATTTTTTTTTGCAGTATTATTTTTTGAGAAAAACAAGTCCTACTGCATACATTTCTAGAGGTTAAAATTCAAGAAATCATAATAGCGATTTTTCAAGGAAACAGTTGAAAACACTATTGGGTTCAGCAGCCCCTCAAATAGTTATATACATACCTACACCAAATTTCATGAAAAATATTCCTTATTAATAATTATACATGGATGTGTAGTTCTTTTACTAATGGTCTGAACCGAGGTCTGAACTTATAAACTTTTTGCTTCACAATACCCCAAAGATGATATCCAGTGATGTCAGGTCCGGGGATCTTCGCGGCCATTGAATGAGAGGACTATCCCGCATTCCCGACCAATCCACAGTATTTTTTAAAATTATCTAATCTTTATTCAGCAATTCTCTTGCCACAATGTGAATTTCAATTCAGCCACAAAATTATTAATATGAAGCCACTAAATTATTAATAAAGAATAGGCATTTTTTTATGAAATTTGGTATAATGACAACCATTTGAGGCGATTTGAGGGGGTTCTGATTTCAATGGTAATTTTGAATGGGTAATGGGTGGTAGAAAAATCGCTAGTATGATTTCATGAATTTTAACCTCTAAAAAACTAGGCAGTAGGCCTTAAATTTTTTTTTTTTTAAATGTCACAATTTGAAAAAAAGTATGTTGATATCATTGGATTAATACAGATTTTATTGAGGTGTCCTGCATTCAAGTGTCAAGTGTTGTGTTAACAAGTATATTTTTTTGTGAACTAAGGGGACTTTTCAATAATTTCCATTAGAAATAGCACTGATTGGAAGAACAAAGAAGTTCAATGATAATTCCTCTTTATGCCTTATGATTTATGAATAACAAGTACCTAATAGAACCTCTGTAGACTCTAAAAAAATATCAAGTACATAATGGAAAGATCTATAAAAACACATTGATAGGTACATACGAGGGTACATACATAAAATGATACTTAGGATAGCTGTATATTTCATAGAGGTATTGTGTTGAACAAAATATAATTACATACCATCACCATCAGGTGTCCTTAATTCTCATTCAAATTCAATGAAATTTTCAGAAATTTTAAACTTCTACTCCTTTGTTTTTGTTTACATGACTCATAAAAGTTGGGTTGGATTTTGGAACTGCCACTGTTCGACTGTTCCACTGTTGGAACGTGGTTGGAACTTCCGAAGTTGCTCTCAAAAATAGGCCTATTCGTTTGTGCTTGCTCAACCTGCTGAACTTGATTTTTTTCTATGACTATCTCTGTTTACATCATGCCATGAACAGAGACAACTATGGGAACAAAATCAACTTTAGCAAGTTCAGCAATACAAACAAACAGGCCTATGTGACAATTGACATGACAAGGACAGAAATTGTTTCATGCTCGGTCATTGCGTTGGCGTTACTGTTTTTTTGAAGTGGCAGGAATTGGTATAATTTTGCCCAGACATCCGTTTATGACGTGTAGACCGTTAACCGTGACTTGACCGTGACTGTTGAAAGTTATTAGACCACTCGTAATTTGCAAAAAATTCAATTGAATAATAATGATTTTGTACGAAAGCACCCGCATGTCATGCACACATTATTTTCTTGGAAAGTCATTATAATGACTCTTCCATTATAATTAATTTTTTCAATATATTGACTTTTTTCCGAATATGATGACTTTTTTCTCATTATAATGACTTTTCTCATTCCATTTACTTTTTTCTTACTTACTTCTTTTCCATATCATGAAAAAACTCATTATAGAACATCGAAAAAAGTCGATTCCGGTTCTCATTATCTTTTTTTGTGAATGATAGTGACTCGTATTTCTTCGTTTTTCAATGACGTTTCCCCCTGAGGAACGATAGTGCGCGAAGCGCTTTTTCGGAACCAATACTAGATTCCTTCTGAATATGCGTGGACGGATGTCTGGGCAAATGGAATTGAGGCGTAGGAGTCAGTGCTTTTTTTATTCAGTGTTGGTATGTGCTGGAAAGTGAAAGAATGACGGATGACAGATGATGGATCCAAATTGACTAAAGACGAAATTGTGTTTGTGTATTATTTGTTGTATATTGATATTGGGATTGTGATTCTGTTTTTTATTTTAGAATGATAAGAAAATGAGAATTTGAATTATAATCGGATTCTAAGTTTCGTGATTTGAATCAATTCATCGTAAGTACAAACAGGGAAGCCATCATATGGAAGGCAACTGTTATTATTATTTACAACACAAACCAAATTGTGAAGTCAAAAATGACTCATTCATATGACAGTTGGGATATTATTTTCACACCAATATTCAATATATTATTTTATTTTTCAGTGAACTTGTGTACCTATCATCGACCAAATACCAGCTTTTTCACAAATGGTGTGTAGTTATTTTTATTCAAAATGAATATGGATTGTGGAATAAATTTCACAAATAAGGATGAAGAAATTCAATACTGGAGGAATAGAGCAGAAGAATACCTACAAGAGTGAGTATTATAACAAATTGATTATAATATGCATAATAACTATGTACAATCTATCAAGGCCATTGATCAAATAACTCTGAGGTACACTACCTAAGGATAAGCAATAACAACAGCTAGTAAATAAAATTAGAAGACCTTCTTTGTCAAAAGGTAACATATAAATGAAATTCCCTCCAATTTCTTATGTGTAGAATATAATATTCTTTCATGAGATTTCTGCAATTCTTGTTACTGAAATTAAACCTAGGAAAATAAAATGTTATCTGTAATTTATGTTTTCAACTTGACCAAGACAGTGCTGTGAAAGTCCTCCATGAACACAGAACTTACAATACTCATTCAACAGAAATAACAGATAACCCAAATATAAGCAATTTCAAGAATCAAATAAAGAAATTCTACACACACAAACTCAATGAAAGACCCACATAATTAGGCAGTCAGTGTAATGGTTCAATTTATTTTTTCTATATACATTTTTTTTACAAACATCAGGAAGATTTGACTTGTATTTTTATTGTATTGTTAATATACTTTCTGTTGTTGTTCAATCCATAATAAATTTGAAATTGTAAATGTATTGGTTGTAATTGGTTTTGTATTTCCCAGACCAGCACTTAGGTGCTGCTTTGAATAAACCTTTATCAGATACTGCATCAGTGAACTTACCTGTAATACTGATATATGTTGTTTTTCTCTTGCATTATCTGAACTAGTGAAATTGTTGAATGGTACACTGTACATTATTTTACTATTTTACTGTAGCTGATGAACAGTTTCTCATCTTTTTTGGTCCAGTAGTTAAGAGTCTCAAAACATACCTACTATAAGTACTGTGCTGGGTACAGTGTGTCAGTTTTGGTTTAATTAGAGAGTGTTTTGTGTAAGTTCCAGAATAGAATTATTGTTGAAAATTATAAAAAAAGAGTGTAGATAAAAACTGATGTATAAATTGTTCAAAATAGTGAAACAAAACAATTTTAGAGTGTAGATAGAATCAAAGATAGAAACTTATCACCATAATTTTTTTTCGATAATATCTACTGCTTCTATGTTTCACCCTGGATGAGGCATCCATAATCAATTTCCATGAATGAAGTTCTGGTTTTATATACAGAGTGAAAATGGGCCACCCTCATGAATTTTTTATTTATGGAGCCATTTCCATGATTTTTTTTTAATGTAGAGAGAGGAAAGGTGTAATTGGAGCAAAAAACCAAGGTATACTAGATCACATTCAGAGGCTGAAAAATCCAGAATACATATTGGCTATTTAAAAAAAAACCGCGTACACCACTGGAATCAGCGTCATCTGAAATGGATCTGTACCAAGTTTCATGAAAAAATATTCGAAGTTAATGATTCTACAGGCTTTCCATGCCATTTCATATGCCCCCCCCCCCCCCTCTAAGTGGCGTCCACTTTTTTTTTAAACCAAGATATATTAGATAACATTCAGCCGCTGAAAAATCCAGAATACATATTAGTGATTTTTTAGAAAAAAATCCGCGTACGCCACTGGAATCGGCGTCATCTGAAATGGGTCTGTACCAAGTTTCATGAAAAAATATTAAACATTAATGATTCTACATTGGCGTCCACTTTTTTTTTTATACCAAGGTATATTAGATCACATTCAGAGGCTGAAAAATCCAGAATACATATTATTGATTTTTTAGAAAAAAATCCGCGTACACCACTGGAATTGGCGTCATCTGAAATGGATCTGTACCAAGTTTCATGAAAAAATATTAAACATCAAGGATTCTACAGCTTGTCCATGCTATTTCATATGGCCCCCCCTTTTAGTGGCGTCCACTTTTTTTCAAAACCCAAGGTATATTAGATTATATTCAGAGGCTGAAAAATCCAGAATACATATCAGTGATTTTTTAGAAAAAAAATCCGCGTACACCACTGGAATCGGCGACATCTGAAATGGATCTGTACCCAGTTTCATGAAAAAATATTAAACAGGCTGTCCATGCCATTTCATATGGCCCCCCCTCTAAGTGGCGTCCACTTTTTTTTATACCAAGGTATATTAGATCACATTCAGAGGCTGAAAAATCCAGAATACATATTAGTGATTTTTAAAAAAAAAATCCGCGTACAACACTGGAATTGGCGTCACCTGAAATGGATCTGTACCAAGTTTCATGAAAAAATATTCAACATTAATGATTCTACAGCCTGTCCATGCCATTTCATATGGCCCCCCCTCTAAGTGGAGGCCACTTTTATAAAAAACAAGGTATATAAGATCACATTCACATTTTTTAGAAAAAATCCGCGTACACCCGTTTACGTACACCACTGGACTTATCTTGACTTCATTACACATGGGTGCTCTGTGTCCCAGCAATTCTGGAACACCCTGTATAGCAGGTGATATGTCATAAAGTTCTTTATTTTTCAACATAAAAAAATAGCCTCAAAGGGGAATTTATTTCTTCTTGAATCATCAAAAGAGGTTATTAAAAATGTCCCAATCCATATATCCATCTTCCATATTCTTCAAAATATGGTAATTCAATCAATTTTTGATCACTTTTTTTATTGTAGGTCATGACATAATTTTGTACCTATTTTTAATAATGCTTATGTATGAACAGAAATAATTGTCATGTGTAAACAGAATAAAGGATCTTAATCCATATCAGCAGAACATACTCATCAACATGAGATAGTTTAGTTGACATGGTTTTGAATTAATTCTCACCCAAGAGTGGCTCCCATAGACATATAAAAAGAGGGGAGACAACATTTCATTTATAAAACACTATTTGTTTATAATCATACATAGCTCCAATGTTTCAAATGAGTTAGAAAGAGATGCCTTGAAAATGGCAATGCTGTAAACTGTGCATCAATGTTCACACCAGTCCCGTAGGTTAAGCTAGAGGCAAGACAATTTTACTACAATGACAATGCTATTATACCTATTTGAGAATGTTTGGGTCTAATCATTCAATTTTAATACCAAAGTTTTTTACAATAATTAAGTTAAATAACCTGTGATAACTACATCAGAGACACTACTACTGGAGTTGAAAAAAATAACATAACTTATCAATTTAGGGTTTGAATGGTGAACTTTTTATGATCCACACACTGGCGAACCATACTAGATTGTTGATAATAAAGTTTTATAACAAGAAAACACTGAAAATCAATTGAAACACGAAAAGTCCTGAAATGCTAACAAACACAGAACTCCTAGTAAACACGGCAACACAATACTTAAAAATGTATATTATACAGTGTGTCCATTTAGTGCGTAATTCTTCGATATCTCGAAAGCCATAACCTATAGAGAAAAACTTTGAAGAAAAAACTCTTTCAGTTACTAAAGTTGCTCATTTCAAAATTATTTTCAACATTACTGGGTGTTTTATAAAAGCAGGGCAACTCGAAGAAGAGTTTTTTTAAATGGAACACCCAGTATTGTTCATTCGGAATCAATTCCGCCGAGGTTCACCTTCACATCGCTGTAAAAAAAATTGAAATCGGTTGCGGCGTTGCCAAGTTATAATCGATAAATCTATTTTTACCATTATTGAAGAGTCATGTTGAATTGGGCATGGTATATTCATTTATTCAAATTTTGAAAATATTTTTGGCATACGGTAGAAGTGAGGTCCAACGTATACCAATCCAGTAATTTTGCGACATGTTCTACAACAGGGTGTTCAATTTTGCATTTAGAATTTTGCAAGATTCAGATGACATTCATCAGAATTTTTCAAATGGAACACCCTGTATTTTTATTCAAAAATCCATTCCGACATCTTTCGCCTTTTTATCGCTGGAAAAAAAAATCGGAATCAGTTGCGGCGTTGTCAAGTTATGGTTAATTTCCTTATTTTAACTACTATTTCGGGGTAATTTGTACGTCATAGTTCTTTCATTTATTTGTATTGTGAAAATATTGCGTTGCTACGGTATAATCAAATTTGTTCATCGACCATTCATATATTTTTTACAAAAGGAACATTCACAGGCTCTCCAAGTTTGAATTTTTTTCGAAATATTTGTGTAATGACCTGTCAAACATCGCCACAATCAAATATATCTTGGATTGATTCGACATTTTGCTGAATTCCCTCCCAAAAGCCGCGTAGTAGAGACATATTGTTTGTATCATTATGTTTACCTTCTACAAGTTAAATGGAGTTTTGGGTTGTGGGAATAACGACAATAAAAATGGCCCAAATTTCAAAAAATTGTCCTAATTATCGCAATCCGCATCTTCATTGTTAGTATTGTAGAAGTTATTTCAAAGACAGGCGTTGCTTTTGGCATGTGGCATGTTTGTTTGTTTCACATATTATTTGAATCATAAGTAACAAGATTACGGAATATTTCAAATTTGGACGATGCACATATCACAAAAATACCTGAATGATCTATGTAGAACCTCGAATGTCATGTGGCAAGCAATATTCACACACTCAAATCGAATTAAGGAACTATCATGACGTACAAATTACCCCGAAATAGTAGTAAAAATAAGGAAATTACTCATAACTTTTAAACGCCGCAACCGATTTTGATTTTTTCTTCTGCGATGCAAAGGCGAATGATGTCGAAATAAATCCGTGATGAAAAATACAGGGTGTTCCATTTGAAAAATTCTTATGATCGTCGTCTGAATCTTACAATAATCAGAATGTAAATTTTAGCACCCTGTAGAGGATTATCTCTCAAGATTACTGGATTGGTATACGTGAGACCTTGCTCTTACTGTATGCCAAAAATATTTTCGAAATTTCAATAAATAAATATACCATACCCAATGGAACACGACCCTTCAATAGTAGTAAAAATGGGTTTATCAATTATAACTTGGCAACGCCGCAACCAAATTCAATTTTTCTTACAGCGATGTAGAGCTGAACTTAAGCGGAATAAATTTCGAATGAACAATACTGGGTGTTCCATTTGAAAAAACTCGTCTTTGAGTTGCCCCGCTTTCATAAAACACCCAGTATTGTTGGAAATATTTTCGAAATGAGCAACTTCAGTAACTGAACAAGTTTTTTCTCCAAAGTTTTTCTCTTGTGATAATTGATTTCGAGATATCGAAGAATTACGCACTAAATGGACACACTGTATAATTAATGTATGATTAATGCTTCCCTGGTTTCCAAACACAGGCTGTAGATCTAGGGCAATCCGCAGAAATGTGTCATCATCGATTTTCGCTTAAAACGATCAGGATAAATGGTAAACAATTTCGTCTCCCTCTTTTTATATGTCTACGGTCGCTCCCCACATTCAAGACACTGAGTAAGCCTTTTTAGGAAAAAGTTTGCTCTTTTTCAAACGTTGCCACAGAAGATTTGGCAAAGGACTAATGAACAGATTTTTTTAATTCCTCATTAGCTGACCCCGCAGACGTTGTTTGACTATATACATTATTTATAGAAAATATATTTTCAGTACAATGTTCATCAACACACTATTATTATTATTTTATCTTCTACTTTTTTTTTGGTTTGGCTATTTATAACAGAGTGTTTCTTTAGTTTTTCAAAATTTTGATGAAAGAATCATATTCTCCTCGATTCCCAAAACTCCAGATCCGCCATCATGAATTTCCTAATTTTGGACGAAGGAATCATAATCCCCGATCACGAAACCCCCTACGTACCAATTTTGAATAGAATCGGACTATAATTACAAACATTGTCCGCCATATTGGTTCCACCATCTCGATTTTCCAAATTTTGTCCGATTTTCCAAATTTTGACGAAACAATCATAATACCCGACTCTCAAAACCCCATACATTAGAAAATTCGTCCGCCACATCAGATCCACCATCTTGAATTTCCTATTTTTGACGAAGGAATCATAATCCCCGATCACGAAAACCCCTAGGTACCAATTTTAAATAGAATCGGATTATAAGTACAAAAATCGTCTGACATATTTCTTCCGCCATCTCGAATTTTCAAATTTCGCCCGAATTCCCAAATTTTGACGAAAGAATCATAATCTCTGACACCCAAAACCCCCAGATACCAACTTTGAATTGAATCGGATCATAATTACAAAACTCGTCCGCCATATTGGCTCCGCCATCTTGAACTTCCTAATTCTGACGAAGTCATAATCCCCGATCCCAAAAAGCTCTTCATACCAATTTTGAATAGAAACGTATCATAATTACAAAACTTGTCCGCTATATTTGATCCGCCAACTTCCACATCCTGAATTTACAGGGATAAAATGTATCCTATAGCAGTCTACTGGTTCTAAGCTACCTCCCCACCAATTTTCAGCCAAATCGGTTCAGTCGTTCTCGATTTATAAATAGTCTAAACAAATTTTGGATTTTCTTTTATACAGGGTGTATCTAAATAACACCGAAAAAATTCAAGGGGTGATTCCTTGTGATATTCTAGCAAATAAAGTTCATATAAACATGTGTCCTAAACTTGTTCCCTTTTTGAGGTACAGGATGTTGAAGTTGGAAGTATTAATTGTTTTTATTTATAACCCCCCTATATAAGCTTTCATGGTGCCAAAATTCAGTATGGTTGGAGACTGAGGAAGTCCCAACATTTCAAAATGATTCTAATTGGGGTTATTGAGTAATCTCAATGGAAGTCTTGAAAACACGCCTACATTCAGATAACTATTATATTAGCATCTTAAAATCAACCGAAAAAACTGAAAAAAGCTTTTCAACAGGTCTTTCACATGATGAGGTGTGCAATTTGAGAATCATAACCTTTTTGCTGCTCCCTGTATATCTTTCAATACAGTGAGTTATCTGTCGATTCGGGAAGCAAAATGAATCCCTTGTGAGGCTGTTTCTGTTTTTTTTGATAATTTCATGAATTATAAGAGTTATTGAGAGGTGGTAGTTTATGTGTTACCCGGTACGCGATTTTACTAAATATACTGTACGCTAGCACAAACCACGCCCACCGTAATATCTCATCTTCGAAGTACTTAGGCAAAACTCAGAGACTATTTATCCTTAACGAACTAACCTATCCCTGATTGCAATATTTTTGAGGAAGGAAAACCAGAATGGAGTGTAGAAAAACATTGATTAATAATATATTTCAAAAGTCTCTTCAACAAAATTGAATATAATGAGACTGTTTATCCTAAACGCACTAACCTATTTGACTTCAAATATTTTCTGAAAAAGAAAAACCAAAATGAAGTAAAAAAACATTGGTGAGAAAAAAAAATGTTGCAAAAAAAGTTCACATCGATTCGAACCATGGACCTTCAGACTGAAAGTCGACAGCGCTAACCAGTAAACCATTTGGGCATATGAATTTACTGCGTACAAAAGATTGACAACGAGAGAGCTTCAGTCGAATTCGTGTCAAAATCATAAAAAGTGTATTCTTGCCTTGGAGCACAGTATAATTATTTAGTGCGATGTGCTGACTCCGAGTATATCGGTAATATTTGGAGATATGACGTATTATGGTGGGCGTGGTTTGTGCTAGCGTGCAGTATATTTAGTAAAATCGCACCCGGTACATACCTCGACGTTAGAGAGCGCCGAACACAGTTGCCAAGTTACCAACGGGTATTTACCGAATGTTTGTTCACATATCACGTGGTTAGGTCGCGTCGCCGATATTAGGTACTCCTCAATTGCAATGATTATTTACCATGCCATTATTCCATGGGATGAATACTACTAGAGACATTTCAAGAGTTAAGCACTTTAGTTCATATAATGGGAAAGATAATCTTTAGTGTTGACTTCAAATTATCCCAATGTGGACTTGGTTATTGAAATTTTGTTTTAGTGCAACAAGAATACAGAAGGAATTCGACGAATTCATAACAGAATCTCAACAGCTAGAAAGAGAATATGAAGCAACCATAGACCAAAACGAGAAGAAAATAAAAGAATTGACATTGGGGAATAATAGAGCTCAAAATGAAGCAGACTCTCTTAGGGTACATTGACATCAATCTCATAATTCATTCTATCGATAATCTTGCATAAATTTCAGATCAAATTAGAACAAATTCACAAAGAGAATGCTAATTTAGAAATAGAAATTTCCAACTCTAAGAAAGAAAAAATGCAGATGTCACAGTACATCAGAGATCTGGAACAAAAAAACGACGATCTGGAAAGGTCCAGGCGGATCATTGAGGAAAGCATAGCAGGAATTGAGGCTGCATTCAATTCCGCCATCGAGCGAAATGCTATGCTGGAATCCGAAGTAGACGAGAAACATACGCTTAAAGAAAAATTGCAAAGATTGGCAGATGAAACCAGAGGTATCTATTATGTATAGTATATTACATAACTAGTGTGGAAAGTGACATGCACTTTCCAACGAGTTTTGTACACTATTTTTCCTACGACCACAAATATTTATATTATATGTCATGAGTGTTTATAAGACCAGAGTAGGGATCATGTTTCTAATCATATTCGATCACATGAAGGTGATATCATTATCATTATTATTCAATGTTACTTCAATATTTAAATGACATCATTAGTTTAACGTAAACTTAACAACTCAATATGAACTCAACATTAACTCAACATCAACATAACATCAACTTAACATCCACTTAACATCGACTTAACATATATTTAACAGTTTCTTAACATTAACTTGAAATTAACGTAACATTAACTCAACATCAACCCAACATTGACTTAAAATCAACCTAACATTGACTTAACATCAACTTAACATTAACTCAATAATTATTCAACATTAACTCACATTAAATCAACATCAACTCAAAATTAACTTGACATTACCTCAAAATCAAATTAACATCAACTCAATATCAAATTGACATTAACTTCACATTAATCACTAAATTGCCAATACATTGACATTAATTCAACTTTCAATTGAAATTAACTTGATTTCAACTTCTCATCAACTTGACATTACGCCAACATTAACGACAATAACTCATGTTAAATCGACACTAACTTTCTATTAACTTGACCATAACTTAACTTACCATAATTCAGCATAATAATCATTCATTGGTACATCATAATCTATAGACCCTGTTACTGTGCAATTTTCGAATATTTCCACCCATGTGAGTTATGCTTTTGAACTTTCTAACTGTTATATGTCATAGTGAATCGAGTCATTTTCTCAATAACAAATCAATGTGTTTTGTGCTGGTTTCATAGGTGGTCCTAGGAAAACTCATATTTCCAGTGCCAACATTATTTGTTTTTATTAAAACCTTTCCAAAGCATTTTGTTTGTCATGAAAATGTAACTGAAATAAGTGATCAATCTTGTTTGAAAATATAACTTTTTCAGTAATATTTTAGAAATAGATATTGGGCTACATAACATTGTTTGTTCTCGCAAGAGGATCGTGCTGTTCGCTAATGACATCTATGATTTTTTTTCAGATTTGAAACAAGAGCTGCTAGTAAAGGAGAGAGACAAATTACCCGATAACGAACGATTTTTGAACGGATACAAAAATTCCGTAATCGATTCGAATCGCCTGCGAGAAAATGAAACTCAGACCACCCCGGCAAAACGTAAGATGCTCAAAATCAGTAAGGCATTCATGGCATTTTCGGTGTTGTATAAAAAAATCCGAAATTAATGTTTGGACTCTGGCTTTCACAGCTTTGAATACATGTTTCTTTCTTTTAATTCATTTTTCTGTTCATTTTACTTTTTACTGTTGGTGCTGGAAGGATTTTTAGACGATTTTTTTAACAAATGCTTTGCATGGTTTTAGAAATTAACACCTATATCTTCTACAGAATGACCTGTGGAATATTTTCCATTGTGTGGCATAAATATGAACACAAATGGAAATCTTGATCTAAACAAAATATTTTCATTCCATAGTTCGAAATATTGGAGGGAAATGTGAAATACATAGTCGTCTATTTCCTGAAAATGTTTTATTGAAATATATCCATTTGTGTTCAAATATATGTCAGCACTGCATTGACAAGAACAAAACTTTGGAAAAAAAAGTTATACAAATTGGGTGCGTTTTTCATTCCAACATTTTGTCATGCTAATGAATCAAAAAAACGATCAAACTGTTGCAAAATTCCGCTGAAATGTTGATTGAAATCCATGAAACTGTTCTTATAACATGCTCACTTTCAATTTGCTTTGAGAGAATCCAGCGATTTGGAGGAGAATGACATGACGATTGACACATTCTTTGTTTTGATTTGATAGAATTCACGTGATTTTTGAGATTCTTGAGATTTTAGAAGATGGAGCTAGTATTAATCAATAAAATCGTTGCAGCCTCTTCTGATTCAGAAGATACATGACAGACGAAATCCGTTTTTCCATCAATCTGTTGTATATTCCATTGCAGCATCGGTTCCATCATAAATTCCATCAGAAAATTGGTTACATCACGACAAAAAAGCGCATTTATCAGTGCGGACTTTTTTCGTTGGAATGAAAAACACCCATTATTAAATAAAAGAAACCCTATTGGCAGATTTCAAGGTCAACATCTAACATTGCAATGACGTCTAAAAATTCGAGATAGAAAATATCACGTCGCCCCACCTAACGACAACAACTTGAACACTTCTGAGATGTTTGCTTTGAAGGATTGACCGATGATCACAAACAAAAAATAAATGTGAACCAATAAAAACAAAGTGAACAGACCGCTTTGAGAGCTTTCAAAAGCTTCGCTAGGTGGCGTACGCTTTTTCCATTAAGGCTAAATACCATCTCAATGTCATCTGATGACCTTGAAATCCGCCAATACAAATGGTCACTGATTTGTACTACTGAAAATATCATTAAAAAAAAAAGAATGAGATTTCAAATAGGTTTCCACAACCCAAATAATAACTACTTTAATAAAATATTAATGTCCCTTACTAAGTTCTGTTTCGAATATAATAAATTTTTGTAAGGTTTTGTTAATCTTCCTTTATGAAAAACAAACAATAAAATTATGGAAATACTTTGCTGAATGGAAACAAACGATTCAGAATGGTCGTTTCTTGGTTAGGCACTAGATCACAAATTTCAAGCAAACTTAGCTTCTTCAAATGAAGTAACGACCATAGCAAATAAAAGAATGAAAGGGAATTCAACATGTATATTTCCTTTTGTAGGTTCCAAAAGAAAGAAAAAACCCTGAGAAATGAAAAAAATATCGCGCATGGTCCAAACATTCTTCCGTTCTGACTTTACCTAACCTAAAATTTTAATTTTTGGTTAGTACTTTGAAGATATTTCCTGTTTGCATATATTTTATCAAAATAAATGATGAGTGTGTGGTAATTGAATAGATAATGTTTTTGACAATCACAATTGACAGAGAAGTAGTACTCATTCAATGTTTTTCCATTTTATTGAGTAGTGCTGTATAAAGCCATAGCCAGCCATAGACAATATTACTAGGTACAGGGTGGCTGGAATTTGAGCCTCATCATTGGGTGAACCATGAAAGATACAGGGTCGGTTAAATTATGGCAACGTTGAGCAATTTTATGCCTAAAAAAATGTCGTTTTAAAACTTTTAAAATTTCAAAGTTTCGGTGATATTCCAAAATATCAACATATCCTAAAACCCGCTTTATTTTATTTCTCAAGTTATTTCAAGAAATTAATATAAATAAATGACACTATGGCCATGATAAAGCTTGAAAAAAACAGGTTTTACGAAATTTCTTCGAAAGTATTCAGAGTTTTCCAAGTTTCGAGACGGTATTCTGTTTTATATTTAATTTACATTCAATTTATATTCAATGCAATAGTTGAAATATCAGTCTTACATGTAAACTTTCATAGGAAATCACGTATTGCTTTCATTTAATTTATATTCAATTTAGTACTGATAACATGATGTGCATTGAGCAAGTGTCAGTTGTACCAAAATATACATCTGAAAATAACCATATACAAGGTGGGCCAAAAGAAATCATCCGATGTTATTTGGCTCTCATTTTCTTTTTAAATGAAAAGCTCCGATTCTGTTTTTTGATTATGTGTATTTGAACCTTAAGAATTTTATTGGTCAAGTCGAGCAGATGATATCGGCCAAATGGGCGCCGCCACAATTGATTGCTATACGGGCTCGTTTTATGGCATTTTTCATCACCGGCGAGATCTTCGGGCGACAGATTCTGGCACTCGTGTCGTTCACGTAAACACAAGACTTCAAAAAATCCAACAAAAAAAGTCTGAAACGGTTAAATCGGGCGATCTTGCGGGCCAGAGCAAATCGCCAAAACGAGAGATGAGACGATCTGGGAACGCCGCCTCCAGAATATCGGTTGTGGCTCGCGCAGTGTGTGCCGTTGCTTTGTCCTGTTGGAACCACATGTCCTCCAGTCCTGATTCGTTCAATTGCGGCAGAAAAAACTCGGTAAACATGGCCCTGTAGCGCGCACCGTCCACTGTTGTCGTTTGACCAGCGGCGACCTCGAAAAAAATGGCCCGATGACTCCTCCAGAGTAAACAGCGCACCATGCAGTCACTTTGAGCGTGTGTAATGGCTCCTCGTGCATCACTCGTGGATTTTCAGTGCCCCAGAAGCGATAGTTCTGCTTGTTCACGTACCCGCTGAGGTGGAAATGAGCCTTGTCGCTCATTATGATTTTGGTCGGAAAATCGTCCACGAGATTGAGGATGGCTTGGCTTGGATTATTCCGCTTTCTTGGGGAGTGTATCGCTCCATGGCTTGTTCACTTGTATTCTACATCTGTCTAGTTCACAAATGTCGAAACAGATCTGACATTGGCCGCAAAAATAAGAACATCTTCCAATTGGGTGATTTCTTTTGGCCCACCTAGTATATGCTTTTGCGCATGCGTAAGTATTTGTCAAATGCATTTCTATGAACGACCCAAACTTGCTTACGATAAAATTGAATTAAATATAAATTAAATATAAGTTATTTCTATAAAGAGACCATAGTAATTCCCTTCATCGCGTTTTCTGATCCTGGCAACCTTCCACTACAAATAATCATCAGTTCTACCAACCCTGGCTACCTCAGCCAAATTGCAGAAGAAGTGGACACACATATTATATTACAATATCTTTTTGAGAAAGGAAAATCGTCATGAATCGAGAATTAGTAAACATCAGGGTCAAACTTCTGAACAGATTTCAACCTAATTTCATCACAGACTTCACTGAAGTAGGCTGCCAAAGTTCGTTCGGAACAGTTCGGATCATTCCGAGTGGATATTGATGAATTCAAACAACCATGACTTTCGTTATGGACGCATAATTATATATTTTATGCACGAACGAGCGTAAAAAAGCACTTTACCGTCTGGCGTATAGATAGATAACTCTAATAATACAATTCAGAGCATTATAGTTATTTACTGATAATAATAATAATCTTTATTATTCCCAAGAAACATATATGTTTATAGCAGGAAAAATTATGGAAGAGCAACAAAAAAAAATTATATAATCAGATAATCATTTTTAAATCATATACTATACCAAGTGCGTTATATAATAAGCATTCCTCTATAATTCAGGTAATATACAGTGTGACCCATTTAAGATGGAAGCACCCTTATAAAACTTACATTTTTCAACCGATTGGAATGATTTTTTTTTTGTTAGGTAGATATTCAAAAAGTCTATTAGGACACCAAATATCATGAATAAATCTCCATTTCCACGGCCAACTAATCTGATTTTTCAAGGTCAAAAATCTAAAAAAATTACTAGCGATTTTTTTAGAAAAAATCTGACTACACCACTGGATTTGTGACATTTTCAAATGGGTAACATGTAAATTACGTTGAAATGCGTCAATCAATAAAAAAGTTATAAAGGAATGAAATTTGAAAAATATGCCGTTTAATCAACCCATCAATTTTTATTACTGAACAGATTTCGATGAAACTGTGATCAGTAATATTTCAAGACATCCTGAATCCAGTGGAGTATACAGAATTTTCATAAAATTCCTGAACATGAATTGGTGGGTTGATTAAACGGCATATTTTTCAAATTTCATTCCTTTATAACTTTTTTATTGATTGACGCATTTCAACGTAATTTACATGTTACCCATTTGAAAATGTCACAAATCCAGTGGTGTAGTCAGATTTTTGACCTTGAAAAATCAGATTAGTTGGCCCTGGAAATGGAGATTTATTCATGATATTTGGTGTCCTAATAGACTTTTTGAATATCTACCTAACAAAAAAAAAATCATTCCAATCGGTTGAAAAATGTAAGTTTTATAAGGGTGCTTCCATCTTAAATGGGTCACACTGTATGTTTTAGTTGTGATGCTTTATTATCTAATATAACAGTTCTCTTGATATTTCTGAGATGCAAAATGACGTCATTAATTGACAGCAAATATAATACTTCAAATTCGGAGAAGTCCGAATACTTGCAGATTTTTGGAAAAAAATCTAGAATACTATACTTTGTCCATGGCTACTATTGTTTTTGATACATACATTTATTTTTAACAACTGTTTTTTCATAACTTATCTGACATTAAGAAAACAAAAAATTGAAGATACCTGTTATATTAATTATTTGTCCACAACTGTTGTACTTCCTCAAGCAAAACGAAAGCCATTTTTCACACCAGTGAATAAGCTGTGAATAATCATTATTCACTGGTCTAAAGTTCCTTATATATGTTATATCGCGTACCCTAGGAACTCTAGACCGGTGAATTATGGTTATTCACTGCTATTATTCACTGGTGTGAAAATGACTACGGTTTTGCTCGAGGAAGTACATGTATTATAAATATTTTATACAACAGTCGTTGATAAACATATTTTTCATCGTTATTTGAAGGAATCCATCGAAATCAATGACACTTTTCCATGACAACTCTTCCCTTATTTAAAATCTTGATTTTCACACTTTTTTACGGCATGAATTCATAGTCAATGAAATATTGGGTGTCCAAATATAACATAAAATACAATAAAAATGTAGGTCCACATTTGAAAGAAATGAGTTGGGAATAGTTTCAGAAAGACAAAATTTTGGACACAAATCATAAATCTCCATCTTGTGGGAAAGAAAAAGTGCCCAAGATAATAACTTTAACTCATTTCCATGCAATTTTTCCGAGTACGTAAAAAAATGTTTCATGATATTTCAATTTCATTAGTAATCCAAGTAAAATAACTTCGATCTCCATTCTTCTTCCCCCCAATATTCAAAGAAGGCCTTGAATCAGCTGCATCTTACCAACCCTTTATCATTATTTTGACTAAATTAGTCAATTCGAAAACTTGAAAATGTAATGAAAATATTTAACACTAAAATAATTATTTAAAATATGCGCTTTCTGCCAAATCTTTGGCATTCGTCGCCAAAATGAAAATGAATTTTATTAAATCTACCATAACTCCGTAAACCCTGTACAGGGTGAATGATCCGGAAACTCCCAAATTCGTAGGTCCGATTTTGTTTTAACTAGAAAGTGAAATGTCGAAGTTGAAAAGAACGTCGTCATTAATCTTTAAAGTTCAAAAATAAATGATGAGTAGTATGAAATCCGGCGTGCTCAAATATATTTATGAATTTTATAATATCAATGCTTTCTGTTGATGAATTAAAAAAAAAAAACAATTCAATTCTCATCAAAAGTAATAATAATGTACTATGATTTATGGTATTTCTTGTCAGTCATACTATATTCCAACTGTAAATTGAATATCCACTCTCCACCATCAATAATTCATACATCTTTTCAATCGGTTATGTTTATTCAAAGTTGTGATCGCATATAATTGTTATTACCTAATCCTGATTTTTATGTGTTTTGTTTTCAAAATCTCTAGTATATCTTATGAAAGTCTAGCAGATATTTTAGTTTAGAGTTGACTGAAGTAGAATTGTTTTTGAACATTTTGTGTTAGTTTGTAATGAAATAAACATCAACTATCCACTGATTGGTTCACTAAGTTTGAGGTAGATTCGAGTTTTGATTTTGAGAATTTGTGTTGTTTTCTCAAATGAAATAAATTGACTAACTACTACTTCATTGTGTTTCACTCCCTGACAACTCTGGTGCTTTGTGTATTATTTTTTGCATGTGATTTTTTCGGCATGGTATTCTTTGAATGCCCCTGTCTGCTGTAGAAATAGACGACTGGACTGATATTGTTTTGTTTATTATATCACTACTTTCTCGAAAACCGGTGAAATTACAGAAATTTTATTGCCTTTCTAAAAGTTTGGTAATATTATTTTTGATTTCTGGTGTCGAGTTAGTGGGAATTCGGTCGAAATGTTGAAGAAAACCAATTGCTAATTGTCGACGTTTCGAAACTTTATTGTTTCATCTTCAGGACACTGAAGTAAAAAAACAAGAACATACATATTTCAGTGTCCTGAATATGAAACAATAAAGTTTCGAAACTTCGCCAATTATTCAATTGGTTTTCCTCAACATTTCGACCGAATTCCCGCTAACCCAACACCAGAAATCATATCCAACGGTCGCCATTCTATTCAATTATTTTTGATGTACAAACCTTGTGCTGTAAATGAGACGCTCGAAAATGACAAATTAGCTAATATTAATAAAAAGTGTCTAGTAAACCATGGATCATACTGTAGCTGATGATAAACACGTTCATAACCTATCAGGTTTTCTGATGAGTAATGAACTTGTTTATCATGAGCTAGAGAATGATATATGCTTTACCGGACTCCCTGCATAAGAAATACTAGTTTCATTTAATATGATTTCTCGTCAGCAAACAGTCAGAAATTGATAAAAAATCAAAACAAAATCATGATCATTGCTTTTTCTGATTTAAATCAGACTAACCTACAGAAGGTTTAGTCAATTGAGCAATCTACTCATACACATTCGTACTTATGCCGCTAGATGGCTCTGAAGGTTAGATCGTGGTCAATTTGTCTCGTTCTTTCATTCTTACGGAGAGAAGTATATTGAAATGATAATATTTTTATTCATAGAGACAAGGCGAGAAACTGAAAAAATCTAGAGAAATTAGAATATTTTAGTTGGGTAGATAATGTCTGAATATGCCCTCTTAAAGTTTCAAAGTGATCTGGTTCATTAGAAACGTTAATGTTCCATCCACCGCGAATCAGCTTGTATAATATGGTGTTCCATTTGAAAAAGTTGTCACCTACGTCATTTCCCTAATGTTGGTTATGACAAAATCTCGAAAATACGGTGAATTAGAATGGGGGAGACCACTGATGTTTTAAAACGATATCATTATTTATACGAACGATAAAAAAATTCGAATATGTTCATTTCAAAACACACTTCCTGCGCCATTCGAAATGGTGTCAATCCATTGGTGTGACTGGTATGACGTATTAGTCCCAACCCGCCTATTGTCCTTGAATTGACCAATCACACTGCAGAATGGCAAGGTATCAGAGAGAGATAGCTACAGTTCGGGACTAATACGGCTCCACCTTCATATGTGGCTTTTTGAAATATCGAATGTAATAATATACTGATTTCAAAATGCTATACAGGGTGCCCGTTTTTCGAGTTCCACCATGGGGATCTCAGTTATTATAAGAGATACGAGGTCGGTTATATTACGGCAAAGTTGCGCATCTTCATGCTGAACATTTATTTGCAAGAAAATTCGATGTCATTTTCAGTTTTTGAATTATTTGAAAACAGGAAAAAAAATTATTTTCGTTTTGATTTTTTCAAGCGGGAACCAAAAGACCTAGACGTTTCTGCCTGAAACATTCTTGAGGTACTTTTTTACAAGGAATCTGAATCTGTCATTGTATTTTTCATGACTTTCTTGATGCCAAAGTTACAACACACAACTTCGTCTTTTCTTATGGGCGCCATATTGGATTCCTACAATTTTGAAGTCTTTTTTTTTTTCACAACAACAAACTGAATTTTGACAGTTCAATTGAATTTGCGAACAGAACTGTTGAATTCATAAACTTCTCCACATAACGCAAGAAGGGTTGCCGAGTGTCTGTCAGATATGTTCCCAGACAAGGTAATTTCCAACATCGAAGACATACGTTGGCCAGCGCGGTCACCTGATCTCTCTCCGCTATTATTTATTGGGAACTATGAAATATTTGATTTTCAAAACTGTACCGATCGATATTGAAGAGCTGGGAAGAACCGTAATCACCACTTTCAGGACTAAGATGAGAAGACGGGACATCTCGCGAGCAATTCTGAATCTGAGGAAACGCGTAGAATTTAACTTTTATAAACTTCTAGCTCATTACGTCGTTCCTAATTCAAAACCATAGTTTTTGAGTTTATGAGTTTGACGAAAATGTGAACGTTCCTAATCCAAATTCTATTGGATAACAAAAAAACAAATTGAAAATAAATACAAAAAAAACAACCTATATGGTATTTATGCAAAAAAATACGAACTTCGAGGAGATAAACATAAAAATTGGAGGAGAAAAGATACAAAGAGTTGAAAGTACAAAATATCTTGGCTTAGTTGTTGACGACAAAATGAATTGGAGTAAACATATTGACCACATTGAAAATAAAGTAGTACCGATGATCGGAGCGATCTATCGATGTAGAGACTATCTTGATCACAAACTATATACTCAAATCTATAATGCATACTTTTTATCAATTTTCAGATACTTGATTCCCTTATGGGGTGCTTGTGGACGTACACTATTTGAGAAAGCAGAAAAACTACAAAATAAAATTGTAAAAGTTTTATTCAATATCGAATTCAGAACACCAACAAAACAGGTTTATGAGCAAACTGGCATTTTACCAATCTCAGAAATATTGAAAATTGAACAGAGTAAATTCATATACAAAGTTTGCAAATCTGAACAGAAGTGTAATTCACAAATTAAATTAAACCATGAAGTCCATTCCTATGAGACAAGGAACCAAAGAAATATATACATCGAGCCCACAAGAACGAACATCGCTTTAAATAACCCTCTCAATAAATGTATCAAAACTTTTAATTGTTTACCAGTGGCGTTGAGGGAAGCCGATAACATAAAATTATTTAAAACTGAGTTGTCAAAAAGAATCTCTAACAATAACATAAGTGTATGAAGATCAGGTTAGGATAGTAACAATGAAATGATGTATGTAGGATTAAGAAGTCCCGAGACCAGCATCACGTGCTGATTTGGAATTATTTTTCAAATAGCATCGAAAACAGTAATGTACTAAATTGAAAATAATTAAGATCAGATTGTGAACTATTTGAATAAAGCCTTAAAAAAATTCAAATAAACTGTCGAGATTCAGCTTGTTAAACAAAACTATTGACGTTCTTTCCAAAGCATGTTTTCCCAATTTTGATCAGCAGGAGAGATTCGATCATATCTTGTGATACATCATTCTAATCAGAAAAAAAAGACTTCAAAAATGCAAGAATCCAATATGGCGCCCATAAGAAAAAACAAAGTTGTGTGTTGTAACTTTGGCATCAAGAACATCATGGAAAATACAATGACAGATTCAGATTCCTTGTAAAAAAGTGCCTTGAGAATATCCCAGTCCGAAACGTGTAGGTCTTTTGGTTTCCACTTGAAGAAATAAAAACAAGAATTATAAATTTTTGCCCTAATTTAACCGACCTCGTATCTCTTATAATAACTGAGATCCCTATGGTGGAGCTCGAAAAACGGATACCCTGTAGATTGGATTCCCTTCAATATCAACTTATAATATTGATTCATCGATTGAAAGAGGTTTGGACGGATTTCATCCCCCAGTGGTCTTCCCCAATTGTCGAGAGATATTTTATAAAAATGTGTTACTTTTTAAATAACTCAATTGTTATCAGCATTTGGAGTATGGATTCTAAAGAAGAAAAAATTGGTCCAATCGTCTATTAGTAGTATAATGAGTTTCTCTATTCCTTGCAACAGAAAAAGTAAAAGATAGTAATTGATTTGCAGATGATTATCATCAAGCTCCTATTTCACCAGCATCCAGGGTTATGGCCTTGAATATTGTTAGCGATCTCATTAGGAAAGTGGGTGTAAGTAAATTATTGTATATCGTATTTTTCATCTGCATGACTCATTTTATGAATATTGGTAGGTTTTCTATATTGAGCACATCACTTTTATACCCCATCTGATGTCCTATAGTGATTGATTCTGTTCATTTGAGTGCATTTCAGTCTGGATAGATGGAAGTTATAAATCAGAATAACACCCTGTGTATGCCATGAAGTTGCATGAGATCAAGTTTAGATAAAATATATCACTGGTGAATTGAAAAATGTACTATGAAGAAAAAGTAGGGTTAGATGACAAGATACAAAAAAAAAATATTTGAAAAGTCTTCCGGAACCAATTTCATTTGAGTTGATTTCAGTTTGTGAATATGACAGGGAATGATGTACTCAAACAATATACAGGGTACCGGGTGTACCATTAAGAAAGGACGCCGGCTGTATCTCGGAAACTATTTGCCGCACAGGTTTCGGAAAAAAATATGTATGATAAAAGTGGTCTAGAAAAATCTCTGGAAATTATTTTCAAGTTTCCAGGACAGCCCCTAGAGGGCGTAATTGCATTGGCCAGTTCAATAAACGGGTTTTTATGTGAATTTGATAAATCAAGACATATCAAAAACACTTTTTTCATGTTCTCGAGTTGATTTCCAATCATTTCGATCAAAAAACTTGCGCTAGCTCTTTAAATAAAAGAGGGAGGGAAGGATGAATAGTACTTTGAAACAACTCTCATTACTACAGTTTGGTGTAACGGAATTCAACGATCTTGGTCTCATTATGAAGGGTTTTGTTGGATCTTCCAGATGAATCATGAATCAAGTCGATTTAAATCCTGTGGTGGCCGCTAGATGGCATCGTTTGAAAAATCAGACAATTTTCCATTTTGACATCGTGTCTGGTCAAGATTACTTTGGATTCAAATCTGAGACAATAACCTAAGTTCCTACTTTATTTTATTTAAAAAGTTTGCATATTTGTTGACGGTCTGACAATACTCGAATTCAAATTCCTTTTTATAGTAATCTTCTTCAATCACTCAAGTTATTGTGACTGATATAATTACCAGATGATGTAGCGCAACTGATAGGGTTGTTGCGCGAGGATACGAAGGTCGATGGTTCGAGCCCTCGGCGACGATATCTTTTTTTTTTTTATTCCATGTAACATTAATTCAATTTATTTTGTTTGAATTGGATAGCAATTGTATACACTCTTTTGAGAGCAACCATCTCCAAGATAATAAAAAAAATACTGTTTATCAAAATTGTACATTCCACTTTGTGAATAACTATAAGTAGGTAGTTAATTTCTAAAAAAGTGAATTCTGTATTTCATTACTATCATTATGTTCTTCTTCGCAGTTCGAGTTGGAATATACTAAAATTATGTTTCCTATTTCTTATATATATTGTCTCATTCAATCATGAAATAGTCATAGGAATACAACTCGTGATACTATTTTTCCTGGAAATATTCGTCGATTGCCATACTCCAGCTTGCTGCTCTAATTTCGCTCATGACATTGATCCAAAACTACTCGCCTACGGCTCGAAGTTTTGATAACAATGTCATCCACGAAATTACTAGGCAACAAGCTGTCGTTACAATCACCGAATATTTCCGGCAAAATATTATCACTTGTGATATTACATATGATAAAAAAGGTGCCTTTTTTTATCGATGTCAAAATGACTCACGTCGTCGTCAAATAACGTTTTTCGTGTAGGAGTTGATTTATCAATAAAAAATGAGGCAAATATGTGGGGTGGGCCTATTCGATGGATAACCCTGTACCTACATTTTTATGTTTTCAATTTACAGGGCTTAGAACGTAGACTGGAAAAATCAAAATACGAATACAGAGATATTTCCACTAACGATATTCGGTGAGTTTTCAATTTTCTCAGCTCTTTTCACCTAATGACAATGCTGACATGTGAGTAAAATCAATTTTCCAATTTTTTCACAGACGTAGCAGAAGTTCAGCAAAGCCCAACACGGCACCAGGTCTACATGGCCTCACTAAATGATAATTATCCTTTTATTTAGATATATTTATTGTAACTACTAAATAAATCCTACCAAAAAAAAATGTACGAGACTATGCAGTGGAAAGTATATGGCTTTTAAAAAAACTAGAACTTATTTGAAAAGCTGTTGTGAACAATAAGAAGCCTTTTATCAGTTTCATCTTAGAACTTAGATTCTAGATAGAAAACTGTTAGTTTCATAAAACTTCCCGAAATGTCTCTTAAGGATTACTTATTAATTGTTCAATAATTGATACATTTAATAATATGGAATATTAAATGGTAATAAATTATTTAAACATAACTACAGTAGTGGGTTATTTGGATGTTCTGGTTATTTTTAATCACAAACAAATGTGCATGTAGTACAGCCATGGAAACCAGGTGTCACAGGATACATCTAGCAGCCTATCGTATTTCTATGTATCAAACTAAGTACACGGTGTCCCATTTACAATGTCCTTTTGGGATATCTCACTCAATTCTGAAGATAGAGAAATTTGCGGTTTCATATTTGAAAAATAGGGCGATATTACATTTTTGGACCTTCCTGTATCTTATCTAACGATATTTCGTTACCAAGTTCTTATTTAAGCACAAATTATAAAATAAAAATTACCATCAGATTAAACTAATTAAACTAATGAATAGAGAATTGAAGTACTTTTTGATCTAGTGCAATAATGCATTGTCTTTCAAAAAGTAATTTCCTTCTTGCACTAGGACAAAAACAGTTTTCTCAAGTTTTAGTTCCCAGAATTGAAGCTCATTTATCATCAAACAATCTCCACTTCTGACTTGAAATCACTGAATTAAATTATAATGGAATTCAAGTTTTCAGTTTTATAATAATAAGAGTTTTTCCTACTGGCGTGCGGAAAGAAATCCACTTTTCCGCACTCATTCCGCATTCTTCCGCACTAGTGCGTAAAAGTATATTTGTTGAGTTTCTGGGGAGTACACTGACATTTGAATATTTAACAATAATAAATGTTTCTTTATGTCAACTTTTGGGTTTTATCCGCACGCTAGTAAAAAAAAAGTTTACCTAACACGCGCGTAAAGTGATTTTTCCGCACGTGATTGTTGGCCGAACTGCCCTAACCGTCGTTCGGCATTTGTTAAGTGAATAATATTTCTTACTAACGTGCGGAAGCACTCATTTTGGTGTTGAAAGAGTCACTTTTCAGCACGTATCAATGGTATCAAACCAATATCTGTCTTCATTGGAAAACATTTTGCATTTTGCAGAATGCTACAAAATTGCACGTTCAACATTGATATTGATAAAAATCAATTTGTTGATATGTATTCAATAATAAATGTTTCTTCTTGATATCTTTTTTGCGGGTTTTTTCCGCACGATAGAAAAAACGTGCATAAAATATCAATTTCCGCACATGTTATGTAAACTATCTCGTGATGTTTTGAAAAAAAAAAAACACTAGGAACGTCATCAAATTCCAAAGGAACCCTTCCAGAATATACAATATATTCATTGGAACTTCATTCACTCACCCATCGTAGCAATTCGAAAACGGTTAAAAATTACTCGGGAGACTCGGACTTTTTTCAAAACACGCAAATTTCGGAAAAATTATAAAGTACAGGGTGTTTCATTTGAAATAAGGACGTTTGTGTACGATTTAACCGAAAGTGCTACTCCCCTGGCGATATTTCACATTTTTTCTTTTTGTTAAATTATATAATGCTCCAAATTAACAGATTTTTTTTTGGAAGGAACATCGTCAATAGACCGTGAGCCCAAAACGTGTTATTGTGTCTCATGTGCTCACACTCAGCAGGATATAAAAACTAGACTAGATATATTTGAAGAAATGATTATTTTTTTACATCATATTGATTTGATGTAAATTAAATAGTATGACGAAAACTAAACTCTCTTTCAAACATCTTGCTACTAGTGAGGTGTTATTTTTCTCTGCAAAGCGTGGTTTCTTGTATCTTTGTTAATCATCAAATTGTTGCAGATTTCTGATTTAATATCAATAAATCTTCAATATTTTGCATGAAGATCTCCACAAATGTTTCCAGTTTCATTCAATAAGGAAAATATGAAAAATATCTTGCAAAACAAGGAAAGCATCACAAATATTCAATTCATATTCAACACTCAAAAACTTCCATTGATTTTTCATCAACTTTGTATCCAAGATAAATGTTCCATCCTGTGTGTCATCCAAAATGTCTGAACTTTTTTCATACTTACTAATATCCTGAGGTTACCCACAAAATTTCAGGAAGATAACAATTTTTGGAATTTTCAAGACAGTTTCTCAATGCCCTGTAGTATCACAGTTGTAGTATTATTGTCTACAGCAGACGACTTTAATACAATTCTGAAAACTTCATTAGGTACTCCTACTATTATCAATCAAACAGGAAACAAATTCAAAGGGCATAAATATGCTTATGGACAATAAAAAAATGAAGCAAATCACAGAAAGTGCAATATGTTTGAAGGACCTTAATATAATATCGTACTTACCTACGTATTATTATTTTATACCTATTTAAGATTTGTTTTCACTACTTATTTCCTGCAAGAAGTATCTATTTTATTTATTGAAACAATAACTTGTAGGAAAACATACTGTATGTAAAGAAATTATTAAGATGTTTATAATTTTTGTAACAGTTTGTTTGATCATTTTGTAAATATGTGAAATTAAACTCCAAAACTAACTGATCTATGTGACTTTTGGAACTTAAAGATTTTTAAGAGTTTTGTTTTTCAATGATGAATAAATAAACTTGTGAATACCAACGGAAAATTATTTATTTTCACAATAATGTTCCTGTGACCATGCTGTGTAAAATGGTTTTGAAAGAATCACTTTTTGATACACACTCTGTATCCGGAATGAATTTTTGAATACTACTCGCTAGTGAAAATTTCGTGAGTTTGGCCTCGATCTTCAATGTTCCATTCTCATCGTATCCTTTATGGTTCAAAATTAGTTTGCCTGAAATTTTTGGAAAGTTAGTAGCAGCAGAACATCTTCAACAACATATTTTTTCTACAAACGTCAAAAAATGACAAGGTTCGCGCATTGATAACAAATTGCGAAGTGACACTTTTTTTCAGTTTCCTACGTTACCATGATACCTTGCACAAAACAATGCGCGAAGTAAAACAGTGCGCGAAGTACCTACTTCGCGCATTGTTATGTAAAATATATGAGATATTTATATTTCAACTTTAAGGTCCTCAATCGAGCAAACATTCACGAAATCATTCATTTCTGAATGTTCAACAATAACTTTGTCTTATCTCTTGGAGCGCACGAAAGGAAATTCCTATTATGTTCATGGACCATCGTGCGTACCTAGGGAGGACCGGGGGAGGCCTTTCAAGCCAGTTCGACACTATTTTCCATATCAAGCTAAGCATATTTTTACTTTTAAACTATATTTTTTGACGTTTGTAAAAAAAATGTTGTTTGCAACTCGAGCGCGAAATACTTTGGTCATCTCGACTATTTTTTTAACTCGGCTACGCCTCGTTAAAAAAATCAGATCTCGATCACCAAAGTCGCATTTCGCGCTCTAGATACAAAAATAACTATTATTTATGATTTTTTGTTTTTTTCCTCTAGTAGACATAAAAGACATTGGATTCGAGACGTCTTGTATGTCTAGTGATGAATTATTATTGCAACAGAAATTCAGAAATGAACATGTGAATTTTTCTAATTTTAATTTGACCCTTTGAAGCTGACGGAGGTTGTTTTACGTAAACAGTGGCGTTAAGTAAAATATTACATAACTGAGATGAAATGTTCATTTCAATGACAGTTACGAGGTAAAAATATGAATGGACGAAGATGATTAATAGTGCATTTTGTGCTTAAAACTTGAATCAACCATTTTCCACTAATGATGATATCAAACGAGTCAATTTCGTGAATTTCGTCGATTATTTGTGATCGTACTATTGTTTGACATTGACGGATACTTCAAGTGACGGCGGAAGTAAATTTGCCAACTAAATTTTCTACATTATCAGTAGAACTCATGTAGAACTGGATATCATTTCTGTTCAAGCTAAATATTTCAACAAAATCAGCAAGAATATTGTACGTAACTGTGTTATGCGATATCTCGCTTCATTCGTCTTGCAAAATCCCACCGTTACACAAAATATGACGCGTTTTCCAACTGGTTACGTTAATAATTATTACCGTAGAATTGGGTTGCTTGGGACATCGGTGTGACTTGGGACAGATTACATAAAATCATTAATGAAGTTCTACCATCTATCAGTTAATAGTGAAACTAAAACTGTAGAACCAGAGGGCTACGGTAGATGTCAGGGTAGTCATTCACGAGGGGTAAGATATTTTTTTACGTTTAGTGTCGGGGTGTATCAACTTCAAATACAGGTGAGTAAGTAACAGTAAGTTTGTTATGACCGCTACACTTCCTATACCAGTCGAGAGGGGCTCTAGAAACATCATCAGTAAGACAGGAGTACAACGATCATCCTGTAACACGCATCCCAGATTGTTCTCCAACCTCCCAATGATTCCTACATGCACCAGTATATTTCCGAACACTCAATATATGCCGCAGTGGCAAATAACGTGACAGAAGATTCTGGAATGTTCTAGAAACAATCGATGGAACAATTAGAGAGAGAAGGGTTTCGTTCTAAGAAGCTTCTAGAACAAAAAGAAGGGTGCGGAAGATCATTCGAGAACGTTCTGGTATCAAAGCCTACCAAGGGATCTCATATATATGGACGACCAAACATCTACAGTCAGTCAGTCAGTCAAGCAGCGAGTGTCAGAGAGACAGTCATATACCGCGTGATATAAATTAGTGTTTCTTTAGTTCAAGTAAATCAGTTCGAAAATAAATAGTGTCGTGTTCGCTTCTGCACCCAAATAACGTAACAATATTATTATTAACCTTACTTTTTAATATATTTTTTGGAATCACGATCTTCATTTTTCATGGTTACTTTGAGGGTCATTTGGGACATACCGTTTTGATATGGCACTCTTTGAAGATTGGTTTTTGACGATTGCTTCACCCTACCTCAAGAAACTGAATGGGGCCTAAAGTTATGTTGGGTGATGATAACCTTACGAGTCTCATTTCAGTTTAAGTTTCGCAGGAATGTGGAAATGAAAAAAAATCTTTCTATCTCATTTGCCACCCAATAGCAGATTCCCACATCACACAACCCACTGATGTGAGCTGCTTTCGCCGGATCAAATATTTGAATTGTGGAAGACAACATCGCGGTCCTGACACGTTCCCCAGTTGATTACGTCAGACCATTGCGAAAGTTGGTAAAAGTTCATCGTCGAATTCCCACCTCCATGAAGAATAAGGAGGGGAGGCATGGTTTTTAATGAAATCGCTCTAAAAAAAATCACTAATATTTAATTTTTGTTAAGAATTTGAGTTTATTTTTTGTTTTCGGCATTCAACATATGCATTTGTTTAGTTGATTATTATACTAATAATACACAACCATTTCTCTAACGGATTTGTTTAGTTTATTTCAATGAGATATTAAAATCAGTTAAATTATTTTGCCTCATCATTGAATCATCCTAGTAGTACCCATAAAATTCAATTTTGTTCCAATTCCCAATGCATTCGTTAGATATATTTTTTTAAATCTTTTTTGCGTCTCAAGACACCTTGATGAAACGGTTCTTGACGAAAAACATGTAAAATAATGACATGGACCAAGTGTACGAAATCTATCGGTGATTTGGGGCAGCACGTTTTTATTTTTATTTTACCAAAACGAGTTGATTTTTTGCAACGAACTTCGTTTCAATTTGTAGTCCCAAGTATTTGGCATGATAAAGTATTTTTTCAAGGACCAAAAGTTCTGAAGTTTTTCCATTAAGGTCAATTTAATCAAAATCATCACATGTCACCCAATTCTACGGTACGGAACTAGCAAGGAATAGTAGATTGTTTTATTAGGATCAAAAAAGATACTTTGTTTGACAAGCGAATTTTGCATTTGCGAAGCCGAGCGAAAGCAAAATTTGCGAGTCGAACAATGTCACTTTTGATCCGAATGAAACATGCTATTTTTTCTGCAACCGAAACAATTTACTCAAATAAACATGTGAAGTAACCACCAATGCCGTGCCATATGTATGCAATGCAACAAATATTGACAAATAATCCATGTGGTGAGAATATTCTACCTGCATTAACAGCAGGTTAGGTTTTCTAGGATGTTCGAATTGTAGTTTCAATATAAATACAACAGAGTGACATATTTGTGTATGGACCAGGTGCTCTTATGGCAAATACCGCGCCAGTGCCAGCTATAGGAACAAGACGTGGAAAATGTTAGGTTAGTCCGCATATCAACAGTGATAATAGTGAATATTTATTCCTCTCCATACTACACTGTGTTTCACTTGATAATCAAATGCAGCTAAACAATATCGTTGCTTGAGACAAAAAAACTATTGCTTGTCGTGATTATTCAAAAACAAGTTATTTATCCGAAGTAACGAATGAAATACAGATCAAGCAAGCATTTGAATCTTGAAGGCTTCCCTGATCAAAACAAAAATAGTTAACTGAGATGTTTATAATTCCAATACTAAACTATAATAAGGTGTATTTATATCTCCAGCATGGGTATGAAATGCCAAATCTGCTGAAATCGGGAACAAATCAGGTATGCGTCTCAACCCAAATAACCAACCGTCACAATGTTGTTTATTCTTGATGACGTCCAGTAGATCCTTTTTAGTTCCTAGGAACTAAAATTCAACTTTAGCTCCTAGGAACTAAATATGTTTCCTAGCAACATAACTATTTCTGTGACAGTAATAGAAACGTCAATTTAAGAGCTAATTTTGGTATCAAAATGGACGAATTTTGTGTCGGTTGCAGAAAAAAGAATGTATTAGGTCATCAAGAATAAACAACATTATTATGGTTGGTTATTTGGATTGAGACGCATCCCTGATTTGTTCCCGATTTCGGCAGATTTGCATTTTATACCCATGCTGGAGATATAAATAAACCATATTATAGTTTAGTACTTTTGTTTCGATCAGGAAAGCCTTGAATATTCAGATACTTGCTTGATCTGTATTTTATTCATTCTCGGGATCTGATTCGCTATTATTATTATTGATATGCTCGCACTAACCTAACATTTTCCACTTCTTTTTCCTATACCTGGCACTGGCGCGGTATTTGCTATTAGGGCAGACACTTGTCCAAATGAATTCATCGATTCAATAGAATACACAAATGGACCACTCTGTGCTTGTATTTATATTGAAACTACAATTCGAACATCCCTGAAAATTGAATAAATCTGATCCGATCAGTAAATGCAGGTAGACTATTCTCACCACACGGATTTGTTGCAGTGCATACATATGGCACGGCATCCACGTTTCGTGTATAGTATTGTATTCGTGCCTGTAGTATCTGATGATGCATGTCAACACAAATTGTAACAAAGTAAAGTCATCGCCCACCAATATTCTAATGAATTAATAGTCTGTCAAGTAAGTAAGTCACATTGGTAGTTACTTCACATATTTCTTTTAGTGAATTCTTTCGGTTGCAAAAGAAATAACATGTTTCAATCGGATCAAAAGTGACTTTGCTTGACTCGCAAATTTTGCTTTCGCTCGGCTTCGCTAGACGCTCGCTTCGCTTGTCAAACGAAGTATCACTTTTGATCCTAATTCATTGATCTACTATTGTGTAACTCTGTGTTATGTTAATATCTATTAAAACTAGAAATGATTCAAATGCAACAGTACACATACCTGACAATGAAGGACAATTGAAAATCCAGAGTATCAAAATATAAACTGGCAATGTATTGAGGTGATGTCTCATTCTCTGTAATAAATTGCTTATACACAGGGTGGTCAACCGTAACTAAAATAAAGGAAAAAAATCAAATGAATAACTTATATTTATACAGCAGAGCGGAGTGAAAGTCCAATAAACGAGTGTCTAGAAGAGTTTATAAACGCGTTACATACTATACTTTGTCTACGAACTCATAATTCCTCCTACAATTGACAGGTCGGACAGGACTGGAAAGACTGAAGGTCTGTTTAAAAAACTCTGTTGCCATGGTAATATGTGTTTGAGAAATTGTGTTGCCATGGTAACGTGTTCAATATTTTGAATAAATCACATATCAATCCGTAATTAATCGATCATTTAGCGTGGTACATACCTGAACAACCACTAAATTCGCAATTTTTCAAAATCAAATCACAGAATTAGACTGACAGATATTTATGATTACTTCAAGATAATGATAAATATGCCTGCAACGCAGGTGTCATTCCTGTTCAAAACTTTCTGATTTTAATATAATGTAATATGTAAAGTATCTTCTCTATATCGATTCGTACTTTATTCTGTTACGGTTTTTTGTCCCCCGGCGCTAAATTCGACTACTTTTTTCCCTTGTCTAATGAATAACTATTTTTGAAATTGTTATAAATGCTATACTCACTACATAAAAAACGGTGTAGTACATAGTAGTCGTCGGCAGTAGAAATAATAGTATGGTGAATCCCATAGTACCAATGAATAGTTGGTTCTGCGAATACTGACAGGAGTCCACACGTTGCCTTAGAGGGTTATATTTTCTTCCTATGAATAGCCTCCACAATGAAGTCAAACCTCTCAGCTGAAGGTTGAAGAGTCTGAAAATCGTTTTTCATTTCTCTCATTTGAATATCCGATTTTGTGTCAGGTACAAACAAGTTTTTACGAATTTTTATGAAATATCGTGTATTCTGAAATTTCATATATTATGAATATTTAAGAATTAGGATGAAGAGATACTCAGAGAAGTGTATTCAGTAGGCATAAAAAATGCCTTCCTACTGTATATCGACAAAAAAGCAGCTTAACTATTTTCAATGTTTCATTCAATCACGATTAGTTTCCGTAAATTATGTCAGCAAGTTTTTTAATAAACACTGAAACTACATAAATGATACCCCACTAATAGTTTTGTTTTCGGTTTTGTTACCGAAGCATATCGCTTATTACCTTAAGAATTTGGTGGGAATTTCATAGACTACTATAGCTGACCAAGCAAACGTTGTTTTGCTAGAAACTATTGTTTCAGTTGAATATTTAACAACACACTTTCATTATAATATTTTGTACTTCTGTTTAGTTTGACTAGCCATAAAAGTGTGTTTTCTTAGTTTTCAAACCACTATTTATTTTCTACTTCTTTTCAGTTCGGTAATCTATTTCGTTAGTTTATGGTTTTCTAAACTACTATTTATTCTCTACTTCTTTTCAATTTGGCTATCTATGAAAGCTTTTTTCATTAGTTTTTCGAAACACTTTTTATTACAAAGCTCGTTCGACATACATAATCCGCCATCTTGAATTTTCCAATTATGGCGGAGGAATCGTAATCTCCGACCCGGAAAACCCTCAGATACCAATTTTAAATAGAATTTGATCATAATTAATGAACTCGTATGCCGTATTGAATCTGCCATCTTGAATTTCCAAAATTTGACGTGAACAAACAGGCTCCTATATGTATCTGCAATCTTTCCTTGTGAAAAGATCGGAAATGCATAGATATAACGTCAGGTCAAGAGAAAATTTTCATATAGCAAGATGTCATTCGAATGTTCTACAAAAATCTCTTTTCGTCCAGGGATTGCATCATTTCAACAGCCTTCCACTTATTGTCAAAGTAGCACCAAATATTTAAATTTTCAAGAATATGTTACGAAAAGTTTACTTTAAGATTTAGTAAAGTTTAGTATAGTTAATAGTTATTTCAAGAATTTATACTTTGTAAATATGTTTATAATTGTAAAAAATATGATGTGAAACTAGCGAAAGCTAAATAAATCTTTCAAATCAAATTCAAATCAAAACCTCCGAAGCCGAAAATCCCCAGATACCAATTATGAACAGAATCGGATTATAAATACAAAAGTCGTCCGCGATATGGAATCCTCCATATTATATTTTCAAATGTTGAGGAATGAATCATAATCTTCCATCCTAAAATCTCCCAGATGCCAATTTTGAATAGAATCGGATCATATTATTACAAAATTCGTTCGCCATATTGGATCCGCCATCTTTAGTTTTCCAATTTCGATGAGGAAATAATAATCTCCGACCCCGAAAATCCATAGGCTCACAAATAACTGGAGATAAAAAATCGACACAAGTAAAACTGGTAAACAAAAACATACATAACCACAATATCAGATCAGGTCTCTGTGTGCATGTCAGTATTTTGTGTGGTGTGGATGGGCTCAAAGTATTATGCACTGTTGCAAGATATAATCTACAATAGAAATCCATAATTTTACTTTATTAGTAATCAACTTCCAAGAAAGTAGGATTAAAAAACCTATTTTATCCCATTATGATACAGTTATAAAACCATTTTTCCTCGAAGTTGACCACACAAATCGGGTCAACAATAAGTTGTTAACCAGCCAATTTTCCTAGAAGTGTATTTCACACTATGACGTAATACACTCAGTTCCAAAAAAAGTGACGCACTTGATATTTGACCAATCTTCTGAAATTATTGCCCACTAACTCTGCATAAGGTAAGACATACTGCTCTGAAATGTCAATGTAAATTTGGGCATTCATCGACTGCCTCACCGGAAAAACATGAAGGGGTGCCTTTCCATTCATTGAAATCCCTCCCCACACCATAACGGACCCACCAATAAAGCTGTCGCAATCTGTTATTAAATTTTGATTAAACCGTTCACCAGTTCTTCTCCACAATCTTTTTCTTCCATCCACCATGTTAAGGCAAAACCCTGACTCATCCGCAAACAAGACATTCGACCATTCAGAAATATTCCACTGTCCATAATTTTCAACAAAATTTCTTCTAGCAGCACGATGTTCGGGCAATAATTTGGAACCTTTTGCAGGTCTCCTAGCTCTTGAATTAACTTCTTTTAGACGACTACATACCGTCTGCTTACTTACTGCAACATCACGAATTTGGTAAAGATCTTGCTGAACATTTACCTCAGTATTTGATCGATTCCGTAAAATCGCAATCTCAAGAAGCGATCATCTCTTGGAGAAGTTTTTCGGGGGCGACCAGAACCGACCCTCCGAGCGGTGCTTCCTGTTTGTTCGTACTTGCGGATTGCTCTACAAGCAGTTGCTTCATGAACTCCCACTGCACGAGCGGCGTAACGTTTACTACGCCCATCGTTTACTAACGCAACTAATCTTGCTACTTGTTCAGGATTTATTTGAGGCATTTTATGTCATTTTAGTCAATAAAACAAGACACTTAATTAATGACACAACGACAAATGGTCAAATATGGAGGCATACAACAAATTAGTTGCTATGGCAACGGCATTTGTTTTTTAAAGACAATGTTATCCTACCAGAGTACAACCCAATCAATTTTGAGTACTCTGATCCTTCAATAAATTTAATTTGTGGGATAAGCGAAAGGTATAAGCAAAAAAGCTGTAATTTGGAAAATTTTAGAGATAAATCAATGAATAAAAAAACAAAATGCTCGCAAAAGAAGCCTCTTTCGTATAGGGTGTAAGCACTTTGTATAACATCCCTCAATTAACACACAGGGTGAGTAAAAAATTAGGAATAAATCATGGTTCGAGTTAAAAAAAAATCGGCCAATTATCAAGTGCGTCACTTTTTTTGGAACTGAGTGTAGTTAACCTACCTCACAAACCATCTCACTGAGGTAGTTTAAAGAGTAGTTGAAGCTTCTGATTGGTCACTGGATCGGGCTCTTGTTTCTCACTCTTGTTGTTATAATCTGAGTTTATAATTGATAAAATATTAAATAATTACCATTTTTAATGAGATAATTAGGGATTAATCATTCTAAGCATTTGTATATGAAAGATTTCATCTTATTATTGGTGAAAAAATTAGTGATCCATTGAAAATAGGTAAGTAGCTAGTTGATTAAATTTCCTTGGATTTGAAGTTTGTAATTACCATATCAATCTATAGTATCTATCTTTTTGTTACAAATGATAATTACTTATTCAATATATTACTACTAAAACAAATGAAACAGGGGAATAATAAATAAATAACAACTGACATAATATGTCAAGCTCCACAAGTACACCGTGACGTCAGGATGAAGTTATTTTGATGTCATAATAAAGTTAACCTGGTTTGCCTGGTTAGGTTCAGAGAACAATTTCCGGAAATCTAGACATATACAGTGTGTCCCACTTACCATGCTCACCATGGGTATCTTTTTAACGGTGAGAGATACGAGGTCGGTTAAATGACACCAAATGTGGAGTTTGTCAAGGCCAACTATAATGTGAAAAAATATTTTGATAAAATCTATTCGTTTTTGTTTTATATGCAAAATACAGATTTTGATCATTTTCATGTCTCCTCCGTAACTTCTTTATTTATGAAAATATTCAAATAGTAACTTCACATTCTCATGGCAGTTTCTCAAAATGTTTTCGAAAAAAATATGAAATTTATAACAACTCTTCTAGAATTTGAGATATCAGCACCAACTTTAGTTTTTCAAATGTAGGTCATAGCTCACTATGACTTAGTTACAAATAACTTTTTTTTCTCTTACAGATGATATGTCGCAGTAATAGTTTTGTGTTGATAACAACGGAGTTATCGCCATTTATACAAAAACAAAAAATGATTTGGATGTCGCCATCTTGAATTCATAAATTTCAACAAAAAAATCATGATCTCCGACCTCAAAAACCCCTACTTACCAATTTTGAATGTAATCGGAAAAAATCTTGTCCGCCATTTTGGAGCAACCATTTTTTTAATTTCAACGAAAATTCCATATTTTCGATTAATTTGAAATTTGGCAGGTGTTCATAATTTCAGTGACAATTCATTATGGAATTTTTGTTGAAATTAAAAAAAAATGGCTGCTCCAAGATGGCGAACAAGATTTGGTCCGATTCCACTCAAAATTGGTAAATGGGGGTTTTTGAGGTCGGAGATCATGATTTTCTTGTTAAAATTTATAAATTCAAGATGGCGGCTTCCGAATAATTTTTTGTTTTTGTATAAATGACGATAACTCCGTTGTTATCAACACAAAACTATTACTGGGACATATCATCTGTAAGAGAAAAAAAAGTTATTTGTAACTGAGTCATAGTGAGCTATGACCTTCATTTGAAAAACTAAAGTTGGTGCTGATATCTCGAATATTAAAAGAGTTGGTATAAATTTCATATTTTTTTCGAAAACATTTTGAAAAACTGCCATGAGAATGTGAAATTACTATTTGAATATTTTCATAAATAAAGAAGTTACGGAGGAGACATGAAAATGACCAAAATTGTTTTTTGCATATAAAACAAAAACGAAAAGATTTTATCAAAATATTTTTTCACATTATAGTTGGCCTTGACAAACTCAACATTTGGTGTCATTTAACCTACCTCGTATCTTTCACCGTTAAAAAGATACCCATGGTGAGCATGATAAGTGGGACACACTGTATTGATGATGCCCGCAACATCATACTGACACAGGAAATTTAACTGAGTGAATGTGGCTTTTCATAAAGTACCTCATGAGAGGAATGGTGAAGGAGCCAAGTTTCTTTTTCATTCATTTTTTTCTGAAGTGAAAAAATTAACATTATGTTTATGAATTAAACTTCAACAAACTTCAAAGTGAGTTGAAAATCTTAATATTGGAAACTTTCTTATTTCATCAAATACTCACCTGGCAGCATAAACATAAATGCAATAAACATGAAATGTGGCCACTGATATGACATCTGAAATCATAGCAATTTGGAAGGATAATCCCAATGCTCCTGGTAGAACAAGAACTTTGAAATATCCCACCAGCAATGGTTGGAGTCCTTGCAGGAATATTCTCCATAATGATATATGGCAGAAAAAAAATTGGCCCAGAGATTTATTGAAGGAGTAATTTAGTTTCAAACCAATTGGGGACCCCATGAGATACACCAAGAGATTTTTGAGGTTTGTTATCAGTTCCTGAAAATAACAGTTCTAGAAGAATTTACTTGTGTACTTGTTTTTTTCAATTTACCTCTGTTGATTTTTGAATAAATTCCAAAATTTCTGATTCATTCAATAAAAACCAATCCACTACTACTATACCCATGATTAGATCAATCAATCTTGATACAAGAATGTTTCCAAGTTTGGGAGTTAATTTCTTGTCATTATGCAAACCTTCCAAAAAAAATTTAACAGTCATGCAGCTCTCTTTGAAATGTAGAAACGTTGAAGAATGTGAAAATATCAGTCTTGCATTTTCCAGTAGTTTCAGAAGAATGACTAGTATAGTGATAAATGAAAGTAAAATAGAATCTAAGAAACTTTTCTGTTTCAATTTCACTGCAGATTGTCTGTCTTTTTCAATATACTCTACTAAAGATACAAAATGCTTTCCAAAATGTTCTGTCTTACTGTGGGGATAAGAATTCTTGAAAGAGTTGTAATTATAAACCACTTCTGTGATTCCCATAGTTTTGTAAGACATTCCACAATTTCCACTGATGGTTGTTGATTTATTTTCATTGTTGATCAATAAGTCCAGTCCACTATTATCGTTGATTTTCTTTGAGGAACCTGTAATATATCCTACACAGTGAGTTGGGCAGACTTCCAGAATTTTTCCAGTGAAGACATAGTAGGCAACAATATCTGGGAATATTATTTTGTGGCCACTTATGTATCCTACTTTATGATATTCTAGATCATCAGGAATGAAGATTATCACATTTTTATTCATATTTTTGAAGTAAATAGATATTTTTGTAAGGTTATATTTACATTTTGTTATATAGTGTGTCTAAGTATCCGCGAGTGGGAATTTATCAATTAATTTCATCTGATTTCCTGAAGCATCTTGAAAAGCAAAGCAGCGTTCGTACGGAAGAAGATAACATCTAATTTTTCATATAGTCGTGAGAATGAATAGATTGAGCAAAGCAAAATGCAAAATATTAGGATTATTATGTAAGACAACGTATCATTCATGCATATTTTTAGACACGGCCGTTTCTCAACAGGAAGATGTTTAAAGATGTATATAAAATATGGTGTAATTACTAGTACGTAGCAGCCTATTTTTAATCTCACTCATTTCAGTTTGTAGCTCTAAACCTGAATCACCCTGTATATAAAGTTTGAATTCGAAAAACAGATTAGCCTGACACTCCGCCCGCCGCCTCTACCAAATTGTAATATTAGGTATATATATCCACTTGGATTTTTATTGTTTGTGAACTTTGGTGAACAAAGACGTAGGGGGACTTGGGGAAAAAAGAGCGGGGAGGTAATAGTGAAAAAACCAGGTGAAAATTTCAAATTTACCGCGTCGTGCATCGGTCCCGTTGGCGACAGTACTATATAGTATGTTATTGTGAATCTCATCGTGCTATAAAACCGCAATAGCTGATATCTTACAAAATATTTCTGTTTCAAATTACGTCTACATCTGAACTTGTTATTCAAAATGCTCTTGCATATATATCTTTATCAAACCTGAATTATATTTACCTGCTCTAAAACTTATTATAGCAACTGGTAAAACACATAGTGAGGTTGTGTTTCTAGCGAATGATGAAATTCAAATCACAGCCAGTTTCACATAGAGCTAATTCCATTATGACCCTCTGAAAATCTATTGTTGTTGGGAATACTGGACATTAGTGCTTGAATTATTTGTGCAAAAGTAGGCAATGCTGATTGTAACAGAAAACATAGTTCATCTTCCAGAAAAATGCCCAAATATTCAAAAAAGTACAATAAGCGTGTTAGATATCAACTTGAGACAATCAGAATGCCATAACAGCAGTTCGGCGTATAAAAATTCGCTGGGAGACGTGAACGGACTGAATCAATGATCAATGATCAAGGATTCGGAGTTTCCAAGTCAACTTTAGATAAATTTATGAACGTTGAAAATGTACAAGATATACAAATACATGTGGGTGCTATAAATATCAAATATTGTGAGAGGAATATATACCTACAGAAGAATAGAATAAGGTGAAGACCAAAAGATTCAACAATTTATTGTTTCTTATTTTTCTTTGGTGTTTTTTGAATTATTGTTTTTTTTTAGACAAATACAGTTTCAAAAGCTCCAATAATGAATTTTGAACATCCATTTCCTCCACATACAATGTTATTCTGTCATTTGTTATCAATTAAAAGTTGAATTCACACTTATAATTTATAATTTCGATCATAACTTTTTCATTCGAGAAGATATCAAAATGAATCAAACGTCGTTCAATAGCCGAGTATTTGTATATGTCGGCAATTGACATTAGGAAATTACCATGAATAATGAACAAACAGTACGTCTACATTTACCCTCATGAGGGAAATAATGGTCATGGTCTTCTAATTCATAAATCAACTACAATAAACATAGTGGACACTACTTTTTCTGATCTAATGGTTTTCGAAATATGCCAGTTCCTTGTCCACTATTAGGGAGTTGGTCCATCATTCCCCTCGTCTCCCCTATTATTATATTATTTATCATATTATTATTATTGTTATCATTATTATTATATATTCGCATCGATGAAATATTTGTTTCAAGGGTGTGCTGTGATTGTGCATTGGATAATGAATTCAATAATAATACTACAAACGCAAATGATAGCATAAATGGTTTACAATAATATATTCCTCTGCTATAATATTTGTTCGTTAAGCGTTAAGTCCAGAAATTTGAGCAGAATTCAAATAAAATACCATAATTTACATGTGTCTCATTTGAAAGCACAAAAACACAATAAGTATTCTTAACTTTTTTCGATCACCTTGTATATGAGCGGAGAAACTATAACGAACAATTATCCATACTTAGTCACAATTATATTCTTATCACTATCTTATCAGTTGTTTTTAGGCATCTGCACTTATCACTTATTTAGAAATATTGTTATTAAAACCAATATATTATATTGAAACAGATTATCGCATCCACTCTGGCCGAGAGTTTAGTATTAATTCTCACCTAAAAAAATGCTTCCACTTACTGGTTTAATAAGACGACATTTCTCAAATACTTCAGTGCTGAATAATGTGATTGAAAATGTGACTGTGATCGGTGGAGGTCTGATGGGTTCAGGAATTGCACAGGTCAGTATGGAATCAAAAAAAGACACGTCGTTGGCCATGGTCCTTACGATAAGGACTATACCTACTTAATTGTATGAAAACTGATCAAAACCAGATAGGTATATTACATATTATTGAGAATCGAATGAATAAATTATTACAGTCAACTTGATCAGAAACATACTCGGAAACATATATTTAAAAAAAGACAGTCGTTGACGTTATAGTTCGTTAGTTACTTGAAAATTAGTGATTCCGAGACGACTTGGAGTATCTCTGATAAGTGCGAATTCATTTGCATTTTTGGGAAGTTTTCTGTCAGTCAACCTGTATATATTGATATATGTGAATAAAACCGATAGTTCTGAACAAATTTTGAAAAAAAGTAATTGCTACTTCTCAATTTCTTTTTTTAAATCCTTCTTTCATTATTTCTTATTTTTTCTCGTTTTTCCATCATTTCATTGTTTTTCAGCTATTCACACAACAAGGTAATAAAGAATAACCATTATTACCCAGGGACCAAGATAAAGTCCCGAGGCTTCAACCGAGTGGTATACGGTCCGTGGTAATATTTGTCACCACCAAGGTTTATATTACATTTTTTTCACCACTAGAAAGCCACTAGCAATATATCAGTTTAGTTCTGTGAAACCAAAATATAGACTTATTGTCACTATGAATGCACTCATTTTCAATTCTTTGCTATGACCATGACATCATATGGCAAGTCGTTATTAATAAATGCCTACTAGATTCCAGTGCCCTTCCTGCGGAACTCTGATCATGGTATAGGAGTGCCGTCATCTGATTACTGATCTGTGTCCCAAAGAAAAGTGGATAACGGCACCTGTGCCAATCAAAAAATTGCACTTTCCACAGCCAATGTCCGCTGCAGGCGGCAATTATCGAGATGTCCTTGATATGTCACAAAACTACCGTCTCCCTATTTCTTTTTAAAGCCTTTTCATGGACACAACAGAACATTTTCAACGCGTCTTGCGCACATTGAATCGCTGTAAAAAAACCATTTTCGAGGTACTTTTCTGAAGCCTTTTGTCAAAATGAACTTTTGCATTAGGATTCCATTTCCCTTGAATGAAAAAATGCATTATAAAAATAGATTGAGCATAAAAATATTTTCTTGATATGAATTAAATTACCTTCTTAATCGGTTTCTGAGTAGTGCTTACTACACACAGACATATAATTGGAAATAGGTTTCCCAATTTTTGGAATGTTCTCCACAATGCATAATTTTGCAACTGCGGAGAAGAGCTGTGTATTGATGAATTCGTACTTTGATTACACTGAGGCACCGAACAACACATCTTGCATCTGATGGTCATCACAAATAATAAATAAGTCTTCTAACACAATAAACTTCACCAAATTCCTTTCTGTTCGTTAGCAGCGTGATGTAAGCGTGACACGCTGCAAACGCGAATGCCAATTGCGAACAAGAAGAACAAAATCAAAAACAAATCAGAATTCATCGTAATGTGACGTAAGCTTGAGACGTTGTGGTGGGGCAAACAAAGAAAGGGCACAAAAGAACAAAAACAACACTTTCAATATCTTTCTAAGACCTCTTTGGGTAGTGCATATTACGCCTCAAAAAAACATCCTCATGCCTACATTTCTAAAACATCCCAAAACATCCCAGGGATACCTCTCAGTAGGCAAACAAAGAAATGCCACAGAAGAACAAAAACAATACTTTAGTATCCTTCAAAGACCTCTTTGGTCAGTGCATATTACGTCTCAAAATAACATCTTCATGCCAACATTTTCAAAACATCCCAAAACATCCCAGGGATGTTTGTGCTCGCTGGGTACCACCACCACACCTCTCAGTCTGAGCCAAATCCACGACACAGCGATTCATTTGCTTTTATTATTCCGGACATTCTTTCGTCATGTGATAACGAGTTGAAATAAGAAGCGAATGAAAGGAAGAAATGTCTCTTTTACGAATATCCAAACGTGCCGCGATTCAAACTGATCTAAGTTAGAGGCAGAGCGTCAAAATTTCCGTGAAAATTTCGTCGAAAGATAATTCCCGATGGACCAGTGTGAAACTCATGTGGTGCTCACCCTAAAAGTATTCTAATCGTGTCTAATCCACATGTTGAGTTTTACACTGGTCCATCGGACATTATCTTTAGAGGGGGGCGAATTATTCTCGGAAGTATTAACGCTCTGCCACTGAGTTATATCAGTTTGAATCGCGGCACGTTTGAATAATCGCAAAGGCGACATCATCCTCTTTAATTTGCTTTTTGAGTCAACTTGTTATCACATTCCTAACTCCTGGCTCAGATTGAGAGTTAGGCATGTTTTATCGTAGGTTTTATTATATCGCAATGTCAGATGATAACCTTTTGACTACCGCGAATTGTAACTCATCCAGAAGTAGACAAAAATGGATAAAATTTGCATCGAATGTACACTCTGGAGCAACTGGACCCACTCTGATGTTAGTGTGCCGATGTTTCAGCAGGACGTTAAATCATCATTTGTAAAGTTTTTCGTTGATCTCTTTTTTTTACCCATATACGGGGTGTCCCAAAACCCAACGTGATCCTTTGGAGGGCTGAGAGTCTAGCACATGACAAAACAGAATATCACAATATGACCTCAGTTTTAATTGATAGTTTTGGAGATATTGTAATTTCAACGAATTTCGTGAAAATCTAAACCTGCGATCAGTATCTCGAGTACCGCAGGTACAAAACTTTCTTTTGTTATGCAACCTTTGATAACCCTACTATTGATTACAATCCAAATAATTCCTTTTGAGAGAGAAAACACGTGTTTGCCTAATTCACGAGTCAATTTATTATGATCTGCTCACTAAGACTGGTACTGCACCAATATTTTCATTTTGGAATTATTTAATTCTGGATTGTAATCAATAGTAGGGTGATAAAAAATTTGCAAAACAAAAATCAGAATCATAAATTATGAAGTTTTTACTTGCTGCACTCGAAATACTAATCAAAGATAGGTTCCGATTTCCGCGAAATACAAAAAGACAAAAGTCGCAATATCTCCAGAACTGTCAATATTTCACATGGTCATACTGTGATATTCTGGTTAGTTATGAGCTATAACTATATCAGCCCTCCAAAGGATGACGTTGAGTTTTGGGACAACCTGTATGACATTTCACTTCATTCTTCATTTGATCACGAATTCGGAAAACGTTCGATATAAAAAATTTGAAATTGACATGCTTGATGACTTGATACCTATCTGAAGGGCCAAGCCAAAGACAAGAATCTCACTGAGCTTAGGCAAATACGCGACGGTGTTTCAGGCAGAAATTATTGCAATACTTCATTGCGTGAAAGAATTGATGAGGCAAGAATTTAAAGGCAAAACCATTGCAATCTATTCAGATAGCCAGGCGGCAATCAAAGCAGTGAACTCTATGCAAGTTAACTCAAAACTAGTATGGGACTGCTTAGAAACTCTAAGTGCACTGGGCAGTCAGAACAGATTGACTCTAGCATGGGTACCAGCACATACAGGGTACGAGGGCAATGAAGAGGCAGACTCACTTGCCCGAGCAGGAGCAAACAAAGCTCTCAATGGCCCAGAACCCTTCTGTGGTATTGCGAAAGCTATACAAAAGACTAGTATCAAGTCATGGATGCAAACCAAATCTCAAGAATGGTGGAACAACTCGCCAGGAATGAGACAGGCTGAAGAGTTTATTAAAAAACCATCGCCAACATTCACAGAATATCTACTAAGCCAGAAACGAAGTTCAACTAGAATACTAGTGGGACTTCTCACAGGGCATTGTAGGCTCAACAAACACATGAGTACGATAGGACTGACTGAAGAACTGCTGTGCAGGTTCTGTCAAGAAGAGGAAGAAACAGCAGTACACATACTTTGCCACTGTGAGGGCTTGTCAAGACTAAGGTTCCTTACGCTGGGTGAGGAAAAACCAAGGAGCCCAGAGATACACAGGAGATCTGAAAGCTAGCCTATGGTGTCTCATAGAGAAGGCGGTGCTAGCCGAATAACTCTAATCGATTTTGAGGGCAGACACAATAGATCTGAAAAGGTCGGAGTGTGGAGGCAGATAGCCCGAAGGCCCCATTCCAAATCTAATCTAATATCTAATCTACCTATCTGAACAATGGTGTGTAAATAGGTAGTAACGACTTTTTTCCACCACTAACTATCAAACCTACCATTATTCACTTCTTTTCGAGTTGTAAAGTGTGTTTTTACTACCAAGGAAGTTTTCGTCATCTTATAAACCACTAGTCAATAAAGAGAATTCTACTTTTGGCCACGGTAGGAGAAATAGGCGTCTTCAGGCTAAAAGTCAGGTTAATGTGTGTGCAAGTCCAACATTTTCTTAATACCTGATCTGGATTGAAATGCAATATCTAATGTGTGTGAAGTTTAAAAAGTGTGTGTGAGAAATATCAGGCTCTTTTATCTCTACGCCGGTAACCAGGCCGGATCAGCAACGGATTTGCTGGATAAGAGAAGTACATACATACGTTCGAATCTTATGAACACTGATAACTCGACTTCAGACCATTGTGATAGACAACCGGTGTCTTATGTGGCGAGTCGAGTGATAATATCATTACATAACCAAGTATTTATTCTATAAAAAAAATAATTACCTGATCTGGAGAAATTCTTACCGAAAGGAGACAAATACAATAAACCTAAAGAGAAGAAGAAGAAGTCAATAAAGACATAGCCACCTCTGTTATAACTTACCCGAATTAAAACTGTCCCCATGCGACATTCGTAGGAATGACACCCGAATCTAGTAGGTTTTATCAATAACGACTCATCATATGCTATGGGGCACCGTTTGGTTCATAATTATTTTTTCGATATATAGAAATTTTAACGCGATATATAGAAAAAATCCTATATAATATCCGAACCTATCAATATTATATGCAAAATTTCTTATATCGTGTGAAAAATGTACTATATATTTAAGTGCGACGAAATTTCAATATATATTAATTAGTATGCCCCGCGCCGTTTGGTTCATAATTATCATTTGTAATATATAAAATTTTTACTGAATTTATATAGAAAAAAGTCTATATCATGCAAATGCACAAATTTTATATATGACGAAATCTTTATATATTTGCGTGTCAGGAAAGTCTATATTTGCGCGTCGCGAAAGTTTATATTTGGATGTACCAGTGTGTGCAGAAATAGACTTTCGGGTTCCAGGGTTTACCGATAGGTGGCTGAACGCGGCTGGACGTCAGCACAGAATGAGGTTAGAGGATCTGGCAACACTGAGGTTCTAAGAAATTCATTGCTATTCTGTGTCTATATAATGTAGCTTTAGAAACACCAAGTAATCCTCATATTCTGGTCCAACTCAGACCTGATGTTCTTATAGTTATTTAACCAACTAGTTTATTAATGAGGGCGATTAATGATCGAGATATTTTAACGTGCGAGCGAAGCGAGTGCGTTAATGTTCGAGATCATTAATCGCCTTTTAATATACAAGTTGGTTACAACATTTTTCCGTCGACTATATTTCTCATTTCTCCTGCAATGAAGAAAACTTGGTTCGCGAATTCATCATTCATCTGGAAACTGCTGAGAATCACCCAGTAGCCTTGTTACTGACATTAGTGACATTTGACATTTGTCGAAATGATCAACATAGAAAATAAATTCCTTGTGTTAGAAAACAGGGATTAAAATCGTGTCAGAAATTTGGAAAGGTGAACTCGTTAACAGAAAATCTTCAATGAAATCCATATTTTCGATTCAAATGCAGATTCCGTAAGTTATAGCATAAACAATGAATGCACGCGGTGTATGTTTGGTTGCCTATAAAACAATCGTACATTAATAGACAAATCGTTCATTAATAGGGGTCATTAATGAACGATTTCATATACATTAAACTTAGTCGTTAATACGAGGTCGACGGAAAAAATCCTTAATTGTTCCTTTGAAATATCATACTTTGGGGGACCAACATTGTTACTGCTAGTTGATGAATTAAAATATACAAAGGTTCGGTCGTGCGAATCAACAGTGTTGAGAACATGCTCAATTTGACCATAAATATCAAACAGTATATTGTAAACTGATGATAATAACTGTTTCAACCTTCCACAGGCCAGTATATTATCAATGAATATGTTCAACAACCTACAGTAGTCCCCAATTTTCCACTGAGCTATTGAGATAAGGCTCTTGAAGAATCTCCTTGAGAAAGTAGATTCACCACATTATCGTGATATTCAACAATTTCATTGAGAAACTCTTTCTTTGAAACCGTTGGGAATGACATTTTTACTCGAAAAAATAAATAAATTGTGAGGTTAAAGAATATGTAAAATAGAAAAATGTATTCTCATTCTTCTCCATTTCTTCTCCATTCTATGCAGATGAGTATTTCGGACACAACCAGAATATAATAATATCAGTGTTGCCAGATCCTCTAACTTCATTCTGTGCTGACGTCCAGCCGCGTTCAGCCACCTATCGGTAAACCCTGGAACCCGAAAGTCTATTTCTGCACACACTGGTACAACCAAATATTATAAACTTTCGCGACGCGCAAATATAGACTTTCCTGACACGCAAATATATAAAGATTTCGTCATATTTAAAATTTGTGCATTTGATATAGACTTTTTCCTATATAATTTCAGTAAAAATTTTATATATTACAAATAATAATTATGAACCAAACGGCGCTAGGCATACTAATATATATTGAAATTTCGTCGCACTTAAATATATAGAAAATTTTTCACACGATATAAGAAATTTTGCATATAATATTGATAAGTTCGTATATTATATAGGATTTTTTCTATATTTTTAGTTAAAATGTCTATACATCGAAAAAAATAATTATGAACCAAACGGCGCCTCATAATATGCTGTCATGGTCATATAGATATTAGATTTTAATTAGAATTGAAAATAAGTTTATACTTTCATAGTGACAATAGGTTCATATTTCAGTTTCACATATAAAATGATTGAAATGTAATGCTACTGGTGAAAAAAGTTCAATATACACCTTGGTATTAAAGAATATTATTACCACGGGATCTTATTATACCCCTGGGTAATAATGCTATTCTTAACTACCTTGGTCTATAAATAGATATTTCTGTTCTCTATTTGAGCCAAAATGCTTAGGGTATGTCATTTTAGGCAGAACTCCCCTAGGCAACTTTTTCTTTCAAAATACCCTTATCTTCCCAATGACGTAATTCGCAGGTGTCAGCACAAAGCGGTCATAATGTACTTCTAGTAGATGTAAGCCCGGAAATTTTGAAAAATAGCGAGAGCGCCATAGCCAAAAGTGTCGCCCGAGTAGCGAAAAAACTTCACAAAGATGACGAAAACGCTGCGAATAAGCTGAAAGAGGAAACACTTTCCCGCATCAAATACGTCACAGATCCTCTCAAGAGCGTTGAGAGCTCGGATCTTGTAGTAGAGGCTATCATCGAGAATTTGGAGCTGAAACAGAAGCTTTTCAAGAGCCTTGACGAAGCTGCACCGAAAAAGACGATTTTTGCTTCGAATACCAGCTCATTGTCTATCGCAGAAATAGCTTCAACGTCGAATCGAAAGGACAGATTTGGAGGTTAGTATGGTTTAGAAATGAAAAAAGATCAATAAGTAAGTTTCAGACGGAAAACAACTATACGATCGTGGATTCCTGGCTAATATACTACAGAACACTGTGATACTTTCTGAATGTACAATAACTATTGTTAGAATATCTAACAGGAAACAATCACTTCTTCGAAACATAAAACTAGCAACTTTGAAGCAACATCAAAATGTGCAATCGAAATAATTCTCAAACATCTGCGTTCTCCTTAGTAAAGGAGCTACAAGAGTTCTCCCGCATTTTGACCATCTGAGTCTCCATTCGCGATAGAAAAAAAAGCGTACGCCACCTATATTAGTTCTCGAAAGCTATCAATGCGGCATGTTTACTTTGTTTTCATTGGTTCACATTTGTTTTTTGTTTATGCTTATTGGTTATATCAAAACATACCGCTCAAAAGTGTTCAAGTTGTTACCGTCAGGTGGGGCCACGTGTACTATTGTTAGTATACATAACAGGAAACAATCACTTCTTTGAAACATAAAACTAGCAACTTTAAAGCAACATTAAAATTTGCAGTCTGAATAGTTTTCAGCCTCACTATTGATGCTTTCACGTAGATGTACAGGGTGGCCAACTAAGACTCCAGAGTTCGATTTCTCTGTTGTCTTGAGAGATACAAAAAAAAGTTATGTATCAAAATTGAAGTAATAATCGAGCTTCACATTTTGAAATTTCTTTGAAATACACAGGGGGTTCCGTAAGGTCACAGCACATCAAAGCTATGTTTTTTTCATTGGAACACCCTATATTTTATTTCATTTTTTATTTCTCCCTGAAGATCTGATTTCAACGACCCATCATACTTAGGGTCTAGCAGTGAAAGTTACTGACATATAGGGTGTGCAAAATCGAGATTTTCCAAGTTCAGAATTTTTTTTTGTCGAAACTGTTCATTATTCGTCAGAACGGTTTACATGTCCCTATTTCAACTTTTCACTCACTATCAATTGGTGTTCAATTGAAATTGATACAAGGTGGTGAAAAAATCTTAATTTATAATTTGTTTCAATTAAATGTCACTCGAACACCAATTGATAGTGAGTGAAAAGTTGAGATAGGGACATGTAAACCGTTTTGACGAATAATGAACAGTTTCGACAGAAAAAAAACCGGAACTTGGAAAATCTCGATTTTGCACACCCTATATGTCAGTAACTTTCACTGCTAGACCCTAAGTATGTTACGTCGTTGAAATCAGATCTTCAGGGAGAATTCAGAAATGAAATAAAATATAGGGTGTTTCAATGAAAAAAACATAGCTTTGATGTGCTGTGACCTTACGGAACACCCTGTGTATTTCAAAGAAATTTTGAAATGTGAAGCTTGGTTATCACTTTGATTTGAATGCGAAACTTTTTTTTGTATCTCTCAAGACAACAGAGATATCGAACTTTGGATTCTTAGTTGGCCACCCTGTACAGAAATAAGTCAAATGATGTCATTACTTCCTATTGAATGGAGTTTCGAAATCTCTCGATATCGCCTACTTTGTAAAAATAGCGAGGCGTTAGAGAATCTTGCTAAATTTCCGAAGTTTCAAACCAAATTCACAGGCATCATGACACTTCTGTGATAATACTTTATTGACTCACTTTTGGTACATAAAATAAAACGAATGTTCGGATTTTCAAATAATCCTCCTCATGGAGACATCACAGTCCACTCACTCAACTACCTAATATAATATCAATACCTGCTTAATAACTACTAATGTTCTTATTAATTGTCATCCATAAGAATTCTAATTTCTATTTGAAATTTTAACATAATCATGAATATATCGAGAACGTGACACTCGTGACAGATATGTCGAATCACGATCAACGGTTCAAGATCACCATCAAGATGTTTCCGCACGGATTATTTGATGCGCCCAGTCTCTTTTGCGTCCTGTTTCTAGATGCTACTATTCCGCTATTATTGAATTTGTGCATCATCAACGGGATTCCTCGGGTCCAGAAAGAACGTGAACAGATCCTTGTAAATCTAGTTCAACTTCATAATAAGCATGGAGAAAGTTTCCAAGATATTGTCAATCGTTCACGCCATCTATAATCGGATATTAGAACGCCACGTTCCGAACTCGCATTCCATTATTCATATCGAGAGTTAGTCTGATGAAACAATTGAAGAGTGGGCACACCAGAGGAATTTTTAAACATCTCAGCTTTCACAAACGCGTGACATTTTTGTGGTTTCTGTGAGGTTTTTGTGAGGTTTCCGTGGCAATTCGATGCCATTCCCTTCGTTTACAGTGTCATTCATAGAGTCGGCATCATATGGGAAAAACTTATAATAATAATTTATTCCGAAATGCGACTGGGCGTCGAGTTTCTGCTTTGAAAAATTTGGAAAATGTATTGACTAGCAATGAAATGGATGCAAATATCGGATAAGATTTGAATAATATATTGACAAACACAATACAAAATTAACATCAACTTGACATCTTTCTGATTACAGGGAGCTATCAAATATCAAACTGATATACTCGAGTTTGTATCTCCACTTCCAATACTCCCCCTCAAACTTGAGTTTTTCTATGATTTTCTCTCCAGATCTAAGGCTTGTATACACAAGTCATGCTTAACCTCCGGTAAGGATTTCGTTAAAACATCTGCTACCATTTTTGTTGTCGGCAAATATTTGATCTCGATGAGATTCTGATTCACAGTTTCTTTAATAAAGTGGTGCTTAATATCCATGTGTTTCGAACGGGCATTAAATACTGGATTCTTCGTCATCTCGTTCGCACCTTGATTGTCATTGAAAATTGTTACACGAATTGGTTCCTCGGAACTTATTTCTGCATGAAACTTTCTCAGAAATATCCCTTCTTTAGCTGCTTCTGTGATACACATATATTCAGCTTCCATAGTTGATAATGCTACAGTGTGCTGCTTCTTGGCTTGCCAACTTATTGCTGAACCACCTAGTTTGACAGTATATCCTGAAAAAGATTTATGATCAAGGACACATCACTTCCCTAGTCCGCATCAGGAAATCCCACCAATTCTTCTTTTGTTCTTCTATAGATCAATTCAAGATCTTCTGTTCCTTTTGAATATCTAAGAAGTCTCTTTGCTACTTTCCAATTATCTTCTGAGTAACAAGTGTTAAACTGGCTCAGATAGTTCAACCACATATGTGATATTATCTGGTCTTGTTTCCAGTGACAAATACATTAACTTGCCAATCAAAGACCGATATGGGCATTTCTTCGAAATGTCATCAGAGGCATCGCTTTTCGTCAACTTCAGTCCGGGTTCTGATGGAGTTGACACTGGATTACTGGAATATATCGTGGATATTTTCTTGTTTGGGATAATTCAATACATTTCAATTCCAGTGAATAATTGAATTCTATTCCTAGGCAATAATGTAAACAGCCGAAGTCTTTGGTTCTGAAACTTTTTTTCAATTCAAATTTAGTTTCTCTCAACCAGTCTTGGTTTTGGGATGCTAATATCAAATCATCGACGTATACTGCCAGGAGTAAAATATCAGATCCTCTTTTTACAATATGATGAACACATGGATCGGAGTTACATGGGTTCATTCCCGATGATATAAGTTTTTCATGTAATTCACGATACCATTGTCTACCTGACTGACGTCAACCATAGATAGACTTATGTGATGAACATACTTTATAAAGCAGGATATATATATCCTGCTTTCAATTGATCAAGCAATTTAGTGATTCACACGAGACCAACGAGACGAGACTTTCATAAAGTCGACCAATGAAAGTCTCGTCTCGTCTTGTCCGAGTCTCGTCTCGAGTCTTGTCTCGAGTCTTGTCTCGAAAATGAGACGAGACCATGCGAGACTCTCGAAAACGAGACTCTCGCGGGCACCACTATCAAGCATATTACGTGCTTTTGCAGAAATTCAATCATTTTCAAATGAAATGATACCTTGAAGAATTTCTTCGAATGATTCAGGCTTCTCCATAAAAATATCTTCTTCTATATGTCTCCATTCAGGAAGGCAGTTTTTATTTCTAACTGGTGAATTATCATATCATTCTGAATTGCAAAGAGGCTATTACTGTCTTCACTGAACTGATGCGAACGACTGATGCGAATGTTTCGTGAAAGTCAATCCCTGTGCATTGAGAGTATCCTTTGGCAACTAAACAGGCCTTGCGTTTTTCCAAAGTACCATCAGCTTTTAACTTATTCACAAGTAGGTACTATACGACAACCTACAATTCTCTGCCTTTAGGAGGAACAACTAGTTTCTCCTGAATGGAGATAATAGCATATTGCTTCCTTTTCAGTTGATATAGATAGAACAAGTTATTCACTAGGTACTGAAATCTGTGAATAAAAATGATAAATTCACGATAAATTAATGAAAACATCTTGTAACTCATTCGATTGCCAACGTCACCAATTGTCACTGAGAACTGAGAAGTGTCAAGACGAATACGAATTTGCTATACAAATATCGATTTTTTATGTTGAAAACGGGAGCAGATTCGTTCCCCAAACGTCCAAAACTAAGTAAAAATTAGATATTTTTTCTATACAGCGTCTCTCATTTCAAACGCCCCCTCCCCTATATGACCAGTTTTTCAGAGACAAACATCATTTGAGACAGTGCCGTGCATATTTATTGAAATGAATAGGGGTCAGTTTTTCATTAAATCATATTCGGCATTTTTCCACAAGAAAACTGACCTCACAATATTGTTCTTCATGGTTTCAAACCCACATATGTGGATTTTCATAAGATGCCTATAAAGGGTTTCAGAAAAACAGGCACATCTAAACAGCAATTTTGCGAACGTAATATTCATCTACCATCTACTCGGAAACGGTGAGTTCAACATAAAAAAGTATAACTCGTTATGTTTCCTTCCAAATCATGATTTTCCACCTACCGGAGCCATTGAACGTTCCAAAATTCGTATAGTTGATTCGAAGTCACTATTTATTCGAGACTGAAAATGAAAAAAATTAAGCCAATCCTGTTGATTCGGAATTAGGGGATTTTTTGCATATGGGGGTTCGAAAGCATGAGGAACAATAAAACGATGTTAGATTTCCTGTAAAAAATGCCCAATATGATTTTATGAATAATCGACCCCTTTTTAGTTGAGTAAAAAAGCACGGCACTGTCCAAAATAATGTGCATCTCTGTAAAACTAATCATATTGATGGTTATTCATACCATACCAAATTTTGTTGGAATTGCATGACTAATAAATGAGATATATAGGTGGACCGTTAAAAGTGAGACACGCTGCGTATACCTTTACTTCTCTCCTCCAAACCTTTTTCAATACTAATTGTCACCAGCTAGTGAATTTTTCTTTTAGGCTCTCTGATAGAAAAATTCTTTTATGCACTAGCGGGCGGTAAAGTGCACTTTATCGCCCAGATTTGCGGGCGTAAAGTGACACTTTACCGCCCGCGAGCCCATTATCGCCCACGGGCCATAAAGTGCACTTTACCGCCCGCTGTTTTCAAGTCCCTTATATCCACACAGCCATTTGTGGAATACCTATATTTGAACTCTCAGCTGATTCTATCGTTATGATTATGACACATGTTTTTGTTCATTCGATTCCATCTTCGCTATAACGTCCTTCTTTGAATAGTTGCTTTCTGGCTGTCTGAAGTTTTTAGCCAACAGATGACAATTCCTGCTTGTTTTTTGGATGTATTGCTAGACAGCAACCATCAGATTGATTGACAACGTCAAATTCAGGTAGCTAGGTATGTACTGAGTATAAATATTGTTACATCTCAAGGAATGCATCTCTGTTGAACAAAGAATTTTACTCTTACGATAATTGCGATATTCGTACGGTTATTTTAATATAATATGTAGATTATACACATAAACATTGCGCTTCTCTTGAAAACTGAATTTATGAGTAACATATGAATTGAAGTTTGTTAAAATCTAGTCATTATTGCTTGTGACTCGGGAAATGAACCACTAGTGCATAAAATTTTGTATGTATCACGTGCGTAAAATGCGTTTATAGCCTTCAGCGTGTAATAATGGCCCTCGGCTAGCGCCATCGGGCCATTATTCACTACGCCACAGGCCATAAACGCCTACTTTACGCCCTTGATACATAAATAACTATAAACGCAGTGACATTTTGGGGCGAAGCATCTGATTTGTCTTCATTACACGTATATTGAAATAATATTCATATTTTCATTTCATAGAAATGAGGAAAGAAAATCCCGAAGAATCTGGAATAATGAATGTTCCACCACCTCGATTAACCCACAGACAGTATTGTTGAGAAGTATCATTATTCTGACACGCTGATTGCAATGTATTTTTTACAAATTGATAGAATTCGTAGCAATACCCATAATTAGGATTACCTATAATAAAATCATGAGTGAATAGCTGCCCTGAAAGTATATATGAGCGATTGAAATAGTTCCTATCCATTACCCAGTATTATCCTATATGTTCAACGAGAACAAAAAAAAAAAAATGACAAGCCAGAAAAAGAAATCGGGCCAAGCACGAATTGAAGCTAAATTACACACGGATAACGATGAAGGGAATGAAGCAAATTGTAATTCCATTATTTTTAAAAAATTCAAGATCTTCGGGATCCCGATTGTTTGATTCCAGAATTTCTTGGACAAGAAATCGTTCGAGAAAGATCGCGGGATGCCGGATTTGAACGCCTAATTATTATGTATATTATCGACTCCACTAGGTCTTCATTTCTTCAGTCCTGTGCCAGTCATGAGGCTACTAGAAGTTGTGAGGATCCCCGAAACGACTGAAGAGACGTTCCAGAGCATGATGGCTTGGGGGAAAGCCATAGGAAAAACCTGTATAGCCTGTAAAGATACACCCGGCTTCGTGGTAAACAGACTGTTGGTGCCGTATGTATCCGAGGCTGTTAGGATGTTGGAAAGAGGTTCGTTAACCAAACTACGCAACACTGATTTCGTCGCACCCCAAAATTCTGCCTCTGTTGAAATATGAATAACTTTTTTCTGCTTTGAACGATTTGAATTCGGATCACACTGTTCCTTAGCTCAGTCCTTCAGCTATAATCTCGTAATTCTTCAAAACATAAAGTTATTCACATGAAATCGCTACAGGGTGTTACCTGAAACTGTGCGAAATTTCGGAACTTTCAAAAGTATCCCAAATGAAGAGAAACTTTTCTTCTTCAAGTTTGACTGTAGAGGCATGTAGATGATCTCATTATCTTGGGACAGTTCTCGAATTGTCTCCTTATCTCTTTTATTCACATAGTGATCTCAAACAATTTACATTTTGGTTTTGCAGTCATAACTAGTTTCCTCGTCAACCGATTTTTGAAATCTCAGGCTTATTTTGAAGCTTGAACTTCAGATGAAGAGATATGACGATCAGAATTGACTCAAGATGAACATTATACAGTGTATCTCACTTCTAATGAAAGCACCCCTGCTGTATCTTCCGTAATTGTTGAGTTAGGATTCTGAAATTTGCAAGTGCGGTAGATATACTGAAAATACACACTATAGCCAAGTAGAGTCGTCTCCAGTGATATACACTGCTCGCCAACAGCCATGGAACCACTCACAAGAATGATATAAGGAGGTAAGATAGGTTGAAAATCACTTCGGATCCAAAATCAGGACGTCCCTTTCGCTTCCTCCTGCAAATTTCAGAACGGTACCTCAATAATCACGTAGGATACGGGGGTGCTTCCATGAGAAGTAAGACGAAATTCAATTTTTTTGAACTGCAAATTTTCCAGGAGAAATGGTTGGTTGAATTGGACGTCCTGATTTCGAATCCGAAGTGATTTTCAACCTGTCTTTGCTCCTAATAACGTTTTCCGAAAATTTGGGTGGTTCCATGGCTGTTGGCGAGCAGTGTATATCATTGAAGATGACCCTACTTGGTCAAAGAGTGCATTTTTGGAATATCTCCTGCTCCAGCAAATTTGAGGATCTACTTGGTCATAGTGTTTATCTTCAGTATTTCTCCCGCTCCTGTGATTTTCAGAATCCTAACTCAACAATTACGAAAGCTATAGGTGTGCTTCCATTAGAAGTGGGACACACAGTATGATGTTCATCTTGAGCCAATTCTGATCTTCATATCTCTTCATCTGAAGTTTCAGCTTCAAAATGATATTTTAAAAACGGGTTGACAAGGAAAAAAGTTATGATATATATACAGGGTGTTTCATATTCAAATGTTTATATACATACGATACCTGTAGAAAGAGGATACTTTGATAATTCCAAATCACCCCCTATTGATGTGTCTACCGTCTTTTATAACGGAGATACAGGACGTTATCACGATTTTCGCAAAATCTTCATCTAGTCATAACTATTGAACCACTTTAATTACCCATCAAAACTAAATAAAAAGCGGGATCAGAATCCAGATTCGTCTTGAAAAAAAAAAACAGAAAACTTTTTCAATGTAAAAAAAACTCTGTATGGCAAAATTGCCTAGATCTATTTCGATATTTCAAAAGGGTGGGAAATGATGAATAGAGTGACCCACTTTTATTATATTTATTGGTTTTAGGTGATGCTAGCGCAGAAGACATCGATACGGCAATGAAACTAGGAGCTGGATTGCCAATGGGCCCTTTGGAACTAGCAGATTTCACCGGCTTAGACATTGGAGTGTTCGTTTTGGAAGGGTGGCACAAAAAATATCCAGACAATCCACTATTCAAACCGGTAGAGTTGCAGAAAAGAATGGTGAAAGAGGGCAAACTGGGACGAAAAAGTGGAGAAGGATTTTATAAATATACTACAAAGTGATTTCATTACACTGTACTTCATATCTCTATAATAGATGATCAATGTCTGATATTCAAATCTTCATTTCATTTCCCTGGAAAATCTTTCTTCTTTTTCGAACTTCTCGAATGAGTTTCCCTTAATAATTCACGTTCAAGTTGAAGCTTGATTTATGTGAGGGTGTGGAGAAAAATGTGGTGTATAATTCTGCTATATAAGAAAGTGCCTGCAAAGTTTGGAATTTATGACAGTTATTGAAACTGAATAGCGGATGCGAAGAATCAGAGGATTCCGAGCTAGTGCGAATATATTCAAATATCGGCTGCCCCAAGTAAAAACACAGTAATAATTGACATTTTCCAGAAAATTGTGATTTCAGCGTAAACGCCCTTACTGTGTTGAGCCATGCATTTCTCTCTTCAATCCTATATGGAGGTGGCGCCCTATTTGTTGACACGAGAGGTGGAGTCAGGCCTCACAAACTTCTCGAAAAAATAAAAATTCCAAATATTTTGGCTAATAAATGAATGTGGGAGATGGTTCCTGATATACAGGGTGTTTCATTGTTGTGGTGACATAACCCAGGCAACCAGATGACGTTCCAGTCACGTCTTTTTTACGTCACTTGAATGACCAAGGTGACGTCAGTAGTTGACGTCGCATTGACGTGATAATGACGTGAATAAGTCACAGCCCAATGACGTCCTATTACTCACGTCGTATTGACGTCATTCACTCACCAAACTGTGACGTGTCCGACTGACGTCATAATGTCGTCAAAATGACGATTGAATTTGGCGATGATACGTAGAAAAGATTCCTTCAATATGGTGTGATTAACACCACTAGCCTCTGATGACATTATATAATATTGATTATGCATTATGTTGAGTCTGCTTGGTGGGTCCCTCCTGTGTCATGTTCATTCAATCGCCTTTTCAGCAGCGCCATCGTTCAGTATACGCATCTCCATCAGAATGCAATCAGTTACTCGTATTTGTATCAACAATTATGTAGTTTGTGTTGGCGAGATGTAAGCAAACAGAGAATAGTTTGATAGCAATGGAAAGGATGTTGGCGAATTTGTCTTCACTTTGTTGAATAATGTATATTGATGCATTCTCTGTCACCCAACAAAAATCTAAATAGTAAATTATTGAAAAATTTACAAAATGACGAAGCTCACCAAATTGGTACGTCACACCGACGTGATTTTTAGACGTCATAGATACGTCACTGCAACGTAGTAAGAGTAACGGTTTCAATATAGGTATACCTGAACAATCATTTTTATATATACATAGCTTGTTGGTTTCCGAGATATACAGTGTGTCAAAGTTTTTCAGAAGAAAGTTTTTCTACTACTTTTCGGGTATATTAATAATTATAATAAAACTTGCATGTTGATTCGCTTTCATGAGTTATACGTCTGTTTCACATGATAATATATAAGTATCCATGGTTTAGAGAAGGTCTGGGAAAACTGGACGTCGACAGGACGTCCCTGCAATGTCATGAAACTGACGTCTTCTTTCACCCACCCAACTGACGTCCACTCGACGTCGAAACGATGACGTGATTATCACGTCATAGAAACTACGTCATAGTGACGTCATAAATTGGTATGTGACGTCTCTGACGAAAAATCACCAATTAGGGACGTCACAGTGACGTGATCATTCGTCATCTGGTTGCCTAGGAAGCCTAACCCAGATATCACAAGTACATCTTATGGACATACTATGGATATCCATCATAGATATTGTGGATGTCTATAAAAGATATCCGAAAAAGGGTCTGGTATATGCTATGGTCGTCCATATAGGATATGACAGTGTGACCTCTTTGGATGTCTTAAAGATATTCATTATGGATATCCATAAGATATCAACTATGGATATGGATAAAAGATAGTTTACCCTATAAATAGAAAAAATCACAAAAATTGGGAAGCACTCACGTCTCACTGCGTTCGAATAATGTAGTTGTCAGTTCTTATGCATCATCAATTTTGGACGAATCCATAGGAATCACTTCCAAATCCACTTAAAATTAATTAAATATGAGAACAGATTGACATTATTTGACTATTCCAAGGTTGGTAGAATCGATGAAATATAAATAATCATCAGTTCTACCAATCTTGGACTATTTGAGACGTTACGCCACCTCGCTTTGTGGATCTCTTTTTATTTATTTATCATTTCATTCATTGTATATACTTGATTTGAAATTTCTAGGTATTGATCTTTTGTCTCATCGGTATCTTATGGATATCCTATGGACGTATTCAGGACGTTTGTTTCGGATATCTCAAGTTCATCCGCAATCGGATATCTTATGGATATACATTTTATGTCCACGGATATCCCGCCTTGAATAGGACTTGAAATGGATATCCATAAGATATCCTATGTTAACTGGGAAGGGCCTCAACAAAATATGAAGAAAAGTTCATATGACCATGGGTCCAAAAATGCTTCGTTTCCGAGATATAGGGTGTCCAAGTTGAAAAAAAAATGTTTTGGAGCTATATATAGCTGTAGCTTTCTGCCTCAATAAAACTTCTTTTTGAACGACTGAACGTCCAAGCTCCCCGACCTCTGTTTCTGATTTCAACTCACTTTGTGGGCAAAAAATACAGGTTTTGTATAATATTCATAGGTTATGTTCTATCCTATGACAAGGCAACGCTGGTAACCTACTTAATCATACTACAGAGAACATCAAGTTATAACCCCTCCCAAGAAGCTACTTATACAGCACTTATACAGCACTAATACAGCAAGAAAAGAGTCGCAGTAGGTTGTTTTTGATGAAATAACAAACGTTTGGATGGCGTCCTGGTAGACAGATACAAATCATCAAATTTGACAATTCAATGGGCTACACCTATATTCGAAGTGAATTTTATAACTTTTTCTGAAAATAAAATGCTATTTTTGTGGAATATCACCCATGAGGTATTGTAATAACATGAATGTATCATTTCAAGACCATTTTATGCAACAATATAATCATATTTTTTCAAATTATCATTTTTTATTATGAAAATTGTAAATATTATGAAGGCGCTTTGAATTATCTCGAAGTAAAAGAGCATGTTTCAACAGAAACATTTTCTTCGCATGGCAAATTCGGTTTTCCAAGTACCTACTTAATAAATTAGTAATAAACTTTAAATTTGTTCGCCATAACGATATAATCTTGTATATCTTTTGATCATAAAATCTCTCCCCAAAACATCTCTAACATAAATATGATAATGAAAAAGCTATCAATAAATATAATTGTTGGAAACTATCACCAGTATCTTTCATTTATTGTTGCGAACATGCCTTGCTTTTTAAATGTTTATATCTCGCTGACTAAACCGACGGTATACGGCAGCTTCTCACTTTTTAGAAGCTTTGATGACATGGTTTATAATAACTAATAACTGATAAAACGCAGCGAAAAGGTTTTCATATGAGTATCCATGTGCCCTTTATAGATCTTATCGAGGCTGTATTATTTGTGCCTATTTTGGACGTATAGATACTTCGTTGATGCTAAAATATTCTGGATAATGGGGAAGACCACTGATTTTTTAAAACGACATTATCGTGAACTCTATACTGAAAAACTACCAGGGAATTCATTTTGAATTTTTTCATTCATGCTAAGACGATGAAAAAAATAAATTAGTATATGTCCATTTCAAAACACACAATTCCTGCGCCATTTGAAATTTCATCAATTCATTGGTGTGACTGGTGCGACGTCTCAGTCCCAACACGCCTATTTTCCTTGAACTGACCAATTACACTGCAACACTGCAGAATGACGAGGTATCAGAGAGAGATAGCTATAGTTCGGGACTAATACGTCACGACTCCACCATCATATTTGGCTGTTTGAAATATCGAATGAAATATGCTGATTTCAAAACGATATAGATTCGATTCCCTTCAACTTCAACTCATAATATTGATTGTACATAAAATATAAATCATGATTCGTCGATTGAAAGAGGTTTGCACGTATTTCTTCCCTCAGTGGTCTTCCCCAAGCCAAGATAGAAAAAGTGGGGCTTAGCAAAATCTAGGCTCAGGATACTATCAGTTTTCAAACATTTGTGGAGGAGGATGTTTCCTATATTGAAAATAGTACATTTTGAGGCTAAAGAAATGTGGGCCTATCGAAATGTAGGTGTGAAGCAATGTAGGCATAACGAAATGTGGGCATGAAGCAATGTGGGTGTAACGAAATGTAGGTGTAACGCCATGTGTCGATAGGCCCACAATGACAGTTTTGGTATATAGGATAGGTAATTGGCAACAGTGCCTCCTTCGATATGCTCGGAGACTGTGGGTGTATCGAAAAGTGGGAACAACGCGATGTGGGAGTAACGAAATGTAGATGTAACGACACCCTTCCGAAAAAAGAACTTCAATTCTTATTTTTTCGCAATTCCGCTCCGGTTTAAATTTATTATCTCTACTACATTCGGTATTATATTCGGGAAAGAAAAATGAATACGCTAGATCCGAATATGAGTGTGCATGAGAAAATCTGGGGATATCATGTTTGACCTCTTGTTTCCACAAAAAAAAAACATAAATGAAAATTGTGCAAGGAACAGTCAACAAAATCATTTATTTTTATTATTGACACTTTGTAATTCTATATAATCATAACCTGGCTCATCATCTGAATAATCCTTCTTCCCATCACCTGGATTGAATAGTCCATAAAAGTCATGTTTGTTTTTTTTGCTAGCCTGTCCCATGAACGGTTTCAAAAACTGTCCCTGCACTTTCATGATGGTAGACACAGAACTATCTCCCCCCGAAGAAGCATCATCTACTCTGGTCTCATCAAGCTGACCTCCAAAGTCATCTTGGATTTTTTGATTTTGCTTGCCATCCTGCAGCCTTTCATTGAAAACCCTTTCATACATCATAGGATTGATTGCCCCTACAGTAGGTCCAGCATTTTTTTCCGCCCTCTCTGTGTTGCTGCTTCGTTTATTGGACTGTTGATCAAAATTTTCAACTGCTTGATCCATGAATGGGTGTGTCAGCTCAGTAGGAAT